GAAAGTGTCTATTCCACCTGTCTGTTCATAGAGTCCAACAGCTCACACGAAAGGTTGTTGCAGTTCCACAGAATACTTTCACAGAGTCTAAGACAAGGATTTCTGGAATATTAGCCTTGTTTCGCCGTCTTGGGCTTCATCAGTAGTACAAACTCATATATGATGTCACAGGACAGTGGATCTTATAGCATAGCAGTAGCTGCTGACTTTTGTTGAAATCTACAATTCAATACAATGAATAGTATATATTATTTTTTCAAACGTACAGCTGGTTACGTCTTGTGTGTTTATTGAATATGTTTCACGTAACCAGAGGTTTGTTGTTGTTTTGCACATCTCTCTTTGGGGCAGGAGAAAGCATTCCTCACCCAGCCGTCACTGAGAGCAGTTGCAAGCGGAGAGTCAGGCAGATTTCTGGGGGAGAGTCATATTGTGCCCAAGGATACCCAAGCCCCAGACATGCCTTCTGTAGGAACCACCTATGGGCGGGCCGTCCAACCTCTCAGACCAAGTGGGCTGCAATAATACTTTGACACAGGGGCCACACACTGAATTAAATTCCTGTAGCAATAATTTAAAGTGTTTGCAATAGAGTTAATACAAGACAATTTGTTGTTTGCTGTTGTTGTTTAGTCATTTAGTCGTGTCTGACTCTTCGTGACCCCCTGGACCAGAGCACGCCAGGCACTCCTGTCTTCCACTGCCTCCCGCAGTTTGGTCAAACTCATGCTGGTAGCTTCGAGAACACTGTCCAACCATCTCGTCCTCTGCTGTCCCCTTCTCCTTGTGCCCTCAATCTTTCCCAGCATCAGGGTCTTTTCCAGGGAGTCTTATCTTCTCATGAGGTGGCCCAAGTATTGGCGCCTCAGCTTCAGGATCTGTCCTTCCCGTGAGCACTCAGAATGGATAGGTTTGATCTTCTTGCAGTCCATGGGACTCTCAAGAGTCTCCTCCAGCACCATAATTCAAAAGCATCAATTCTTCAGCGATCAGCCTTCTTTATGGTCCAGCCCAGCCTTTCGCATGATGAATTCTGCATGTAAGTTAAATAAGCAGGGAGACAATATACAGCCTTGTCGTACTCCTTTCCCAATTTTGAACCAATCAGTTGTTCCATATCCAGTTCTAAGTGTAGCTTCTTGTCCTACATAGAAATTTCTCAGGAGACAGATGAGGTGATCAGGCACTCCCATTTCTTTAAGAACTTGCCATAGTTTGCTGTGGTCGACACAGTCAAAGGCTTTTGCATAGTCAATGAAGCAGAAGTAGATGTCTTTCTGGAACTCTGTAGTTTTCTCCATAATCCAGCAAATGTTTGCAATTTGGTCTCTGGTTCCTCTGCCCCTTCGAAATCCAGCTTGCGCTTCAGGACAATATTCACAATTAGTCCATATAATCAAGCACACAAGGAATAGATTTGATATATTTATTTTTTAAACAGATCAGAGGCTGCCAAGTGTGATGGGGATTGCTGGATTCAGGCAGGACTCTGGTCAGGAAAGAAGGGGGAGGGAGAAAGTAAGGAGGTTCTTGCCAGCTCGCGGGGCGGGGCAGGGGAGGCAAAATTTATAGTAAAATTATAAGTTGTAACCAAGATGCTTACAGTGATGGCAAGGTGGAGCAGCAGGTGTACACCCCATACATGTAAAGCGCACTTAAAGCACATGGCTTCCTCCAAATATTCACAGGAATTGTAGTTTACCCATCACAGAGCCGCAATTCCCAGCACCCTTAAGAAACTACAGTTCCTGGTAATCTTTGGGGGAAGTTGTGTGCTTTAAATGTTTGGTGTTTCTGCATGTTCCTAAGTGATTCTGCCCCATGTGAATGAGTGGAAATCCCCATTGGGGTTTTCCATCCCAGGCAATCAAATGTCTTGGCCTCACCCTTGGCGTGATTCTCCCATGAGTGATTTTTCAATGCCATCTGAGTGCAACATCCCATTCATGTGTAACAGATGGAGAAGGTGTTTTCATTCCCACTAGGAACAACAGCCTTCATATGGGGTACACGTAAACAATCATGTTGCTGTCAAGCACTTTGCAAAAAAATAACAGCAGCTAAATGAGTGTTCATGAGCATGGGTTTTACTGGAGAGGAATGCAGAAAGTTCAGATGATGATGATGATGATGATGATGATGATGATGATGATTTATTTATACCGTGCCCATCTGGCTGGGCTTCCCCAGCCACTCTGGGTGGCTTCCAACAAAATATTAAAATACAGTAATTCATCAAACATTAAAAGCTTCCCTAAACAGAGCTGCCTGTTTAGAATAAGGCAGAAATGAAAGAATGTTGTTGTTGTTGATGATGATGTTGTTTTAAAAATGAAATTGGATGAGGGGACAGCAAGACGAAAGCATCTGATGGATGCGCCTATGAAAATAACCTGGCTGTATCCAATGCTAGTCCTACTCAGAGTAGACCCATTGGAATTAATGGACACAAGTAAGTTAGGATTATTCATTTCAGCAGGTGTACGTTGAGTAGGGCTAGCATTGGAGACAACCCCCTGGAATTGCCCTAGCAATGAATGGGCTGTTTGTGAAAGAAGCTTTGCATTTCCCCTGCAAGCAGATCAGAAAGAATGCACGACAAATAGCCATCGTCGTTTAAACTCCCTGCAAGCTTTGTGCAAACAAATCAGGATGGATGCACAATAAACAGGTTCTCTGGAAGCAGCCACAGTCCACAGGGAGACCGCAGAATAAAAGCAGCAGAGCCAGCAGCTGAAACCTATTTAAAGGAGACAGGGTGAGCTCCCATTGCTCAGTCCCTGCTCCTGCCAACCTAGCAGTTCGAAAGCACGTCAAAGCGCAAGTAGATAAATAGGTACCACTGTGGCGGGAAGGTAAACGTCGTTTCCGTTCGCTGCTTTGGTTCGCCAGAAGCGGCTTAGTCATGCTGGCCACATGACCCAGAAGCTGTACGCCAGCTCCCTCGGCCAATAAAGCAAGATGAGCGCCACAACCCCAGAGTCATCTGCAACTGGACCTAACGGTCAGGGGTCCCTTTACCTTTTAAATATCATTAAAAGTGTGTAATAACTTTCCACTTTCCCCAAGAGAACTTACAGTTAATTCATTACCCTTCCTACATGTCCAGCCCAAGGGATCTGCCCACCCTCCAAAGTCACTTTTCACTTCCCAAAACTTGTACCCTGAGTAACGGCATTCTTGTATTGCAAGGAACAGAAACCTGTATCCTTCCAGATGTTGCTGAACTTCCATCAGTCCCAGCCAGCATAGTCAAGGATCAGGAATACGGGAGCTGTAGCCCAACCACATATGCAGGGCCAGAGATTCACCCTCTGCCTCCCACTGCCTTACTGAATACTTCTCAAGCTCTCATGTAGAATCTTTGATCTGCCAAGCAATCACACTCATCCCCTGCTGGTGCACAGGGCTGTCGACAGGAACGGTGGCAGAGTCCGTGTGGCAACAAAGACCAAACGCCTCACTCAAAACCAGGGCCAGCCCAAGACATTTTGGCACCTGAGGGGACCCACAAAATGGCGACACCCTCCCTGCCAGGGCAGAAGGGCCGAATGAACATTCCCTCACTGCAAGAAGTGAAGTTACAGGGAACAAGGCAGAGGGCCTTCTTGGCAGTGGCTCCATTCCCATCAGATGTCAAGGAAATGAACAACTATCTGACTTTTAGAAAACCCTGTATTGGGAAGTTTTTAATGTTTGAGGTCAGGGGTACCATCTCACCATCAGGATTGTGGGTGCCCGCTACCGCAATACGGACGTGCGACGTCACACACACTACGTGCAGGTGTGTGCGTGTGACGTTGCACGTCTGTTTGCGGCAGCTCCTTTCTCCGCAGCCAGCAAGGCACCCTTTTCCATGGCGAGAGGTTCATACTGAGAGTCTGCCTTCATGTCCGAGCCCCCCACCCTGGTCGGAAAAAGGTGCTTTGCTTGCTGGCTGCAGAGGACAGAGTTGAACTGCTTCTTTCTCAGAGGCAGCACTGCTGCCGCCTGTCGGCTTTTCCCATTGGCTTTGCGGGTGCCCAGTCCCCACAATTATATTATTATGGGGGCCCAAGGACCCTCGGCTCCCATGTTTGAAGTTTTGCTATGTTTTTATCTGTACTGTAAGCCGCCCAGCGTGGCTGGGGAAACCCAGCCAGATGGGCAGAGTATAAATATTACCATATTATTATTATTATTATTAGGAACAAGAGCAGGGGGAGGGATAAAGATTAAAATCAGGGTCGACACACAAACTACGGGACAAGGATAACTGTGACTTTAAAGATGAATGGGAACCCTTTACAAAGTATTTGAAGACGCAACAAAGCGAACTGGACTCCTTGGCTGGCTTTGAATAAACACTCACAAACTTTTTATTGACAATAATCAGTTAAATAATTTAAGGATTTATACAACTTTGTAACATGCAGAGAAGAGCATTCACAGAGAAACCAAAGACTGGAACTGAGGGAAGTCGGGGGGTGGGTGGGGGGTTGTGTGGGAGCGTGGGGGGAGGGAGGGAGGGAAATGTGGGGGAAACTAAGGACAACGTGTTTTTGGATAATATGTTTTGTTTAAATCTTTAATAAAAATTATAAAAAAGAGATTAAAATCAGGGTCTGCTGCCCCTGTGGATCTGCTGCCTGAGGCAGTCGCCTCAGCTTGCCTCATGGGTGGGTCGGCCCTGCTCCAAAGAGTATCTCTTTCTGATTGCTCCACTGCTGCTCATGTGCACCAGAACAGAACTATGGGAAGTGCCCATAAGGAGACAATAACTGGCAGGGTTGGAGAAGGCATGTTTAGCGCTTTAGGGCTGCCTTGGTCTCCTGCGGTGCAGAAGCTTAGACTCAGTGGTGGAGCCAAAATGCAAGGGACAGTGCTGTAAGACAGACAGTAGCAGCTTTTGCCTTCTTTTAAATTCTCCTTTCAACACCAGCGCAGAATTACCCACTGCAGAATCAGAACCCTCTTTCCTTTGTGCTTTCAGAAAGGTTTGTTACTTGCAGTCATACAATGGGGGAACAGCTATAGCTCCGTGGCAGAGCATCTGCTTTGTGTGCAGAAGGGCGCAGGTTCAATCCCTGGCATCTCCCGGGAATTGTATGTCTGTAAGTAACAAGCCTGCTTTTTAAAACACAGTAAGAGAGAGATACTGTATTGGCCCTAATATAAGCCGCATCCAAATATAAGCCGCACCTTTAAAATTGGAGGGACAGAAAGAAAAAATACCTGAATATAAGCCGTTCCGTTCCTCGCTGCTCTTGGCTGCATGCTGGAAAGTCGTGAATATAAGCCGCACTTTAACTTTTCACGGTCGGAATTTGGGGGGAAAGTGAAGCTTATATTCAGGCCAATACAGTAAGTGTCTCTAATGGCCTTCTTTAAGATGGTCAAAAGCTTCCTTTTTAGGGTCATAAATGGTTCCTCCTTTTCAAAGTGGTTTTAATTTCTGCTGTTTTATTATTTTTGATGGTGGTTGCGTTTTTAAATAAATATTTTTCTTTTACCGTAGTGTTTTATGACTCCCTTGCTATATTTATTGCTGTGGTCAAATTGTTTTAAAAATGGTCGCATTGCTGTTTGAGGTCTTTTGTGAGCCACTCTGGGCTCTTTGGCGTAAGTGTTTCAGGCAGCAATCTTACATGGGGCTTACTCTGCAGCAAACGACACCATCAAATGTTCCCCCTCCAATTTCCATGGACTGAAGCCGGCCGGCCAGCCAGCCAGCTAAATTTAGTCCCATCACTGGTGATGGGATGGCATTCTCCACAGCTTTCCTCCACCCCTGAGGCCTCAGGTGTTGTTGGACTACAACTCCCATCTTCCTTAGCCATCTCACCCAGTGGTGAGGGATGGGAGTTGTTGTCCAACACCCCCCCAAAAAAAGAATATTTGGAACTGTAGTTTAAGGGTGCTGGGAATTGTAGCTCTGTGAGAAGCAAGCTATAGTTCCCATGATTCTTCAGGGGGAAGCCTTCCATGAATAATAATAGCTTAAAGGTCCCGGGCCCTAAAGAAGCCAGACTACCCACCACCAGGGCCAGGGCTTTTTCAGTGATGGCTCCGACCTGGTGGAATGCTCTGTCCCATGAGACTAGGGCCCTGCAGGACTTGATCTCCTTCCGCAGGGCCTGTAAGACAGAGCTATTCCGCCTGGCCTTTAATTTGAATTCAGCCTGATCTTTTATTTCCCTTTTCCCTTTCCTTTTCTATGAGGAAACCCATCTGGGACCCCACATTTAAACTCTTCCTTGGTCTCCTTGCTGGCCTTAGTAGGACCAACTTGGCCAGTTAGCCCTGGTGATCATTTACTGTTTACTGACTGGGGTTCCCTTGAATTTTTGAATTTTATTGACGTTGATGCTGCATTTATGTTGTATTTTATGCTGTTTTTAAGTCGCATTTTAATCAATGTTTTATATCTGCTGTTAGCCGCCCTGAGCCCGGTTTTTAAACTGGGAAGGGCGGGGTATAAATAAAATTTATTTATTTATTTATTTATTATTATTATTATTAAATGTCTGCTGTGTGTGCAGTCAGTGGGGGAGGGGGGTTTTCCAAGAAGGCTGTGCCACCCCACCAGAGGGCAGCAAACTAGTTTAAGGGGCACAGGCTGAGGTCAACCCCTGCAAGTCCCACACAATGCTTTCCACCAACCCTTCACTGCCACTCCTCCTGCACCCCAGCAGCTGTCACCTGAGGCAGCTGCCTTACTCTGCCTCAGGGTAGGGCCAGCCCTGCCTGTCGCAGGAAGAGGGGAGGGGAGATGGGTAGTCAAACAGAGGCAGATTTGTCTGGGATTGCTAGAAAACAGAGAGCCCCTCCCTCCCCGGTGGCCTCATTTCATCCCAAAGCGGAGCTGTATCTCTTGTTTCAGAGCTGAAGCAGCTGAGAAAAAGTGCCCTTGTGCGTCTTGGGTCAGGTACTAGGAAAAGCTTTTAGAGAGCCATTCCTTGCAGCTTTCCCTCTCCGCCTTTTCCTCGCTCCCTCCTTTCCCTCCCCTCCCTTTTAAGCGCCTTCCTTTCTCAGTGGTTTTCTTAGCTTTGGCTGCAAGTCGGGTGGGGACAACTCTTTCAGGCTGGGGGCCACATTGCCTTCCAAGCAGCCTTCCAGGGGCCACAAAAGAGTGATGGCAGGTGGGACAAGAAGAAGTATGCAGAGCAAGGAATAGAAACTTTTGCCATATGTGGTGGGGGCGTAAGGTGGTAAAACAATTTTGTAACGAGATACATGAGGAGATCAAAAAGAGCCTCAGGAGCTCTATTTCAAAAAACCCAGAGTCATACTTATTGAGTTTATTAACAAACGACATACCCAAGGACAAAAGGAATATATTTTTGTATATAACCACAGCCGCAAGAATACTTATGGCAAAATATTAGAAAACAGAAAAGGTACCACAAATGACAGAATGGCAAGTTAAGACTTGTGAGTTTGCCGAGATGGCAAAAATGACGGCATCAATCAAAAATTATATACAGAATGGGAATACATAGGGGAATACGTGAAGAAATATGGTGTTAAAGCAAAACTCTTAATAGGCAATTGCTAAGCGTGTATGGACAAAAGAAGTAATTATAATTTATCAGTTTTCATGTTATTTTATTTTGTTAAAACAACTAAAAAAACATGTTAGGAAGATCTCACACAGGTGAAGGGAAGCAGTGGGGAGGAGGGCAGGGTTAGGTTGAATTTGGGAAATAAAATAATATGTGGGACAGCAAAGGATATAATAGATTCTTATAGAATAGTAATATATTGTAACCAGAATAGAAGTTCAAAAGGGGAAGTAAATGTATTTTTAGTATTTTCATTATTGTAATAGCTATTATTATTTCTTATCAGTAGAAGGCAATGTTAACTTAGACTTCTATGTTTCTTAGTTTTCTTAAGTCAATAAAAAAAGAAAGGGGAAAAAAGAGAAACGTTTGCCTTTGTAATGTAGGCTAGTTTCTAAACAAACACAGACACACCAGCCTCCACCCCAAATGCAAAAGCATTCTCAGAGTTCACACACATTATAGCAAGGCAAAAACACTCCAGGAGGCTGCAGAGTGTAGGGTTGCAATATGTCTGTAATTTACCAGACATAGCCAGGATTTGGCTGTCGGAAGCCGTGTCCTGGTGGAAATTGCAACCCATCTCGTAAGAGTAGATTTATTCTCTTAAAAATACAGTGGTACTTCAGGTTCCATATGCTTCAGGCATTCCATATGCTTCAGGTTCCAGACTCCGCTAACCCAAAAATATTGCTTCAGGTTAAGAACTTTGCTTCAGGATAAGAACAGAAATCGGGCTCCGGCGGCGTGGCAGCAGCAGGAGGCCCCATTAGCTAAAGTGGTGCTTCAGGTTAAGAACAGTTTCAGGTTAAGAACGGACCTCCAGAACAAATTAAGTCCTTACCCTGAGGTACCACTGTAGCTCTAGAACATTCTTTGGGGGCAAAGCCTAACAACTTTGGTTCAGAAAAAAAAAGAAAAAGCTCAACAACTCTGCCCCCACCCGAAAAGCTTGTGTCAAGATTTTTTACTTTTTGAAATATATGGCAACCCTAGCAGAGTGGTGATGAATTGCCTGAGGAGAAGGGCTGTGGCTGAGGAGGAGGTGAGCCTGGGAATAATCTTGAGGGTCAGAGAGAGTGAAAGACCTGGAGGGATACATTTGGCCCTGGGGGGGTGAGCTTCCCCACCCCAGTGTTACTGCAGTGAAGGCGAAATGTGAACTCACCCAAGGGATTTTTTTAAAAAAATCTTTATTAATTTAAATTACACACTTATACAAAGAATTTACAAAGAAGTTACAATCTCATACTACAAAAAAAATTGAAGAAAAAACAATTAAGAAAAAAGAAAAGAAAATACAGAAAAAAGAAAAAGCAAATTTACGTACCAAAACAAATCTTCCTAATTAATACTTAATTAAGCACTTAAATCATAGAATCATAGAGTTGGAATAGACCACAAGGGCCATTGAGTCCAACCCCCTGCCAAGCAGGAAACACCATCAGAGCACTCCTGACATATGGTTGTCAAGCCTCTGCTTAAAGACCTCCAAAGAAGGAGACTCCACCACACTCCTTGGCAGCAAATTCCACTGTCGAACAGCTCTTACTGTCAGGAAGTTCTTCCTAATGTTTAGGTGGAATCTTCTTTCTTGTAGTTTGGATCTATTGCTCCGTGTCCGCTTCTCTGGAGCAGCAGAAAACAACCTTTCTCCCTCCTCTATATGACATCCTTTTATATATTTGAACATGGCTACCATATCACCCCTTAACCTCCTCTTCTCCAGGCTAAATAAAAAAGACTTCTGACAAAAGGAGTCTTCCAACCATTCTCATTGTACTGTTTATGCTGTCATTTCCCCCCGCACAGTTTTATATTCTTTAATATTGTTCCCGTCTACTCCACAAACGGTATTTTTGTGTTTACAAGTATCACTCAAGTTCTGCTAATATGGTGTGATTGGTACAATACTATCTTATATTATCCTTAAATATTCTCCATTCTCCAAATATTTTCTGGCTCAATACTCCTCTAACTCTTTCCATCAGTTTTGCTAGTTGTAAATATTCTAACACGAGTATCTGCCAATCTGTAATTGTCGATATAGTTTCGTTTTTCCATTTCCTCGTCACAAGAATTCTTGCTGCTGTGGTGGCATACATGAACAGCGGTCTTATGTCTTTTTTAATTTCTAATGGTAAAATGCCTAAAAGAAAGATCTCAGGGTTGTTGTTTTTAAAGGTTAGTCTGAATAATTTCTTAAATTCATTATAGATATTATCCCAGAAATTTTTTATTGTTGGGGTAAACATTCAAATGGCACCTTCCCAGTGCTGGTTTCAAGTCTGAGGGTTCCATGGTCAAAAGTGCCCTCTGATGGACTACCCTACCCTGCTCCCTCTCCTAACTCTTCTTTCTTCCGAACCCAGACCGTAATCCTCCCAGTGTCCCAGCAAGACAACCCAACATGGACCCAGCCAGCTTCCTGCTGCTCTGTCTATGGTCACTGTGGACCTTGGGATGCAGCCAAGCAGCTACGCAAGCAGACTCGATCAAGATAGAAGGGGACATCACGCTGGGAGGGCTGTTCCCCGTCCACTCCCGTGGCCCCGCTGGAGTGCCGTGCGGGGAAGTGAAGAAAGAGAAGGGAATCCATCGGATGGAGGCCATGCTGTACGCCCTGGACCAGATCAACAGTGACCCCGACCTGCTTCCCAACATGACGCTGGGCGCTCGCATCCTGGACACCTGCTCCCGCGACACCTACGCCTTGGAGCAGTCGCTGACGTTTGTCCAGGCCCTGATCCAGAAGGACACTTCCGGCGTGCGCTGCTCCAACGGGGAGCCACCCATCATCGCCAAGCCCGAGCGTGTGGTAGCTGTCATTGGCGCCTCTGCCAGCTCTGTCTCTATCATGGTGGCCAATGTGCTTCGCCTCTTTGCCGTGAGTAGAGGGGCAGGACTTGAAAATGGCATTTCCCCAGAAAAGGCCGAACAGCTATGGGGTGGGGGGCACGGTAGGAATGGGGGGAAATCATAGAATTGCAGAGTTGGAATGGACCACGATGGTCATTAGTCCATCCCCCCGCAGTATCGGAATCTTTTGCCCAACATGGAGCCAAACTCACGTAATTCGCAGCTTTTGAAGCAATATGCGAACCAAAAGAAGAAAGCACCTAATTGTCAACACAACCTACAACCTTTGAATGGTTGTAATAGTTCTCTGGCTTCAGTATATTCAATTCAATTCAATCAGTTTATTACAGTCATAGACCAGCAGTCAGAGAATAGAATATTAAGTGGATAAAAAACAAAACTGATAATTAAAACAGATAAAAACTAAAAACAAATAAAAACATTCAATAAAACAACTAAAACTAAAAACAAATAAAAACATTCAATAAAACAACTAAAACTAAAAACAAATAAAAACATTCAATAAAAACAGACAATTAAAACAATGTACAACAATGAATTTAGACACACTGTGCATATATTGAAATGAGCTCTTCTTAGCCATTGGCTTAGCTCATGTTGTTGTTGTTTAGTCATTTAGTCGTGTCTGACTCTTCGTGACCCCCTGGACCAGAGCACGCCAGGCACTCCTGTCTTCCACTGCCTCCCGCAGTTTGGTCAAACTCATGCTGGTAGCTTCGAGAACACTGTCCAACCATCTCGTCCTCTGTCGTCCCCTTCTCCTTGTGCCCTCCATCTTTCCCAACATCAGGGTCTTTTCCATGGAGTCTTCTCTTCTCATGAGGTGGCCAAAGTATTGGAGCCTCATCTTCAGGATCTGTCCTTCCAGTGAGCACTCAGGGCTGATTTCCTTCAGAATGGAGAGGTTTGATCTTCTTGCAGTCCATGGGACTTTCAAGAGTCTCCCCCAGCACCAGAATTCAAAAGCATCAATTCTTCGGCGATCGGCTTAGCTCATACCCTCCAACATTTGTCCAATGAAAATAGGGACGTCCCATTCCATACTGATAATTTTACTGTTTATATCCCACACATCTTACTGGGTTGCCCCAGCCACTCTGGGCAGCTTCCAACATATATAAAACATAACAAAACTTTAAACAGAAAAAAACCTTCCCTTTACAGGATTGTCTTCAGACGGTCACGGGTCAGATAACTCCATACCCTCCAGCATTTCTCTAATGGAAATAGGGACATTCTAAGGAAAAGCAGGATCAAATCAGAAACCGCGATGGCTTCTCTAAATCAGGGGTGTCCCTGGAAAACAGGGACCCTTGGAGGGTCTGTTAGGTGATGTGTGTTATTGGGTGTTCAGAAACATTCCAACTGCTCAGAAGTCAGCACACTGGTTAAGAACCAGAATCAGGTCCTAAGAAGGGAGAAACATCTCTATCAAAGTGACAATCAACTGCTACTATACCAGGAATGGGGAATCTGTGGCCTTTCAGATGTTGTTGGGCACCAACTCCCATTAGCTCCAGGCAGCATGGCCAATGGTCATCATGGACAGTGGAAGTTGAACAACATCTAGAACAAGGCTGAGAGAGTTTTTCTGAATGGAGGAGAGAGAGAGAGAGAGAGAGAGAGAGAGAGAGCACGCTAAAAACTGATGTCCTGTGTACAGATGTCTGATGCTGCCCGAAACGTGGGTGCCTGGGAATTTTGGCATTCATGTTTTTAAAAAGTTCCTAGTCCTCATGTTTGTGGAGATGTGTTTGAATAACACAGGACTGAAACTTCTAAATTTAGTTGGGAACTTCTCCCTTTCTCATGGCTTCCTCCTTTATACCCTTGCTGCTCCTGCACTTCATAGCCACATAGTTATGGTAGCTAAAGAGCTTTAAAAGTACAGAACTTTTATATTTGCAAATACATCGGAGAGGAGAGTGTGCATAGGTTGGGGACTGAACGTTCATTTTCTCCAGCAAATATGGGGAGAAAAGCAATGGTACCGAGCGTTTGATACCAGACCTTAAAGACTACCATCTCTTTTTAACTCAACTCCTGTGCCTTTAACCCATGAGGCAGAAAACCAACAGGCAAAGTACTTCCTGGCATGAAATGTGATGATTGGAGAGATTCACCTGTTGAATTTCTGCCTGTCACGCTGCACTTAAAAGCACAGCAGGAGCCCTGCAAGCAGAGAGAAATTGAGGCAAGCCTCCCTGAGCACTTGATCATGGATGAGTAGCCCAGTCACACATAAACACACGCCTGACCTTTTAACTATACTCAGCTGGGAGTCTCTGGGGTGGTGGGGGGTAGCAGGGTCAGTTTGAGCTGTAGGACAGATGGCTTTTCCCTGACACGCCAGATTTGGCAGAGGTGCTTAGCAGCTGCCTAGGGAGGGAAGCTAGAACAGGCAGGGCTGGTAAAAGGGGCAAGGGAGGTGGGCTTGGGTGGAAGGGTGGGCAATAGTTGCAAGGCAGATAAGTGAGTGTGGCAGGGAGCCAGGCACCACCAGAACACCACCTTAAAACCATTACAAACTGCAGGAATTTGGGGCATCTGCACCACCACACAGCTCCACCCCACCCCCCTTGTTTCCCTTAACCTCCAGCCCAATGAAGCGTTCTGCGGAACCTGGAAGCTTGCTCATTATTTTGTGTCATTTTGCACAACGTCAAAGGAAGGTGCTGCCCTGTTGTGATTTCGGGATCATGGGGCTCGTAGCCAGATGCATGAACGCAATGCGATGGACCTGCATGTTTATCCATGGGGGCCCTTCCCCACACCCCACACCAGGGGTCAGCAAACTTTTTCAGCAGGGGGCCGGTCCACTATCCCTCAGACCTTGTGGGGGGCCGGACTATATTTTGGGGAAAAAATATGAACGAATTATTATGCCCCACAAATAACCCAGAGATGCATTTTAAAGAAAAGCACACATTCTATTCATGTAAAAAGACGCTATAATAATAATAATTTATTATTTATACCCCGCCCATCTGGCTGAGTTTCCCCAGCCACTCTGGGCGGCTTCCAATCAAGTGTTAAAAACAATACAGCATTAAATATTAAAAACTTCCCTAAAACAGGGCTGCCTTCAGATGTCTTTTAAAAAGAAGATAGCTGCTTATTTGCTTCACATCTGAAGGGAGGGCATTCCACAGGGCGGGCGCCACTACCGAGAAGGCCCTCTGTCTGGTTCCCTGTAACCTCATTTCTCGCAATGAGGGAACCGCCAGAAGGCCATTCGGTGCTGGATCTCAGTGTCCGGGCTGGACGATGGGGGTGGAGACGCTCCTTCAGGTATACAGGACCGAGGCCGTTTAGGGCTTTAAAGGTCAGCACCAACACTTTGAATTGTGCTCGGAAACGTACTGGGAGCCTAGAATGTCCCTATTTCCATTAGAGAAATGCTGGTAGTATGGAGTTATCTGACCCCTGACCATCTGAAGGCAATCCTGTAAAGGGATTTTTTTTTATGTTTAATGTTTTATTATGTTTTATATATGTTGGAAGCTGCCCGGAGTGGCTGGGTAAACTCAGCCAGATGGGCAGGGTATAAACAGTAAAATTATCAGTATGGAATGGGACGTCCCTATTTTCATACGCTGATTACCAGACCGTCCGCAGGCTGGATTTAGAAGGCGATTGGGCCAAATCCGGCCCCCAGGCCTTAGTTTGCCTACCCATGCCCCAACTACATTGGGGCTGCAGGAGGTGGGGAGAGACAGTGCAAAGCTTTCCTGCCTGCTGGGCTCGCCTCATCCTTGTACTTTGGGGTTTTTGGATTTTTTTAAGCATGCACATTCATTGCCTCCATGCCATTAACACCATATCTTGTTTGATCCTTCAATGGACACAGAGAAATGGAGGCAGACACAGAGAATGAACTTTCAATGGTTAATGGTTGAGCAACCTTTTTTTACTATTAGCCAACACCCCAAGCCTTTCTAGAAACAGCTGATTCATCAAGGCCAGCCCTACCATTAGGTAGATTCCTTAAGTGGCAGGTGGGAGGGAGGGCAGGTAGAGCCATACATGCCACACGGTCTACCCAGTGCCTCCAATGTCTGCTGAAATGGGTGGCGATGGGTGCCATCTTGCTGTTCCCCTCAAGCAGCAAAATGCCTAGGAGCGGGGGTGGGGGACGTTTTTCAGCCTGGGGGCCACACTTCCCCAAAAGCAACCTTCTAGGGACTGCTTGCCAGGGACAGGCAGGGAAAGAGTTGGCCGGGCAACAGATAGTTAGATGGTTAGAACTAATGACTGATAACTAGTACCAGCCCCAAGGAGCAACCAATTTGTATCAAGTGTTCTTGAGTTTGCAGGAGCTGAGAACCGCAAAGGAGGACCCAGGGGCTATAGGGACCTGCTGCTCCCTCCATGTGACTTCACAAGACACACCCAAAAATCATGAGCACAAGGGAGTCCTGAAGGATGCTCACAGGGGAAAGAGCCTGAGATGCAAACCTAACAATTAAACCCCTGGTGTTGCAAGCAAATATCAGTAATATCCAAAGGCAACATGATGACCAAGTACAACAATGCGATGTCAATATAAACTCTTTATATAATCTATACAGAACATTGAACAATATGAAATATGCACTCTCTGCAAAACCAAATAAACAATGCTGCCGAAGTGGTCCTCAAACAGATGTAGTGAACAGTGATTCCAGATATACCCACTGTTTCGTGGAATTCTTCTTCAGCACAGCAGAAGGATACAGAAATGCTTCAAAAACTGCAATTGAATTATTGAAATGATGACCTTCATCAGCATTGGACGTCATAAAACAAAGCTTTACTGCTTGTTTCCTCCAGATAAGAATCTGACCCAGTGCTTCTTACAGAGACTTGCATAGCCCACAAAGACGTTCAGAGACCTATAACATTTATGTTTATTTGGTTCTATATTTTGAAGAGAATCCATCAAGAGTGCATATTCTGTGACTTTCAGAGATTTAGAAGAATTCTGTTTATTTGGTTTTGCAGAGAGTGCATATTTCATATATTTCATATTGTTCAATGTTCTGTATAGATTATATAAAGAGTTTATATTGACATTGCATTGTTGCACTTGGGCATGTGTTGCCTTTGGATATTACTGAGATGCAGACCTGCCTGCCTTGTCCACATTCTTGCTATGCAGATCTAGGTAAATGTGCTGTTCCACACATGGGTCCTGCTGAGCAGCCTCAGCCTTGCAAGCTCCCCCCCCCTTCCCCAGCCTCAGCTGTCCCTGACTGGAGCTGCTGCTGCTCATTTTGCTAAAACCCCTCTAATCCCCATCACTAATCGCTTTAATGGGGCTTCTCACAGACCCAGCGAGGGCGGGAAGCAGAGACATGCTGTGGAAAGGGAAATGGGACAATTTGGTGCAGCTAGGAGAGGAGGACGGGGGTGGGTGGGGGGCAGGATAATGGAAGCCAGCATTCTCACTGGGAAACTGGATTTTGGTGAGGGGAACCAGGAGTCCTGGGATCCATCTGCCTCAAAGATTGGGAGACGATCCAGGAGACATGGGTTAGAATTGGGAAAGAGCCAAGATGATCAGCTCAGTTCTGTTGGATGCCCTCTGCCCTCAGTTTCCTCACGCTGCCCCCAAAATCTGGTATAAAACACCACTCTAATCTCTGCCTTCCATTTCCCATTTAGCATTTCTGTAATAATTATCCACAGACAAGCACAACAGCGCTATGATATATGCCAGCTGTCCCCACCCTGGTGCTCTCCAAATGGTTTGGGCTACATCTTGCAGCATCGCTGACCATTATCCATTGAGCTTCATCATGGGTTTTGCACTGCAGCCTCCTGCATCTTCTAAACCCAACACTCAGTCCTCTTCTATCAGGGTAGCTCCGGCAGCTATTTTTCCGCTGCCTGGCCTGGTGCACAGCCTCTCAGGTTGCTTCCATGCTACAGGCCCTTTAACTTCTGCAATCAGCTGGAAGAGGGATTGTGCACTATGTCCACATGGCACTATGTTAAATGGCAATCTCCTTCCCCATGGTCAAAATCTTTCTCAAACGTTTACTTGCAATTGAGTGATATCCACCAATGTCCCCTGTAATGTTAATTGGTAGCTTCTTCTTTTCACATTCTGCTCATTTTATTCCTTCCTGTTCTACACAGCTGGAAGTTTTGTGATGCACTGCCCCTCAATAAGTCAGGTTCTTTTTACTATTATGCAGGGAGAGCTTTAATTACAGGCTTCCTTTCACTATTATTTTTCTTTTATAGCAAAATAACTATTTTTCTTTAAAAGAAAAGAAACTGGTTTATTAACTGCACCACCACTAGGCAGGAAACAGAAGCTACCTACCAATTAAGGGTCTCTGCGGGTGGCGCTGTGGGTTAAACCACAGAGCCTAGGACTTGCCTATCAGAAGGTCGGCGGTTTGAATCCCCGCGACGGGGATTCCCAGGGGGAAGGTAAACGGCGTTTCCGTGAGCTGCTCTGGTTCGCCAGAAGCGGCTTAGTCCTGCTGGCCACATGACCCGGAAGCTGTATGCCGGCTCCCTCGGCCAATAAAGCGAGATGAGCGCCGCAACGCCAGAGTCGGCCATGACTGGACCTAATGGTCAGGGGTCCCTTTGGACAGGAGCAATTGATCTCTAACCACCTGGCAGCACTGAACAGGAAGTGATAAACAGCACAGAACCTACAAAGAGGAAGCTTTTAATCAGAGGCACAGTAGTTAAAAGCCTCAATAGCATTTTGACTGCCTACAGTTGGCAGGCAGGTGCTGCAATTATGCTTTATTGCAACCCTGCCCCTGAAAACCCCCTCAAAGTGTGTGGGGGGGATGCAGAAAACACTGGATTGGAAGAGGAGTATCATGATGTAATCTTCATTCTCTGAGAGGGGGAAAAGGCAATATGAAAGAAAGGGGCTAATCTGGAAGCTTTCCTGATCTCATCTGCTAGCAGCTAGGGAATGCAATGCATATGAAAAAGAAAGCATATTCCAGAACCTAGAACTGAGCCTCACATACCTCATTGCCCTGTTACAGCATCTTTGGGTTTGAATGGTTTCCTCCACTAGTCTGGAATTGTTTTGACAATACATATTTATAGGCTGGTACTTGGTTTCCTGTTTCAAGTGAATCATCCTTTTCAATTCTATGATAACAAAGCTTGGGTATTAAGTGCGCACACTGGGGCCAGACTAGAAACACTGTGTTTCCCATGTGACATATAGATGCTTCAATCTGCTCTGGAATTTGGCATGGCAATGATAGTACCCCATAGAATTGTTGTTGTTACTATTACTATTATATAGGTTTCTTACTCACCCTTCATAATGAGGTCCCAGGGTGAGTAGCAACCATTTTAAAATACAGTATTAAAATACTGATTGGCTAACCTTTGGTTAGAGGGACGCGGGTGGCGCTGTGGGTTAAACCACAGAGCCTAGGACTAGCTGATCAGAAGGTCGGCGGTTCGAATCCCCGTGACGGGGTGAGCTCCCGTTGCTCAGTCCCTGCTCCTCCCAACCTAGCAGTTCGAAAGCATGTCAAAGTGCAAGTAGATAAATATACCGCTCCGGCGGGAAGGTATACGGCGTTTCCATGTGCTGCTCTGGTTAGCCAGAAGCGGCTTAGTCATGCTGGCCACATGACCCAGAACTGTACACCGGCTCCCTCGGCCAATAAAGCGAGATGAGCACCACAACCCCAGAGTCGGCCACGACTGGACCTAATGGTCAGGGGTCCCTTTACCTTTACCTTTGGTTAGCATATTTGTGAATTGCTGCGTTCAGCCACTGGAAAGTACAGCAGCCCATTATCTATAAGGGTCAATTCATATGTAATAATTTACAGATTTTTATATTTTATTAGGTTTATGTTACATACACTCAGTGCTTTTTTTTCTAAAAAAAATGTTTAGGAGTACTCTCATCTTCAAATATCTCAAGGGCTGTCACATGGAAGAGGGAAGAAGCTTGTTTTCTCCTGCTCTTGGGGTTGGGGTAGGACATGAACCAATAAATTTAAGTTACCAGAAGGGAGATTCCAACTAAACATCAGGAATAACTTTCTGACAGTAAGAGCTGTTTGACAGCGGAATATTGGGAGCTTGTGAACCCTCCTCCCTTGGACGTTTTTAAGTAGAGGTTGGATGGCCACCTGGCCTGGCTGCTTTAGTTGAGATTCCCATATTGCAGGGGGTCAGGCTAGATGAGTCTTGGGGATCCCTTCCAACTCTAATTCTATGATTCTAATGGAGAAGGGAAGGATATTCCAGGCCTAGAGAGGCCTGAGAGCAAGTCTGTAGCATAATTAGGGTAGGACAATGTACCAGCAGCTAGCGATTCCCAGTGTGGTGTAGTGGTTCAGAGCGGTGGACTCGTAATCTGGTGAACCGGGTTCACTTCCCCACTCCTCCACGTGCAGCTGCTGGGTGACCTTGGGCTAGTCACACTTCTCTGAAGTCTCTCAGCCCCACTCACCTCACAGAGTGTTTGTTGTGGGGGAGGAAGGGAAAGGAGATTGTGAGCCACTTTGAGATTCCTTAAGGACCCCTGACCATTAGGCCCAGTCATGGCAGACTCTGGGGTTGCAGCGCTCATCTTGCTTTACTGGCCGAGGGAGCCGGCGTACAGCTTCTGGGTCATGTGGCCAGCATGACTAAGCCGCTTCTGGCGAACCAACCAGAGCAGCGCACGGAAACGCCGTTTACCTTCCCGCTGGAGCAGTACCTATTTATCTACTTGCACTTTGACGTGCTTTCGAACAGCTAGGTTGGCAGGAGCAGGGACCAAACAACAGGAGCTCACCCCGTCGTGGGGATTCGAACCGCCGACCTTCTGATCGGCAAGTCCTAGGCTCTGTGGTTTAACCCACAGCGCCACCCACGTCCCACTTTGAGACTCCTTAGGATATTGATAAAACAGGATATCAAATCCAAACTCTTCTTCTTCTCTCCACCCCTCCAGATACCCCAGATCAGCTACGCCTCCACGGCGCCTGAGCTCAGTGACAGCAACCGCTATGATTATTTCTCCCGCGTGGTTCCTCCGGACTCCTACCAGGCCCAGGCCATGCTGGACATTGTCAAAGCCATGGGCTGGAATTACGTCTCCACGCTGGCCTCCGAGGGCAACTACGGCGAGAGCGGTGTCGATGCCTTCATGCAAATCTCCCGCGAGGCTGGTGAGCCAGAGGATACCTGACGGGTGAGGTGGGGGGGCAGCAGAGCCAGGAGGAGGAGAACCCAGAGAGACCTTTCAGCTTGAGCCGCCACTTTCCTCCGGGAGAAACTGCGGTTTGGCGCTGATTCAGAACAAACGGCAATCGGGTTTTCTGCAGCTTGCCGTCTGTTCCGATTGAGCACCAAAGAGAGGGTTTTCCAGGAGGAAGCAGCGGGGAAAAGGCAAAAGTGCTCAGAAAGCACAGGGCAAGCAGAAGGGACAAGCAGAAACAGCGCCTTCAAGGAAGGTGTTCGATGATCGTAAAACGGTCCAGGAAGTGGCGGTGGCAGAGGAGGACAGAGCAGGAGGGGGGGAAGGTGAGAGGGGAGTTAGCAGGTGGGTGGGGAAGCTGTGGTGGCAGCAACAGGATGGTATCCCAGCATCCCAGCGTGCACCGTCACAAAAAAAGCACTGAGCAGAAGTGTTGACAGGCCCTTGGCCAAACACCCATGGGTGCAATAACTATGCCTGACATATTCTGGAGTGTTTGTGGGGAGGGGGAGAAGACACATGCCAGTCATGGGCATAAAGGCAGGAGTCTACTTCCCCATACCTACCTGTCTTTATATAGTTAGAGAATATCTATCTAAGAAAAGATGTCATCATGCAGCTGTTTGTGCCCAACTGCAGCTTAGGGACGGAACAGCAGGCAGCACAGGCAGGTGAGATTGCAAATGGGGGCCAGCTGCCTAGGATAGTAGCTACACGGGAGCCACCAGGATGGGCCAGGCAGGGGTGTAGGAAGGGAGGGCGGTTCGCCCCGGGTTCCATCATGGTGGGGGGTGTCAAAAAGGAAGAATTACTGCCCTGCTAGGGGGGTTCATTAAAAAAAAATGCCTGCTCCAAAGGTCTTAACTTACTACACTAGGGATTATATAGCTATATCTGAATTTTCATGCATATCAGTTAATATCTTGACCCTCCTCCACGAAGATAACTGTTTACTTGGCTGTTTTCATACGTTGTGAAGGCTGAAATTTCAATTCAGTGGAGCCAAAACACAATCCATCCTGTAGATTTAAGTATCTGTCCACAGTCCCCTCCTTGTTATCAGAGGCCCATAATCCACATTCCTTTGTAAGAAAATATGAAATAACATAAAACTATTTTTGCAGGCAAAAAAAAAAAATCAATGCGGGGGTGTCACAAGAAATTTTCCGCACCGGGTACCACCTGACCTTCCTACGCCTTTGGGACCAGGGCAGCTCCAGCAACCTCACACTGATGAGAAAAAAGCAGTGGGGAGGGGGACATTTTAAAGAGGGAAGTGTGCTGAAGAGAAAGGCTCACGAGTCCTTTCCTCCCACAGTTCCACTTTGCAGGAGTGTCTCTAGCCTGTGGCTCTCCAGCTGCAGACGTTTAAGTGCCGGACTAGGACCTGGGTTCAAATGCCCTCTCAGCCATGAATCCCATTAGGTGACCTTGGGCCGGTCTCTCAGCCCAACCTACCTCACAGGGTTGTTGCGAGTATAACAATGGAGAGGGGGGGATGCGGGTCCGAAACCCTGAGCTCTTTGGAGAAAAGGTGGGGTAGAAATTAAATTAAATGAATAATAAACTCCCGTAAGGCCTAGCAAACATGGCCAGTGGTCACGGGAGCTGTAGTCCAGCAATTTCTGGAGGTCCTTGCCTGCTCTGAGCAGTGGCAGCTGCCTAGGAGTCCAAGCAAGGCTCTGTCATATCCCCTGGCACCTCGTCCTTTCTGTAATGGAGGTGCTAGAGACTTAATCTGGGATCCGTCAGGCTCCTCCCAATCGGTTCCTGAAGCTTTCTTACACCTGTCAGGTGGAGTCTGTATCGCCCAATCCATCAAGATCCCACGAGAACCCAAGCCGGGAGAGTTTGACAAAATGATCAAGAGGCTGATGGAGACCCCCAACGCTCGTGGCATCATCATCTTCGCCAACGAGGATGACATCAAGTGAGTGTGCCGTTAGCGGCAAGGCACAACGCTTCCTCCAGAGGGAGCGTTGGGTGAGGTATTACCGTACTTTTCCATGTACAATACTAGGTTTTTTTACTTTAAAATTATGTGAAAAACTGCGGGTCGTCTTATACACGGGGCAATCTCACCCCTATTTTCTTAAATTGGAGTCCTAAAAATAGGGGGCGTCTTATACATGTGGGTGTCTTATACACGGAAAAATATGGTAACTCTCGCTTTCCCCCCCCCATGCGCCCCCTGCAGGCGAGTGCTGGAGGCTGCACGCCGGGCCAATCTGACCGGCCAGTTCCTGTGGGTCGGATCCGACAGCTGGGGCTCCAAGATCTCTCCTATTCTGAAGCAAGAAGAGGTGGCTGAAGGAGCTGTCACCATCCTACCCAAGCGAGCTTCTGTGGAAGGTAGGCAACAAGGGGGCACTGGGGCCAATCGTAGTGGGAGAGAGTATAACAGGCAGATGTAGACCCCACACCTTTTTGCACAGAATGTTTTGGGACATGGGACCTCAGCTGACCCTCATTCTTCCCATTGCTTTATTTCTCACCCGAAGACACTTGCTTTCTAAATTTAATCTGCTCGTAAGCACCGCACCATAATTGCCCTGGTTGAGAATACGAAAAGGCGCTAAAGGACATTAAGTGGTAGCTAATCCATTTTAAGGGGATCCTGGGTCTGTGACTTAACACACTTGCAAACCAGCCATTCATAGCTATGAGGAAAGACTCTCCATTCACTTTTGCTGCCTGCTTGAGGGTTTTAATCTGCGAGTGACTCTGAGTACGGGACCATGGCTGGCAGTCATTCTGAATTTATTCCTCTGGAACCAAAATAGAGGAATGGAAAGATCAGGGAGCCTGAACAAATATTTGCTTGGAGGGTAGACTGACTATTTCTGTAGAAATAGGATCTTATGACTTGGGCTGCCATTTTTATTCACTTGACAGCAGCCTATGATGCAGGCAGAAATCAACAGGTGCAACTTTTCCCTGTCTCAGCAGCTCTAGGCTGAGCAAAGCTGGTTGATTTCTGCCTGTTCTGGGCTGGGGAACTGTAGTCCTTCAGATGTTGTTGGACTACAACTCCCATGATCCCTGATTGTTGGCCATTATATCTAGGGCTGATTGGATCCAGAGGTCAATAACCTCAAGGACACACACAGAGATTTCCCATCCCTGCCTTAGATAAGATAGAAGGGCTTATAACGCAGGGGGCCTGATCTCCTGGCAACCTTCACCCCCCTACAGGATCACACAGCATTTTAGAAATAAAGTACTGTAAAGGTTGGATTGCCAGCTGACTAGAGAAAAAGTCAGCTTGGTTGGCTATTGGACCTTTAATAGCAGGATGATCTGCTGAAATCAGTAGGTGAAACTTTTCTTGCATGGATGGAGAGAATATTATCAGCTGCTAATGTCTACAGAGGGACGCGGGTGGCACTGTGGGTTAAACCACAGAGCCTAGGACTTGCCGATCAGAAGGTTGGCGGTTCGAATCCCTGCGACGGGGTGAGCTCCCATTGCTCAGTCCCTGCTCCTGCCAACCTAGCAGTTCGAAAGCACATTAAAGTGCAAGTAGATAAACAGGTACCGCTCCAGCGGGAAGGTAAACGGCGTTTCCATGCACTACTCTGGTTCGCCAGAAGCGGCTTAGTCAGGCTGGCCACATGACCCGGAAGCTGTACGCCGGCTCCCTCAGCTAATAAAGCAAGATAAGCACCGCAACCCTAGAGTCAGCCACGACTGGACCTAATGGTCAGGGGTCCCTTTACCTTTATCTTAATGTCTTCAGAGGTCAAGCTCCTATTACAGCTGCAGCTACGGAGGCTGGTGAAAAAGTTGGCAATGCAGTAGAAGGATGCCTACAAAGGCCATGACCTCCCTGTTTTCTCCCCCAAGGTTTTGACCAGTACTTCACCACACGCTCCTTGGAGAACAATCGGCGCAACATCTGGTTTGCTGAGTACTGGGAGGAAGATTTCCGATGTAAACTGACTCGTCCAGGGTTGCAGCCTGATGAAGGGGCACGGAAATGTACTGGTATGGAGGCTTTGGGAGAGAGCTTAAAACAAGGCAGGGTGGTACCAGGGATGGGGTAGGAATTCAAGTAAGTTCTCATTTGAAGATGAACCTACCATGGAATCATAGAATCATATAGTTAAGGGACCCTGAGGGTCATCTAGTCCAACCCCCTGCAATGCAGGAATCTCAGCTAAAGCATCCACGACAGATGGCCATCCAGCCTCTGCTTAAAAATCTCCAATGAAGGAGAGTCCATTCCACCCTCAAACAGCTCTTTCTGTCCTGTTCTTCCTGGTGTTTAGTTGGAATCGCCCTTCTTGTAACTTGACGTCACTGGTTTGAATCCTACCCTCCAGAGCAGTAAAAAACAAACTTGTTCCTTCTTCCATGTGACAGTCCTTGAGATAGTTGATGATGTCTATCACATCTCTTCTCAGTCACCGCTTTTTCAGGCTAAACATGCCCAGCTCCTTCAACCATTCCTCGTGGTTTGGTTTCCAAATTTGCACTTTCAGAAACCATATGTGAACCAAAACACGGGCATCCTTCAAAATTTGCAGTGCAGCTGTTCAGCCAAATAATATGTACAAAATGCATATGCTAAGTAACAGTGTGCATAAAAATGCATGTATTTGTGAAAACAACATACAAACACGCATTATATTAGGAAAATTTGCTTTGCAAAAATGTGCGTGGTAGGCAAAATTGTGCTTATTGGGAGAAGTATGCAGTTGAAATGCCAACACATTCTTGTGAGGATTTTTATTTTAAAATCATAAATTGCTGCAGAAATGTGGGGAGTTGAAGTTAGAATGCAGAAATGCGAACAACTTCAGGGTGAGAAAGTGAGAGAACCAAAAGTGACAGATCCATCTGTTCCTTCGAAGATACATGGAACAGCTGTTGCCAAGTGCTCCCCATTCACCTGGTTCACAACTATTTCCTTGCAGCCTGGCTGTGCACTAATCCCTATTTTTGAGAGGCAGAGGTGTTAGAAAGGGAATATTATCGGGGAGCTGCAGGGCCTGGGTTTATTTCACCGCTCTGCAGGGAATGGAGGGGATTAGATTTCCAAGTGGTGCCATCCCAACCCCAACCCTTCCACAGAATGTCAAAGTACTGGTTTTCCCTGCCTGGAGCCCCCAAATCCAGCCTCCCCTGGCTGAGATAGACTCGGGTTGAATCTGGCATTTCTCTGAGGGTTCTGCTATTGCCATTATCACAAAGGTTCCCAATTCTTCTCACATTCTCTCCTGAGCTTCTGCCTGGACCCAAACCCCTCCATCTTGCCTGACAAAACTGACAATGTTTGGGGGTTTGTTTGTTTTCCTTCTCAGCTGACACCCAGCTGTAGCTGAAATTATCAGTATGGTGCTGAATTCTTTGATCAAAGGATGTGCATCGTAAAATAATGAGATGTCTGAGTTATTACAGGAAATAAATTTATATTATTACAGGGAATACATTGTTACTTGGAAATAAAACCAGCAAACGTCTGTAGCCAACAAAAAAAATTTACTGGCCCACTTGCCCACAATATACAGTCATACCTCAGGTTGAATATGCTTCATGTTGAGCGCGTTCAAGTTGCGCTCCACGGCAACCCGGAAGTAATGGAGCGCGTTACTTCTGGGTTTTGCCGCTCGCACATGCGCAGATGCTCAAAATGCCGTCACATGCATGCGCAGAAGCGGCGAAAAGCGACGCGTGTGTGCACAGACATGCCATCGCTAGTTACGTTTGCTTCAGGATGCGAACGGGGCTCCGGAACAGATCCCGTTCACATCCCGAGGTACCACTGTACATAAGTTGGCTACCTGTGGCCTAAAATTGGGAACTTTTTCTAAAGTTTCCTTCTTTGCCCACCTGGAGGCAATTCATACCCACAAGGGGCAAACAAGAGTCTCCTGCCTCTTTCCCATCTCGCTTATTCAGCTTAATTAAAGTCGAAAGTACATAATCCTAGTGAGCAATGACTAAAGTGGTTATCCTGGTTTTGTTGCCTGCCTTAAAGTTAATCTTACTATTTGTCTGTGTGGCAACTATTGTTTCACAGGAGGTGCTGATTAGATTTTACTGGTAACTAGATTACATGTGCTGATCTTTACACAAAGTATTAGGAGCTCAGGATAACTTCCAAGACACACACTGCTTCCGAGGTCAAGAAAGATAATAACGGAGATCTCTGTCATATTAAGTTATGCCAGCATTTCCCCAGGCCATGATCTACACTGCAGCAATAGACCATGGCAAAAGTTTCAGAGTAACACTCACCTATTCGCAGTTGCACTCCAGCTCCCACCCTCTTCCTCGGCCCTTGGCTGATTGGAGCTGATGGGAGCTGGGAGTCCAGAGAGCCACAGCTTCCCTTCCCATTGTCATACTCTAAGTAGACTCATCATTGGCTCTCACCCCTCTGTGCTTGGTTCTGATCCACATTTTACCCTTCCCCCGCCACAGGCGAAGAGCGGATTGGAAGAGACGCAACGTACGAACAAGAAGGGAAGGTGCAGTTTGTCATTGACGCCGTCTATGCCATGGCTCACGCCTTGCACAACATGCACCTGGACCTCTGCCCAGGCCACATCGGGGTGTGTGAAAAGATGGACCCCATCCATGGCCAGACTCTGCTGCGCTACATCCTCGCCGTCAACTTCAATGGTGAGATGGGCAGAGTCCCTTTGACTGCAGTAGTGTTGGGTTGCTTCACCTGGCCTCAAATACAAAGGGCCCTTTTAAAGATTTGCATGCATTTAAGACTGAGAATTGTCTAGTGCTGGGCCAACTCAAGAGTAGGTCAACTGAAATGAAGGAACCTAAGTGAGCCGGGTGTGTCAGGTTAGGAGCATCCTAGACCCTAAGATTTCAGGGCCAAAGCTTGAGATCTGGGGACGGCCCCCAGTGATGTCACAGGAGCAGCCCAAATCAAAGACATCCCCACCCACCTGGAGACTCAAGGCCACCATCTGCCAACAGGCAAGGGAACCTGAAGCCTTCAGGTCAGATCTGGAAGTCTGGAAACCCAAGCATTGAGCTAACAACAGAGGCTGGTTTGGCCAGTTCAGTAGATCTCTTCTACAGCAAACTCCCATCTTACAGATACTAGATACAGGCTTGGTTGGGACCTGCAGGCCTCATCCAAACCAACCCCCAATCCTATAACAGTCTGAAGAGCCCTGCTGGCATCCATCCCATCTAACTCAGGACCCAGTAACTCACAGTGGACAGTCAGACACCACAATGAAGTCTCCCACTGCTCTTCCAGCAACTGGTAATTTAGAACTGTGTTGCCGTGTTGCCCTTGAAGGTATCATAAGCCATCATGTTGATAGCCCCGCCCTCCTTGAATTTGTCTAACCCCCTTGGAGAGCCATCTCATTCAAGAGAGGTAGTGAGCATCCTGCTTGCAGTAACCCTCCCCTTCCTACAGGCAGCGCTGGGACACCTGTGATGTTCAACGAGAACGGAGATGCGCCCGGCCGCTATGACATCTTCCAGTACCAGCTGACAAACACCACGACCCCCGGGTACAAGGCGATTGGGCAGTGGACAGAATACCTACGTCTGAACGTGAGTGACCCAAGCATAGCACTAGAGGTTGCTGTGGGGCCTGGAACACAGTGAGGATTTGGTCAGGAATCTGTGTTCTCATTGGCAGCCACATCATGTTGCATTCTGACACCATCAGACCAGGATATTTGAGGTGCAGAAAAAGGCCAGAGTGCAACACAGTCCTGCATATGCAAGGCAGGAACGCAGCATGGTCTCTAGGACAAACCACTCTGCCCTCTATATCTCTATGGTGCCTAGATCTATTTGCCTATTATTGGTTGCCTCACAGGTCATTCAGTCGGTGGCCTGGCTTTGCCTCCTCACCTGCTCTTCCCCACCCCTCTTTTTTGAATGGGGAGAACCCATACTCTTTTCTGCTAAGTTCTCATTCAAAGCCCAGGCCCACAACTCACAACTCACCTTCCAGCCCAGAACCCATCACATTGTTCTCCATGGAAGTTGTCCTTCAAGCTTGTGCTTGAAGGCTGCACAAGTCCTATAGCCTCTTCTTTCTTCTTCTTCTTCTTCTTCTTCTTCTTCTTCTTCTTCTTCTTCTTCTTCTTCTTCTTCTTTAAATGCACCACATTGGTTCAGCACTGTCCATGACAACCATGGTTTGCAAGACCCATATACCTGGAAAGCCCATAACCATGTTTCCAATTTGTTGTACATTTGGGCAGTGTGTTCATGGCAATTTCCTCTGTCAGGCTGGCATTCTTTGCAGATGGTGCACCTGTGTCTCATGGTCATTGAAGAAACATTTTAGTAGAGGAGGCGTTTCCACCTAAAACATAATAAAGATACAAAAAAAGATACAAATAAAAAAATACAGCAACAACACCCAGCCAACAACCCCCCCTAAGCAATACCCCCTTTGCTGTTCAGCACCCTCATCTTTTGTAGCTGGAGTCAGTGAGGGCCCTGCCCTCTCAGGCCAGGTGGGAACAAGCCAGCCGGTTTCCCAGGACTCACAGCCACATGAATAATTCTCTGCAGAGGTGTTTTAAAAGTGTTCTGCTTTTAAGAAATACTTTCCACAATGACCTTTAGGTGCTCAGGAAGCCCTGAGAGTCTACTATGGAACCCCCTGTTTGTTACAAAGGATTCTGGGGCATGCTCTGTGATACACTTGGTTCACAGGAAGGCCTCCACAGGTTGGGCCTCTCTGGCCTGGATGACATTGCAGAAGATGGCCAGTAAACTCTGTCAGGGAAGCTTCTCCACAATTACTGGTCCTCTCACTGGTTAATCCAGGGACAGGGAACCTTTGACCGTCCAGAGAAGTTGCTGGACTTCCATAATCCCTAGTCACTGGCTGAGCTGGCTGGGGTTGATGGGAGCTGGAGTCCAACATCTGGAGAGCCAACATCTGGAGAGCTTAATCCTTGATACGCTTCCTGGAAATGCTCATGTTCCTTGAACCACTGCTCTGTGGCTCCCATCTTGTTTATGTATCTCCCTCTATAGATTGATGACATGCAGTGGTCAGGTGGCCAGAAGGAGATCCCGTCCTCCGTGTGCAGCCTTCCCTGCAATCCCGGCGAGAGGAAGAAGATGGTGAAGGGCGTGCCCTGCTGCTGGCACTGTGAACTGTGCGACGGCTACCAGTACCAGCTGGATGAGTTCAACTGCGAGATGTGCCCCTTTGACATGCGGCCCAACCGTAACCGCACGGCTTGTCGCCCGACCCCCATCGTCAAGCTGGAGTGGAGCTCCCCCTGGGCCGTTCTGCCCATCTTCTTGGCCATGGTGGGCATCCTTGGCACCATCTTCATCATCATCACTTTCATCCGCTTCAACGACACGCCCATCGTCCGAGCCTCTGGCCGCGAGCTGAGCTACGTGCTGCTCACAGGGATCTTTCTGATCTACACCATCACTTTCCTGATGATTGCGGAGCCTGGCATTGGCGTCTGTGCCTTACGGCGCCTCTTCCTGGGCTTGGGCATGGCCATTAGCTACTCTGCTCTGTTGACCAAAACCAACCGCATCTACCGCATCTTTGAGCAAGGCAAGAAGTCGGTGACGCCACCCAAATTCATCAGTCCCACCTCCCAGCTAGTCATCACCTTCAGCCTCATTTCAATCCAGATAGTGGCTGTGGTCATCTGGCTGGGGGTCGCACCTCCCCACAGCATCATTGACTATGAAGAGCAGCGCACGCCCAACCCGGAGTTTGCCCAGGGGGTGCTCAAATGTGACATGTCAGACTTGTCCATCATCTCCTGCCTCAGCTACAGTATCATCTTGATGGTCACCTGCACAGTCTATGCCATCAAGGCCCGTGGTGTGCCAGAGAACTTCAATGAGGCCAAGCCCATTGGCTTCACCATGTACACGACCTGCATTGTCTGGCTAGCCTTTGTGCCCATCTTCTTTGGCACAGCGCAGTCAGCAGAGAAGGTGGGAATAACCAGGCCAAGAAGTGGGAAACCGGGTAGGCGTGGCAGGGGTCGGGTTAAGCAGAGCACAAGGACCAAGCTATTTATTTACATCTAGAGGCCACCTTTATCTTCCAATGATCTCAAGGTGGTGTACATAGTTCTCCTCCCCATTCCATCCCCACAACAACCCTGTGAGGTAGGTTAGCCTAGAAGATGGTGACTGGCCCATGGTCACCCAGTGAGCTTCATGGCTGAGTGGGGATTTGAACCCTGCTCTCCCACATCATAGTCCAACACTCTAACCATTACACCACACTGGCTAGAGGATAACATGTGAGAAGTTATTGATAACAGCAGCAGAAAGGGAAGGGATGTTTTTCCCTTCTGCCTTTTGTCCAGTCAGAATTGCCCTCTCCAGGCTGCCTTTCCCTCCTCAGGGAACCCTCTGTCTTTTCAGTTAAAAAACAAACCCAAACGCCCAATTTCAGGAGACTGTTCACACATCTGCTATATATTGTATGGTTTGGCCCTAGGAGCTCAAACAGGCAGGCAGAAGCTCTCTATGAAACGTTTCTTGCTGGGCTGTACCAATTCAGATTGCAGGTAGGAAGTGGGATGGGCACTTTCCTGAAACAGTATGAGAACTAAAACACAAGCACCTTTCAAAACTTGCATTTCTCTGAATTTTGCAATGCCAAATAATGGTTACAAAAATGCATAGAATTAGGGGGACGTGCACATAAAAGTGCATGTTAGTGAAGACAGCTCACAGAAATGCATTCTATTAGGCAAAACTGCTTTGCAAAAATCTGTATATTAGGGGAAATTGCATACAAAACTGTTCATATTAGGAAAAATACACACTTAAAGTGCTGGTGAATTTTCATGGGATCTTAAAACTAAGAGAAACCAAAATTGACAGAGTGGCCAATTTCTAGTTGAGACTTTATTACCCACATTTGCATATGTAATACCTACTGTTTTGTCCCTTGTTGAGTTAACCTGAGCTGGTCACAATTTCTCAGCCTAGCCAACCTTACAGGGTTGTTGTGAGGGAAGAGGCAGGATAACCCCACATCTGCTGCCCTGAGCTGTCTGGAGGGAGGAATACCATTGCAATAAAGCAAGCAGGACGGGAACTTAGAGCAATGACCCACCCCCAAGCCTTCCTCCAGTTCTGCGCTCCTGGGATTTAAATGTCACAACATTTCCTGAACTATCGAGTCTGTCATTCTCAGAGGGTGTGCAGCGAGAGAGCTGCTAGGGGTGCCGTGATAAGTCACATTCATTCAGTAATTAACGGTTGCCTAGGAGCGCAATGTGCCTGCCTGGCGCATCTCTGCACAAGCCGGTCCCTCTCGCCTTTTTGCCTCCCACCCAGTTCGGCAACTCATGTAGTGAGTGAGACAGATTTCTCTCCAGGTGGTTAAATCCTGACTCTGCCCCATTTCCAAAGTGAACCTTCTCTGGTATAAAGGTGAGGCATGCCTCTGATTTCAATCCAGGGCAGAGGTGGGGGAACAAGGGTTAGCTCTCAAAAGGTTGGGGTGTGATGGACTTCAGTAATCCAGGCAGACTCATATGAGCTGACATGGCGCACCAGGACAGCCTGATCCAGTCCCAAGTTATATAATAATAATAATAATTTATTATTTATACCCCGCCCATCTGGCTGGGCTTCCCCAGCCACTCTGGGCAGCTTCCAACAAAATATTAAAATACCATAATACATCAAACATTAAAAGCTTCCCTAAACAGGGCTGCCTTCAGATGTCTTTTAAAGATAAGATAGCTGCTTATTTCCTTCACATCTGAAGGGAGGGCGTTCCACAGGGCGGGCGCCACTACCGAGAAGGCCCTCTGTCTGGTTCCCTGTAACCTCACTTCTTGCAATGAGGGAACCGCCAGAAGGCCCTTGGTGCTGGATCTCAGTGTCCGGGCTGAACGATGGGGGTGGAGACGCTCCTTCAGTTGGGTGTCTCTTAGGGCCCCTTCCGGGCAAGGGTGCCAGTTCCTGGGGGCTGAAGCACTATGGGCCCCCAACCCTTTTTAAGGAGGCCAGGGGCTCCCTCCATATTCAGAGGGCCCCATGTGCAATGTCAGGACATTGTGTCAGGCCCCTTCAATCATTTGGAGAAGCTTCCATATCAGAGATGATTTGTGCTCATGATCCTACCGGGGCAGTCAGACACAATCCTGCTTTAAATTCTGTGCCGGCCTGCAAATGTTTTGGGATTGTTACACAGCTTCATTTCCTATTTGTGCATATCCGGTCACTTCCTGCTAAAATCCTGCAACTTTTCAAACTATTAATGTTTGAGGCTGGGGGTGGGGGTGGGGGTGGGGTGGGGAGCTCCTGCTACAGCCCCTCCAGACAGCAATAATGTGTTAGCATTGAGAAAGCAGCTAGTTAAGCGGAACAAATCTGCCACCAATACACTATTATCGCGTCAAGAAGGTGTTGCAGAATGGGCCCACAATAAAGCACCATTCCAGAAGGGTCTTAAGTCCACTGACATCAACAGTCTTAGGCATCAAACATTTAAAACTTCCCTAAACAGGACTGCCTTCAGATGTCTTCTATAAGTCAGATAGTTGTTTATTTCCTTGACATCTGATGGGAGGGCATTCCACAGGGTGGGTGCCACTACCGAGAAGGCCCTCTGCCTGGTTCCCTGTACCTTCACTTCTCACAGTGAGGGAACCACCAGAAGGCCCTCGGAGCTGGACCTCAGTGTCTGAGCTGAATGAAGTGGCCCCAATCCAGTAGAGGGAGAAAAGATAGCCCTCCTACTTTCTTGGCCAGCCTCCCGTTCTTCTCCCTGCCAGATCTACATTCAGACGACGACTCTGACCATCTCGATGAGCCTGAGCGCATATGTGTCGCTGGGGATGCTCTACGTGCCCAAGGTGTACGTCATCATCTTCCACCCAGAGCAGAACGTGCAGAAGCGGAAGCGCAGCTTCAAGGCAGCAGCCACGGCCGTCAACGCCTCCACAAGGCTCTCGCAGAAAGGGGCGCAGAACGGCGAGAGCAAAGACGAGAAGCCGGACAGTAAGTAGCCAGAAAGTAGGTATCGCTGTCTTATTTTCTTTTTCGATGGCCCCTTCCTGACGTGCCTCAATTGACCTCCGTCTGCCCTGTAAGTACCACCCCCTCCCTTCTGCCAACCCCAAGATGTTCCCACTCTTCCCAGTACCACCACCGCTGTGCCTTTGGGCCTGACAGAAACGGGGGCTTTCTGCCCCCCGTTGTTTGGAGGAAAGGCCAACTTTGATCTTTTTCTCTCTCTCATTCCTCATTGCAGTAACACACCAGAGCCAAAATAGCCTCGACGTGAAAGGAAGTGTGCTCTTAAACTTCAGCCCCACTGGTTAAAAAAATTCCATCACTAAAAATGGGCCTTACCAATTAATCAACTGACATTTTCCTTGATTAATCTATCAGTTTAAGTTTTCAGACCTAACAGGAAATCCTGAAGAGCTGGGGAGAGTTTCAGGGCCTTCACCTAATCGCCCTTTGTTTCTCCCTGTTGGAAAGGCCTGGTAAAATAGTAGTTGATAGGTAGTCAGGGCTACTTGCTAGTTGGGAATTTGCAGCAGAAATGGGGGGGCAAGGAAGGACGGGGGCGGGCTTTGAGAGCCCCATGCTCTCTCTCAAGCAAGCTGGACCTCACTGTCTTCCTGATGGTTTGTGGGAATCTCAAACCTCCTCAAGAAGTTTACAGTAAGCCTGATGAAGTCCAAACATAATGTGACTTCAACATGCTTGAGTTAATAGTGCTACCCTGGAGCTATTGTCATCATTGCTTGCAAGCCTGGAATAGACATGCCACCTTGTCCTTTTCAAAGACCAGGGAAAACCAGGAAGTTGTGTTGCTTCAAATTTTGTTGGACTGCAGTTCCCACTACCCCTGGCCTTTGGCTGTGCTGGCTGACGCTGACAGGAGTTGGAATCCCTTTTATTTAGAATAATTTATGCACTGCTTAATCAAAGGAACCCTATGCAGTACACGTAAAATGTAAAGCAAGTATAACTTTAAACAATTATCAACATACAAATAAAATCAGCATAAATTAAAGACAAGTACAGTGGTACCTTGGTTTACGAACTTAATCCGTTCCGGAAGTCCAGTCTTAAACTGAAACTGTTCTTAAACCCGAGGTGTGCTTTGAGGCCTCCCGCCACCAGTGCTCTTCCACTGTTCAGATTCCGTTGTTAGACTGAGGTAAAGTTCACAAACCGGGCCACTACTTCTGGTTTTGCAGAGTTTGTAAACCGAATCGTTTGTAAACCGAATTGTACGTAAACAGAACTGTTCTTAAACTGATGTACTGATGTACTACTGTACACACAACTTCTTTATATGCCTACTACAATGGAATTTATTTAGAGCAGGCATCTGAAACAGCATGACAGGTGGAAACTAGTCATCTTTATTTGCTGCTCTGCCTACGTCTGCCTTTGGCTTAGCCCGCCTCTGACATATGGACCCCAGAATGGAAAACTGGCCCTTGGGCTGGGAAAGTTGCCCACCCCCACTTTAACAGGAGACGGGCAGGGCTTGAGCCTGCCCACACATACATCCCAGCATGCATGCACCCCTCTGGGTCACCCATTCAGACAAGCAAGAGGCATGACCAGAGTTCAAGGGCAAATTCCAGCCAGGCAAAAACTCCCAAGAAGAGTGTGAAGCAAGAATAGTGCGTGTGTGGGCTAGGGCCAGGACCCCGGAGCCCAACAGAGAGCCTTTGAGGTCTGCATTTGGCCCATGGGCTCAAGGCTTCCCACCCTTTTGTTCGGAAGTTCAGGCACCAAAGATGAACGGGACCTCACAGAGGCCTGGAAGCTTCCCCCAAGGGGTCCTGTGTGGCGTTCCTGAGCGCAAGCAAAGAAGACGGCAGATTCGCTCCCATCGCATTCTCTGCAGCTGCAAGCAGGCCTGGAGCCCCTTTGCACACTGGCCTTCGAGGGGAAAGCTGGGCGGGGGTGGCTCTGGAATATTAATAGCCACCCTCTGGGTGAGGATGTCCCAGAGCAGATGGCAAGCGCTCACAGCCAAGAGCGCACGCCTGACCAAGCAATGCGCAGAAACAAGGCGAGACGCAGGAACCTTGCCTGTTCACGCTGCCTCTGCCCTCTCACTCTGCCCCAGGAGATGCCACTTTGCCCACATTCTCAAGATCACATCCTTTACTTAAAGCAACAACAAATCAACAAAACAATAGCTGAATGAAGATGAAAGAAAAGCCACTCCCAATTTTGCCTCTGCTCAAGCCAGTGGGGATTCAAATCCCCATTCCGTTCATCTGCATGCATTGAAAGAGGGGCAGGAATCCAACTTTCTGCCATCCCAATTTAATATTCATTGCTCTATATATACATGGCCCAACTGTAAGAACATGGGATTCCCTTGCTGATTTAGACCAAGGGAAATTTAATCCAGACTCTGCTTCCAAATGCAGCCAGCCCCAAGTGCTTGGCTGCTCATGAGCAGGGCATGACAAACAGGACACACACACCCCGGTGTTAGTTCCCACTGCCTGCCATTCAGGGGTATACCTCAGTATTGCCTTTGAACATGGAGGTTCTGTTTAGTTGTGATCTTGAGAAACGTGTGGCAATGGCGTACCTAATGGCTTTTTTGAAAAGCAAGCCGAGCTTTCGCCAATTCCACTGCCCAAGAACCTCACCCCCTCTGCTGTGTTTTAGATCAGGAGTGGGGAAGTTCTGCCCCCACACCAAGATGTGGCTAAATCACATCCGCCCTAGCAAGCATGGCCAAGTGCCAGGCATTATGGGAGTTGTAGTTCAGCAACATCTGGTGAGCCAAAGGGTCCCTACATTTGTTTTGAGTTATCATGGCAGCTTGAAAGTGTGGGAATGTTCAAGGTGGCAGGAGAGGATGTATTGTTTATTAATATCCTTCCTAACTTGCGCTAGCAAGTTCCTTTACGTAGCAGAGTTACATTCCCCCTTTTATATGCACAGCAGATAGCTGGCTGCAGACTCATGTGAGCCTCTCACTATTATACAATTCAATCTGTCTCAGACTGAATTGTACATTCCTGGTAAGTTCCCTTGAATCCCTCTTAAAAGAATAAAGACGCGACAATCTTATTCAAAGTCAATAAAAGAAGTTTACTCGCATCAGTTGACAGTTGGATTCCTGAAGGCAGACTTAGTTACAAATACGTACATGTGGATCTATCCCATTTGGAGGAATAATCCCAGTGCTTCTGCTAACTGAGAGCTAGCAGAACAGTCCTAGCTAGAAGCTGGTCAATTGAAGAAGGAAGTCAAAAAGAGGGAGGCGTGCTGTGTGACTCGTCCTTTTGTTACCTGTACAGGTTAGGTCACGCCCACCTTCTATCACATGCAAAAGGAAGGATGCTCCAGCCAGGAGGAACAGGAAGTTTTGACTGGCTGGACCAAACATCCCCTCGCATGTCTTCTCTAGCATTTCAAGGAATGTTGTACTTGACTGCCTCTCATGGATCACATCCCACAGAAAGCATATTGGTGGCAGAGTGTATATGTGCAAGGGCCCATTAGTCTAGAGCAGGGGTCGGCAAGGCTTACTGGGCATAGGCTGGATCACTCCCGCGGAGATTCTCCGTGGACCAGACCGGCGCAGTGTGACGCCGGAAATCGCGTCTGCGCATGTCCGCAGTGCAGGAAATGGCTTCTGCACATGCCCAGACACCGAAAACCGTGCCTGCGCAGAAGTGATTTTCAGTGTCTGGGCATGCGCAGAAGCAATTTCTGGTGCTGCAGACATGCGCAGAAGCGATTTTTGGCGCCTGGGCATGTGCAGAAGCAATTTCCGGAGCCACGGAAGAGAGTCTCCGGTTTAGCGCAGCGCGTGGGGACTTGCTGAGCAGGCAGCTCGGTTTGGGGGCGGCTCGTGGGCCAGTTAAACGGCCTCCATGGGCCGCTTCTGGCACATGGGCCTTAGGTTGCCTACCCCTGGTCTAGAGCAGGCATCCCCAAACTAAGGCCCGTGGGCAGGATAAGGCCCGAGGGACTCATTTATCTGGCCCACAGCGACCCCCGCTGCCCGCAGCCCGCCGCCGCCTGCTCTTACCAGCATGGTGCGGCTGCCCACTTCTGTGTCGGAGGAGCACCGGAAATAGCTTGTGCACATGTGCAAGCATTATTTCCGGTGCACATCCGGGTCAGAGGAGGCCCATGCGCACAAGCATTTCCGGTGCTCCTCCAACCCGGAAGTGCGCTGGAAATAGCGTATGTGCACGCGCTCCCCCGCCCTCTGGCCTGCCACGCGATCAGCGCTGGAGACACCACGCCTCGGGCCGGAGTCTCCAGCTCCGAGGTAAGTTTGCTGACCCCTGGTCTAGAGCCAGGGTTGACGTAGGTAGGAGAAACTATTGGCCCTTCAGATCTTGTTGGGACTCCACTTCCCATCGGCCCCAGCAAGCACAGCCAATGGTCAGGGATGATGACAGAGGCAGTCCAACACGAGGAAGACTGAAGTGTCTCCGTCTCTGATATAAACAGCTGGGCTGCAAGTCTGTTGAGGGCTTTTCATGTTCGCCCAGGCAACTGTGTGGAAGCCCCCAGATTACGAACCAGGTTCTTGGCTTAAAGTCCTTCCCCCAGAAACTGAACAGCCCCCCGCAGGCAGGTTTTCCGGTTTTCCCATTCGGGGTCCCAGCGTGGCCCATCCCCCCCCGTACCCACCCCTCTCTAACAACTCCCCATTTTGTGTCCTTTGCAGGCCTCCCTAAGGTGATGTACATCAGCTACACAGAACTGACCATGGGGCCCACATGACCGAAGAAAAGGATGGGCACAACCATTGCGGGGAATGGGGGGGGAGGGTTTTTTGCAGGGTGAAGCTCAACAGAAGGGGCTGGGGTGGGCATGTGTTGGGGAATAAACCTGTATTTTTACAACACCGCTTTGCTTTTTTCCACCCAGCTGCAGCCTAAGGGCATTCAGGGGTAGAGAACCCCTTCCCTACTTCTTCTTGGCAGGGGTAGAGAACCCATGGAATTGCAGATGTTTGCTGGGCCACAACTCCCATCACCCCTGCCCATTGGCCATGCCAGTTAGGGTGGCTGATGGGAGCTGGAGTCCAATGACACCTGGAGGGCAACACAGGCTCTCGAACCCAGCTCTAGAATGGAACTGCCCACGTCAGAAAGGCATTGTATTTTCGGTGTGCTGTGGACTCTCCCAGTCCTCCTGTTACAACAATGAAGGCACCTGGAGGCTCATTGCCTAGTCCAGATGTGGGCTGCAGAAAGTGCCCCCCCCCCAAGCCAAACACCAAGCACTGGCGATTGGGGGGGGGGTTATTTACAAAGAGCAAAGGAATTCAACTGGAACAGACAACTTGGTCATACTTCTGTAAGCGGAGGGATGAGTGAATTCAACTCCAGGCAACCCCCACCCACTGGGGGTGACTGACAGGGGGATAATTATGCCCTCAACTGCTCTGTGGTATCTTCTGAAGCAGCCAGTTCCCTCTCCTCCATCTCTCACCTGCCCCCGCCTTGTGACAGACATTTTGCTATCTGATGCAGAGCTCAAGTGAGTCCCACCCCCCTGCCAGAGAGACAGTGTTTGATTGGACCGGACGCTTGTCATGCTGTGTCCTCCCCCCCATACTGAATGTGCACATATCTTGGCATTGAGTGACGAAGTCCTAGCTGCTAAGAAACTTGGCTTATTTTTTAAACATTATATTATTATTATTATTTATTAAATTTGTAAACCGCTCTTCTTCTGAAGATCTCAGGGCGGTTCAGTGCATAAAAATACAGAATAAAACGACAAAGTACATAATAAAAACAAGAACAGAAACAAAATGATACAATTGATACAAATACAGTGGTACCTCTGGTTACGAACTTAATTTGTTCCGGCGGTTCTTATTCTGAAACTGTTCTTAACATGAGGCGCCATTAGCGAAAGCGTGTCTCCAGCGTGCTATTTCCGCTCACATGCCAGGGCAAAGTTTGCATCCGGGAGCAACTACTTCCAGGTTAGCGCAGCTCGTAACCCGACACGTGCCCAACCAGAAGCATTCGTCTCCAGAGGTACCACTGTACACTTAAAAGGACATACAGTGGTACATTGGTTCTCAAACTTAATCCATTCCGGGAGTCCGTTCAACTCCCGAAACATTCGAAAACCAAGGCGCGGCTTCCGATTGGCTGCAGGAGCTTCCTGCACTCAACTGGAAGCCATGATGGACGTTCGTGTTCCAAATAACGTTCGCAAACTGGGACACTTACTTTGGAAGCCTTTTTTGGGGGGAGCCAAGCTCTTCGAGAACCAAGGTACCACTGTAGACTGTTCGTCAGCTGAAGGCTTGGCTGAAGAGGAATGTTTTTGCCTGGCACTTCAAGATGTATAATGAAGAATATATGCTAAAGTTTTTTGTTTTTGTTTTAAAGCTAAAACTCACATTTAAACATTTCATCTGTTAACATTTAATATCCTTCACGAGGGACAGGGAAACTGCAGCCACCCACATGTTGCTCGATTTCAAGTCCCATCATCCCTGACTATTGTCCTCGATGGTTGGGGATGATGAGAGCTGGAGTCCAACAAGACTGGGAGGACATCCAGTTGGGGATGGATGGCTTAAGGGAAAGACCATCGCTCAGTGGCAGAGCAGCTGCTTTGAACGCAGGAGGTCCCAGGTTCAGTCCCCAGCATTTCCTGGAAGAACTGAGAGAAAAATGCATCTGAAATCCCAGAGAGCCATTGCCAGTCAAGTGTAGGCAAGACTGAACTAAATATACCAACAGTCTGACTCTGTATAAGTCAGCTTCCTGTGTTTTTATGTCCAGAGCCAGCCCATTTTTGCTGCTTGAGGACATTTAAAGGGTATCTAAGGAGGATATCTTGAAGGGACGTGGGTGGCGCTGTGGGTTAAACCACAGAGACTAGGGCTTGCCAATCAGGTCAGCTCCCGTTGCTCAGTCCCAGCTTCTGCCAACCTAGCAGTTCAAAAGCACATCAAAGTGCAAGTAGATAAATAGGTACCGCTCCGGCGGGAAGGTAAACCAGCATTTCCGTGCGCTGCTCTGGTTCACCAGAAGCGGCTTAGTCCTGCTGGCCACATGACCCAGAAGCTGTACACCGGCTCCCTCGGCCAATAAAGCGAGATGAACACTGCAACCCCAGAGTCGGTCACGACTGGACCTAACGGTCAGGGGTCCCTTTACCTTAAGGAGGATATCTACAGGGCTATGACGTGGAGGATGGAGCAAGCTTGTTTCCTCCTGCTCCGGAGCTGAACCAATGACTTAAAGTTGCAAGAAAGGAGATTCTGACTAAACATCTGGAAGAACTTTCTGGCAGTAAGAGCTGTTCAGCAGTGGGACAGACTCCCTCCGGAGGTGGTGGACTCTCCTTCCTTTGAGGTTTTTAATCAGGGGTTGGGTGACCACCTGTCCTGTATGATCTAGTTGAGCTTCCTGCACTGCAGAGGGTTGGACTAGACGACCCTTATGGTCCATCTAAGCTTCACTCCCTCTAAGTGCTCCACTCCAGTTTCATGTATAGCACAAGCAACCAGACTTCATTTCAGCACTAGGACAGCAGCCTCCACCACAGTTGAAGACAGCAAGCAAGCTGGAGGGGGGGATAGCATTCAGCTCTGTCCTAATACAGTGGACGCTCAGGTTGCAAACGTGATCCGTGCGGGATCCACATTAGCAACCTGCAGCGTTCGCAACCCGCAGTGGTGTGTCTGCGCACGCACGGGTTGCAATTCATCGCTTCTGCGCATGTGCGACCCCCAAAACCCAGAAGTCACCCATTCCAGTACTTCCAGGTTTCAGCGGGTCCGTAACCCGAAAAAACGCAACCTGAAGCGTCTGTAACCCAAGGTATGACTGTACTTTGCCAATGCTCCCTCCCTATATCTGCCATGATATGCTGCCTGATGGCAAGGCTGGCTCTGTATATAACCACCCATGCTGTAGCACTGAGCAGCAGCCTCCTATGAACAACCACATCCCATCATTTCTCTCCACAAACACACTTCTTTGGCTCCTCCCTTTTGGCTCAGCACTTGCTGTTGATACAGGACAGGCGTCCAGTTTGGCTGCCCACACTGCTCCCTTTGGCACCATCCCCTGGGAGGGGAAGCGAGCGCAGAAGCTGCTTTGGCAACAGCCCTTTCCCAGAGGCTTCCAAGCGCCGCCATGGCAGAGCTGCCAGGAGCCGCAGCGCATCCGCTGCCTGGAGCTTCGTTTCCCCCCACCCACCCACCCTGACTACTTTGACAGCCACCTCTCTGCCTAGGCTGTTGGCCAGCAAGACCTGGAAGCATGCTTGGTCACCCAAAGCCCAGCACCATCTCTCCTCTCATGTCAAATCTCTCTCTCACACCACCACACACAAAAAACCCACAAAAACCCACAGGGAACTGACAAAACTGGGCAGGGAAACAAGAACAGATGGCTCTGAATTGGGGCACAATTGGGGTGCCTGAATGGAACAAGAAGAGGGGTGAGAGGCAGAGGTGCATAACCCTCCATATTTTGTTGGATTCCCATCAGCCAGCATGCCCAACTGTCAAGGGTGATGGAGGGTCCCAGGCTCTTCCTCAGCCCTGAACTAGAAGCTGGATTCTACCCCCTGCCCACCGCTGACTAGCCAACTTCTTAGGTTTACCAGATGACCAGAAAAAGACTAGCCTGTTTTGTGCCTTTTAGCAGCAACTTTAGCAGCAGAAGCCAATAGCTGGTTTCCTCTCTTCTACCCCCCACCAGCAGAAGTAAACTGCAGATCACCTTCCAATGTCTTGCGGATCACACTGCACAACTACAGTACAGCTGTTTGAGAAGCTGGCGAGCCTGCAGCTGCCTGCTTGGTGTTTTCTCCCCATTGACTTGGGGTGGGTGGGAAAGGGAGGAGGAGGAAAAGGGCACACAGATGAAGTGTGGAGCTCTGATGGAGTGGTACTGTCTGCTCCAGCAGCAGAGGGGGCAGGGTGGGGCTGTGGGGCAGAGCGTTGCATGTAGATGGTCCCAGTTTCTAGTCCTGATGTCTCCACTTTGCGCTGGGACTGTCCTGTCCAGGAAGTCCTGGAGAGCCACTGCCACTCAACGTAGGCAGATGACACAGAACACTCCATATAAGGCAGCTTCCTATAACCATTTAGACCAGCCTTTCTCAATCTGTGGGTCCCCAGAGCTCAGGGATGATGGGAGTTGTAGTCCAACAACATCTGGGGACCCACAGGTTGAGAACCGCTGATTGAGACTCTACCTGAAGCAGCTGACATGTCCTTCAGAAGTCAATAGGAACCATTGCCTTCTATGGGGGGAGGGAGGGAGGAGTGCGGTGTGTTTTTGCAGAACGACTTGTCACCTCCTGTGGGGTACTTGCCGTGCTTTTGGGTCAATCCAGGTTCCACTCCTTACATCAGATAGGGAAGTTGGGTTTCCTCCAGATGTTGGGGTATTCCAGCTCCCATCATCCCTGACCAATGGCACTGCTGCTTGGCACTGATGGGAGCTGAAGTCTAATGACATATCAGGGTGCCACAAATACCCTATATATAGGCAATCCAAGCCGTCTCCCACCAACTCATCTTCCTCTTAGTCCTGTCAGCTGGAAGCACTGGAGTTGGGGCCTGCTGACAGTTTTGCATTCACTCATTTGGATATCTGTTGCCTTGCTAGCACTGACAAACAGGTCCACCGAATCTTACATTTTGGTTCCAAGTGATCAGCTACATGATGCTGTTGGTCTCCCTCCAACTCCCATCTGCCCAAGCTAGCACGGCCAATGCAGGGCATCCGTGTCCAGTGTTGACTACCGCTGCTCTGGGTACTTGACAAGCCTGCCATGAAGCTGATGGTCTTGGCTTGGTGGTTTCCCCCCAGCTGGTATTCAAGGTATACTGCCCCCATCCATGGAGGTTAGCTTTTAATACTGCCATTAAATAAAAAATGCCCAGCAGTACAGGCTTTCCATGTTTAGGGATATGATATACAACTCCTTCAGCTGAATATTTTTATTTTTTAAACAGTTCATATTCAAAACATGCAAAGCAACAGAGCAGAAATGTAAGCTATGTTGACGGTTACGAAAGGTATTGTATACACCACCCACCTGCCCCCTTTAAAATGTGCTAAAATTAGCTCTAAAATGGACCAGGATGTTCCAACAGAGAGCATTGCCTTGTTGAACAAGTACAAAAGAATGGTTTAAAGAACAGGATGTAGAAAGCCCAAGGACATGGCGTAAGCCTAGAGAAAAGGCTCAAAAATTAATGTCCTGAGCATGTTCCAGAAGGCAGTTAACAGAGTCTTAAAGAGAGAGTTAGTGTACAGAGGTTGCATTTAAGCCCCTTCTGGGCTGAGGAAAGTGTAAAAAAAAACAAAAAACATCAGAGTAACTCTGGCAAAAAAGTGGACTGCCTCTGTCCAGACAGGAATTCTTACAGCAGGTGTCACCAAGCTTGTGGGCACATTTCAAATTTTGAGAGCGCTGGGGGCGACAGTCACAAAATGGCTGCCGCGGATGGGGCATGGCATAACGCAAAATGGCTGCCATGGGGAGCATGGCTCAACACAAAAATAGCTGGACAACCACCCCCAACCAATTTATGCTTACCGTATGAAGTAAGCTATGGTTTGCTGGTTCTGATCATAGAAATCTCTCACACACACACACACACATATAAACAGCATTCCTCAGGTATTGACAACACTTGCATTTCAGAGAAATCAGTTAGGAGCCCTTTACTTTCTGGGAGGACCAGAGATCTTTTTTAAAAAAATAAAAGAAAATGAAAGCTCAGAGTTTTTCTAAGGCATTTGGCCCAGAGGCACCACTGGAGGCTTTCGCAGCTGCCATGGTTCCTGTGGGCGCTGGGTTGACAATTCCCTTTATCAAGGAATGGATTTGATGAGGGACCTTACAGTCAACAGATTCAGCTGGTTATTTAAAGTCCATGAGATTTCTCACCTGCTTGAGAACCAGGCCTTGTGTATATCCTGCGCTTAAATGAAAGATCGTAAAACTGGCAACATAACTCATATTCTGCATCAAGAATTTTTTTTGGGGGGGGGTGCATGTTTCAGAATTCATTCATGCAAATCATGCAAGTTCACACTGTATATTAAGCACTTTCATATCCCGCCTTTCTTCCATCATGGAACCAAAAGTGACATACAGTGGTACCTCAAGTTAAGTACTTAATTCGTTCCGGAGGTCCGAAACTGTTCTTAACCTGAAGCACCACTTTAGCTTATGGGGCCTCCCGCTGCCACCGCGCCGCTGGAGCACAATTTCTGTTCTCATCCTGAAGCAAGTTCTTAACCTGAAGCACTATTTCTGGGTTAGCGGAGTATGTAATCTGAAGCGTATGTAACCTGAAGTACCACTGTACATGAAAGTTCGCCAGTGGCCTCCCATCCAGAAATGGACCAGACTCAGACACACTCCACTTCAGCCAGGCCAGGCTCTCCTTCTGAGCATCTTTTTCTCCATAACACCCCTCCCTTCCCACCTCAGCCTGAACTCTCTACTCACACTATATTTTATTTCCTTCGCCTTGACCCATTTTTTTTCAATTTTTTAATTGATTTTCCAGATTTATAACAGAAAGAATAACACTACATAACAACAAAAAAATACATTACAATACTAAAAAAGTAACATAAAAACAATTATTACTTCTAATACCTAATTTAACTTTCATTGTTAACTGACTTCCTCGAATCCCCCCTAACTGAATTTCATTGTATCACCTTGTAACAGTTCTCCAAAATCTTATTTCTAATAAAATTAACTCCTTCTATTTACTATCCTCCTCTGTTTTATAAATTCCAGACCTTAGTGTTTTACAACGCATTATTATTCTAATCCTAAGCCTTCCAAGTGACTTCCAGTTATCTTATATTACAATATTTAGCTAGATATTCTTTAAATTTCTTCCAGTCTTCTTGAGTCTCCTCCTCTTTCTGGTCGCGGATTCTTCCAGTCAGGTCAGCCAGCTCCAAAAAGTCCAACATTTTCATCTGCCATTCTTCTATTGTTGGTATTTCTTGAGATTTCCAATTTTTGGCTAATAACAGTCTTGCCGCTGTGGTGCCATACAAAAACAGTCTAATATCTTTTTCGGGCAATTCTGCCTTGACCCATTTTTTTGCTTTCCCCATCCCACTTTTGATTCACTCTGTTCCTCCAAACAGTGGCATAGCATGAGACGGCAAGAGGAGCAAAATTCTGACATTGGCTTCCACGGGGATGCCTGCTCCACCTTGGCCAAGGCAGCAGAGTAGTCCATCAGGGGGTTGCCACCGCTGCCACCTAGGCCCATCTTGGTGGGCCCCATCCCCAGAGAGCAGCCTGGCCTCGCTGGCACGTCCCCAGCAGAAGCCAGCAACCATGCACAGCCCAGGCAGAGTGCTCAGGGTTAGGGCCACCGCTCAAACAAAGAAAGTTTGGAAAGAAGGGTGGAGAGATCAAAACACAGCATGAGAACAGGTGTCCTCTGCTCCCTGGTGTTCATGATTCTGGGCTGCATCAATAGGAGTATAGCATCTAGATCAAGGGAAGTAATAGTGCCACTGTATTCTGCTCTGGTCAGACCTCACCTGGAGTACTGTGTCCAGTTCTGGGCACCACAGTTCAAGAAGGACACTGACAAACTGGAACGTGTCCAGAGGAGGGCAACCAAAATGGTCAAAGGCCTGGAAACGATGCCTTATGAGGAACGGCTAAGGGAGCTGGGCATGTTTAGCCTGGAGAAGAGGAGGTTAAGGGGTGATATGATAGCCATGTTCAAATATATAAAAGGATGTCACATAGAGGAGGGAGAAAGGTTGTTTGCTGCTCCAGAGAAGCGGACATGGAGCAATGGATCCAAACTACAAGAAAGAAGATTCCACCTAAACATTAGGAAGAACTTCCTGACAGTAAGAGCTGTTCGACAGTGGAATTTGCTGCCAAGGAGTGTGGTGGAGTCTCCTTCTTTGGAGGTCTTTAAGCAGAGGCTTGACAACCATATGTCAGGAGTGCTCTGATGGTGTTTCCTGCTTGGCAGGGGGTTGGACTCGATGGCCCTTGTGGTCTCTTCCAACTCTATGATTCTATGATTCTATGATCCCTCTCTCCCATCTAGGCTGGCTTCTGTTATGTGCCAAAGTGTTTTCACGCATCCAAGACTGCGATATCTCAGTCAATGGCTTCCTTCATTGCGCGTCCCTTTCTGCCTCGTGACCCCGATGCTGTCAACCTCTTCCCAGGCAACCTTATCCAAGCGCCACTTTTCCGGAACAAACACTGCCCAGTTCTCAGACACTGTTTAAATATTTCATCGTGCAAGACCAAGCAGAAAACGCTCACTTAAGGCTTTTCCCGACTCCCACTTCAGGTGGGTAAATATTTCATGGGCAGCAGCCTCACCAACCCCAGCTTACTTTGCATCCAAGGGCAGAAAGTCGAGGTTGGTGGGCGGGTCAGATACAGGGGCAGCTTCCATCTTGAGCAACAGGTTGATGACCCAGGACCTGCCAAATCATGCAGAAGATCTGCAGGTTTCAATTCTCCCCTCTTAATAAAAAAAGAAAATAAATGGTGGAGAAGGTAGACCTCTAAAGGGGGCTCCTGTTTCTCAGGACACACTTTTCCATTCCCACCTCTGACTAGTAAAAAACTCCCTAAACCAAGTCCTAATCCAACCTATCCCAGGAGCTTCGGTAAGTAGCTGCAGGCTGACAAAAAAGGATAAAAAAAATCTCACATTCTGGGGCTGCAATTCTATGCACGTACCTAGGAAGAAGTCCCATTGAACTGAGTGGTACTTACTTCTGAGGAGATATGGATGGAATTGCACTGTAAACAAGCAAGATGACAGGCTGGAAGTGGAAGGGGACACACACAGAATTTAAAGATCAGAGCTTAAAAATATGGCAAGGCTCAAAAGTTGCCCCCCCCCCTTGCTTTGTCCGTAAATCACATTTCTCTGTCCCTAAATCAGCCAGCCAAGAACATTGCACTGGCCCCCATTATCTCCTGGCAGTTTAGCTTTCCGCCTCCCAGACCAGGGGTCTGAAACCAGCCATAGACAGCCCCTCATGGCTCCCTCTATTTACGTCATCCATCATGCCTTGATCCTCTCAGAAAGAAGCCAGGCAGCCACATTTATCCCTTATGCGGCAAGCAAAGTCCCCTCAGCCCCCTCCCCACGACTCTGGCCTCCCTGGAAACCCAGACCCTCTTAACCTAAGCCAAGCTGATCTGCAGCAACATCTCCCCCACCCCCAATATTTTAGGTAGGCAAGGAAGGGAAGGAGGAGCATTTAAGAGCTGCAACAGGAAAGGAGGCAGCGAGCAAAGGCAGATGCCTCAATTCTTGACGTCATACACGGTTTCACCCTCAGCAAATGTAAATGAGCATACCAGTGTGCACATACAGTGGTACCTCTGGTTACGAACTTAATTCGTTCTGGAGGTCCGTTCTTAAGCTGAAACTCTTAACCTGAGGTACCACTTTAGCTAATGAGGCCTCCTGCTGCTGCCACGCCGCCACTGCGCGATTTCTGTTCTCATCCTGAGGTAAAGTTCTTAACCTGAGGTACTACTTCTGGGTTAGCGGAGTCTGTAACCTGAAGTGTTTGTAAGCCAAGGTGTTTGTAGCCTGAGGTACCACTGTATAGGGAGGGAGGGAGAGATTGGTCTAAGACAGGGTCAGCAAACTTTCCGCGCCTTGGGCCGGTGTTTCCAGTGCCGATCATGCGGCGGGCTGGGGAGCGCGTGCCCATACGCGTGTGCACACACTATTTCTGGCACACTTCCGGGTTGGAGGAGCACCGGAAATAGCTTGTGCGCATGTGCACGGGCCTTCTCCAACCCGGATGTGCACCGGAAATAACGCTTGCGCATGCGCACAAGCTATTTCCGGTGCTCCTCTGACCCAGAAGTGCGCAGCCGCACAGCGCAGTACCAGTAAGAGCGGGTGGTGGCGGTGGCTGCGGGCCGGATAAACGAGTACCGTGGGCCTTATCTGGCCTGCGGGCCTTAGTTTGGGGACCCCTGGTCTAAGAGTTCTACCCTTGCTTGTAGAACTCCAAAAAGGAAGTAGTAGCCATTAGGCTGGTCCCCAGTGCTCCACTTCAAATTCAGTATTCATGGTGGGAGGGTAGAACCCTTGTGTGTGTGACTCAGATACAATTTCTGTTGGGGGGTGGGGTATATACCTGGAGTATATACACTAGCCTAGAATCAAAAACAAGCAGGGGGGGGGGAAGTAATCCCGGGTGAAGGGGGGTCCGAAAGATCACCCTCTTGAGTTGCATCTGCCGCTCCAGGCAAGGCTCTCTCTTTGCAAGAAGCGTGGTGAAACAGCAGCACCCAGTGGCAAGATGCAGAACTCCTCCGACCAACAGGTGCCTGCTTTAAGCACATAGGAAGTTGCCAAATGCTGGGTCTGAGCATCGGTCCACCTGGCTTAGTGCTGTCCACAATGACTGGGAGCGGCTCTCCAGGATTTCAGACACGATTCTCTTCCAGCCCAACCTAGAGATGCCCAGGACTGGGTGCAAAGCAGCTGCTCTGCCATGGAGCTACAGCTCTTCTGCACACATTTGAGTTCTCATCACCAAATTAATATTATTTTTGGCTCACATAATTCACGGCTACATATTTTTTCCCCCTACCTCTAATGTTCGGAGTTCTGCATTTTTCTGTTTCAATTTACTTTATTACCTTCGGTCCGTTTGTGTTCTTGTTCTAATTCAGTTATAGCTCCAATAGTGAATCCTTCCTTCCGCTTGTTTCCTTTTTAAAATGATTATTTGCGCTGATTCTTGTATGACAGCCTTCAAAGTGCCTCGTAATAAGGCTTCTGGGTACTGTGATGAATCATTATGTATGTAGAATTCCTCGATTTTTAATTTGATGCTGGGTTTTATTGAACAGAAAACAGCAAAGTTTCAGAATGTTTAGAAGTAAAGTCAGACACAAACACATATAAGGATGAGAGGGGGCTTGAAATGTACAAGAGGAAGATCCGCTCAAGACAAAGCTATCAAAACTGACCAGGGGTTGAGGCGGGAGGAACTGAAATGGGCCATCACAAGAAAGGAGAATGCAGCTGTCCCTGGTTAAGCCTCTTCTCCTTCCCCAGGATAGAGGCAAGGAGAGCAGCTCCTTAGCAAGGTTCTAGTCCCAAACCTTCTTCACCCTGCGTGGGCAGAGGGAGCAGCAGCTGTTCAGGCAAGGAAAGGAGCGTTGAAGTCCACGGCACTGAGATATTCCAGCCAGTCCCGCAGTGAAGGTCTCTCCTGAGGGGGCTGCCAGAAAGAAAGAAGATTAGTGCATCATGGCAAGGACTCAAGAGGAGGAGGAGGAGGAGGAGGAGGAGGAGGAGGAGGAGGAAGAAGAAGAAGAAGAAGAAGAAGAAGAAGAAGAAGAAGTAGTAGTGGTGGTGGCTATAGGACTTGTGCTTGAAGGACAACTTGAAGGATCTGTTGAAGAACTTGAAGAAGAAGAGTTTGGATTTGATATCTTGCTTTATCACTACCCTAAGGAGTCTTAAAGCGGCTCACAATCTCCTTTCCCTTCCTCCCCCACAACAAACACTCTGTGAGGTGAGTGGGGCTGAGAGACTTCAGAGAAGTGTGACTGGCCCAAGGTCACCCAGCAGCTGCAGGTGGAGGAGCAGGGAAGCGAACCCGGTTCACCAGATTACGAGTCCACCGCTCTTAACCACTACACCACACTGCCTCAGGAAACCACAAGGAGCTCCAAGGAAATGGACGCCCAAGAATCTGAGCATCTAGTCTAACTGGTGCACGGCAGGCTACTGAGAGTTTTATGCCACTGCTTAAAACAAAGAGAAGGGCACGGCCCCTCAGATATCTTCCATAAAAGCATCTCATGCCTCTGTGACCCCACCGCAGTGTCCTTTTGAGTCACTTTTAACATGAGATGGAGGGTTACAGCCAGAAAACAGAGAAGGAAGAAAGCAAAAGCCTACAGATGAGGGACCTTTAGCCTTTCACCCAGAAAGAGGCCCCTCTCCCCCAAAAAATCACGATTCCCCTAGGAATTGCATAGGAGTACTCCATTCCTTTGGGCCATCAGCAGCTATTTTACAAATCCCACCCTCATTTCTATTCGCATGCCAACAACCTAGGGAGCAAGTGCAGCTATGCTTAATAGGGCTGGAAGCAAAGGGTCAAGAATGAGCATGGGCAGAAGCACTGACCCCTCTTTACAGCTGCACTTCCATGCACATCCACAATGTTTGGTGCCCATTTTTCTACCCCAAATAGATCTCTAGCCAGAAGGCAGGAGAACAGAGAAAAGTGGGACAGCTGGGCACAAGAGGATCAAAGATTTTAACAGCCTCCTCTCCCCAGAGTCTTAATTCTTGCTGTTTCATTTACCCCCATTCAAGATCACCTCCCACCCAGTGCTAACCTTATAGGAAGTTGCGTCAACTGTGCCATGCTGAACCTTCACTGAGCAGAGGGAGATGCCACCGCTGGCTGGGTATCCTGGCTCCACATAGAGGTTACAAGTGGAGCTGGGCTTCAGGTAACTCAGAATCCTTTTCTCTTGCTGCCAATCAATAGCAAAACTGCAGAGGGAAGAGCAGAGGGAGGGTTAAGGCATCAGCAATGGCTGGCATGGAGACAGTCAATGGGGAAGGAAACACAACCTCCCTCCAAAATGGCAGGGCATTCCCTTGAACACAGCAATCCCCACTGCACATAGAGGTCAGGCAGTTCTCCAAGAACAGGGCAGGTCGATGCCTAAGTGACGACTAGCAAGCACAAGAGAGCCAGGTCTCATTTATGCCAGGGGTTGGCCCCAGCCCCAAGGCTGCCAGCTGCCAATCCCTACTAAGAGCCCACTGGACAGATACCTTGGCATGACTCTATTCTGTACAGTGCCTAAATAAGTATGAAAAGGGATTAAAAGGGAACAGAATCTTCTAGGTTCACGGATGTTTTGGGCAGTGGAGGGCATCTCACAGCCTTTGTTCCATTCTTTTCCAGCCTTGCTTTCATCCAAATGACTTGAAACACACACTCTCAGTGCTCCAAGCGTTCTCAGCTGTCTTTAGAACCAGCCAGAGGAGCAGTGAAAAGGTGAGTGTGTGGCTTGGTTAAGAAGACCATCTGAGTTTCAAAGATAAGATCCCAATTGGGGTCTGAAGACACATCAAAACAGATACAGTGGTGCCTCGCTAGACGAAATTAATCCGTTCCGCGAGTCTCTTCGTCTAGCGGTTTTTTCGTCTTGCGAAGCAACCCTATTAGCGGCTTAGCAGATTAGCGCTATTAGCGGTTTAGCGGCTATTAAAGGCTTAGCGGCTTAGCGGCTATTAGCGGCTTAGAAAAGGGGGGGGGGGGCGAAAAAAATCTCAAGACTCGCAAGACATTTTCGTCTTGCGAAGCAAGCCCATAGGGAAATTCGTCCTGCGAAGCGCATCGAAAAACGGAAAACCCTTTCGTCTAGCGGGTTTTTCGTCTTGCGAGGCATTCGTCTTGCGGGGCACCACTGTATCTCTTAACAGCTGCATCAGTGCAGGCGAACTAATACCAGTGTACTGGAAGAAGCAAAGATCACCAGTGTCGAAGCAATGACTCTTCAACATCAACTTCATTGGACTGGTCATGTTGTGCAGATGCCTGATGATTGTCTTCCAAAGCAACTACTCTATTCAGAACTTAAAAATGGAAAGCGTAATGCTGGTGGTCAATAAAAGAGATTTAAAGACTCTCTCAAGGCAAATCTTAAAAACTGTAGTACAGTGGTACTTCGGTTACAGATGCTTCGGGTTACAAACTCCGCTAACCAGGAAGTGGTTGCTCCAGGTTAAGAACTTTGCCCCAGGATAAGAACGGAAATCGTGCGCCAGCGGCGCAGCGGCAGCAAGAGGCCCCATTAGCAAAAGGACGTCTCAGGTTAAGAACTGCTTCAGGTTAAGAACAGACCTCTGAAACGAATTAAGTTCTTAACCCGAGGTACCACTGTATAAACACCAACAACTGGGAAACACTGGCCTGCGAACACTCCAATTGGAAAACAGCCTTTACCAAAGGTGTCATGGCCTTTGAAGATGCTTGAACTCAGGACGAAAGGGAGAAACATGCTAAGAGGAAGGCACGTTTAGCAAACCCTCACCGTGATCAACTCCCTCCCAGAAACCTATGTCCCCACTGTGGAAGGACGTGTGGATCCAGAACTGGCCTCCACAGTCACTTACGGACTCACTGTTAAAACCGTGTTCATGGAAGACAATCTTACTCGGCTATGAGCGATTGCCAAAGAAAGAAGAAGCTATCAAGTGATCAGAGGAGTGTCGATTTCACATCACTGTGAAGGGATGTATTCACAAAAAACTGGAAGCTGGCCAAGAAACAGAGCAATGTGCACTTTAGTCTTAGCAACGCCAACCTTTCTCTCTGCAGCACTCATGCTGTTAACTCCCCTCCTGGAAAAGGTTAAGACAGCCCCTCTCTCTTTCAAGCTTCAGGCAGGCAATTAAAACTTTCCTATTTTGCCAACCTTGCAGTGTGGGTGAAAAGTTACATCTCCCTGTTTTTATATTGAATTATATTATCCTGCTATTTTGAGTATTTCAATTTTACTTATTTATGAACTGCTTCCTCTGAAGTATGAGTATCTCAAAGCAATTTCAGAATACACCTCAGTTGCACCCAATTAAATTTTACTCAGAGCAGAGCCGCTGAAATTAGTCATGTCCATTCCTTTCAATGGACCAACTCTGAGTAGGAACCAACATTGGACACAAGCCAGTATTATCATCATATATAAATTTTACACAGTTCAGTATACCCAAAGATGTACTGCCAACAATAAAGCATAAAACTCTGATTGCAAAACAATAAATTCCTCACTGCACATTATAATATTTTCTATAAAGACACAGAAAGATAAACATCACTATTCCTAGTTACAGGTAGGTAGCTGTGTTGGTCTGCCGTAGTCGAAACAAAATAAAAAATTCCTTCCAGTAGCACCTTAGAGACCAACTAAGACCAACTAAGTTTGTTACTGGCACATGAAAGCTCATACCAATAACAAACTTAGTTGGTCTCTAAGGTGCTACTGGAAGGATTTTTTTTATCACTGTTCCTAGTTCTCATCTTAATAGTTCTTCCTCATAAATTCAGAAACTCAGTCCTAGTATTGACAGCTATTTGGTTATGCTTTTGAATTCAACACGCAAAATTGATTTGAGTGAAGTGAGCTGCTTTTATTGTGTTTTATATGTATTATCTATATTTTTTACAAACTGCTTTGCATTTATTCTTGACAAAAGATGAGGGCATATATTTCTAAACAAACAAAAAATTCAATTTGAGCTAGCAGGCTTGCCAAGGCAGTCTGGGAGCCCCTGTGATCCAACCCTACTTCATTTGGTTTGCTTCATTTGGCAATGGGTCTCTACATGCTCCAAAGTGGAGACACCAGGAAATAAATCAAAGCAAGGTCTCTGGTGCTGAGCTACACTTGCCCCTGCAACTTCCTCTCTGTGTAAAGACAGAAAAACTTCAACTCAACCGTGAACTCGAGGCCCAAAACGGCTCTACAAAAGCTATACAAAAGCAAGGAAGCTCACCAGCTGTGCAGCAACTCAATCTCAGCCAGAAGTTGTGCTTGCTGGAAGTAGCTATTCTGCAACTCCAGGACGATGGCTCTGATGTTGCCGCAAGTGCCTTCGGGAAGCACCAAAGAGGGAGGGAAGAAGGGGCTGTCGCTCTGCGCAGGAGAAGGAGATCCAGTCAGCGGTCTGAAAACTCCGATCCAGGCCAGAACCCGATTCTCGCTCTGACTCACCTGCAGCATGACACTGGCATCATCCCTCCAGTGCAAGCGCAGCTTCAGGGCGTGGGGAGTGGCAGCCCCCAGCTGGGCTGGGGATATCAGCTCAAACTCCAGGTCACTCTTGGACTCAGAAAGCAGTCTGACCCCTTGCAAAGTCTCCAGAAGGGACCGGAAGTCAGAGATCCTGCGGACAATGAACAAGTCCAGGGCGGGGCAACAAAAAGGAGGAAACCTGGAGGCATATCTCCAACAATACTCATGGTGGAGCAGTCAGGGTGGTGGCTGGAGTAGTGAAGGGCTGAATTTCTCTCCTTCCTCCCACCCCAACCTTTTAAAGGCAGCCTTAACACTGAAGATTTTAACCCATGCTATAAAATAAGGCAATGAGTACTCCAGACAGACAAAATCTGAACTCTGCACCAGGTAACCTGCAGTCTCTTGCGGATTATAGAAATTATCGTATTTTTCGCTCTGTAAGACACACTTTTCCCCTCCTAAAAAGTAAGGGGAAATGTGTGTGTCTCTTATGGAGTGAATGCAGGAGGGAGGCTCTGCCCAGCGCTCCCTTTAAAGAGCCACGTGGAACATGTGTGCGGCTCTTGGGGGCTTTTCCCTGAGGAGGAAGAAGGGCTGCCCTTCTCCCTCCTTGGGGAAAAGCCCCCAAGAGCCGCACACACGCTCTGCGCGCTCTTTAAAGGGAGCGGGGCTCTTGGGGGAGCCTTCCTCCCCCTGCCCGGAAGAGGCTGCGCACGGCTAAGGCAGAAGCCAGGACAGCAAGTGGGATCGCTGCGCAGCTTATGGCTATCCATCTTGCTGTTCTGGCTTCTGGGATTCAGAGTATTTTTTTTTTCTTGTTTTCCTCCTCCAAAAACTAGGTGCGTCTTATGGTCTGGTGCGTCTTATATGGTGGCATGATTCCCTTATTATGCATAGTTTGATTCAACCACCATTAGTTACAGGGAGCTGCACGCATCTACAAAGGACACCCCAGAATTTTACAGCCACCCCTCTGGCTGCCCAGCTGAAAAGAGACAAGGCCCACACGCTGGCATGCATCTTTCCCCGCATAATCAGAACCTTAAGTTTCAATGATGGGGTAGCTGTGCATATCCTGCCCCAACTGCAGATATGGAATCGGGGGTGGCCGTTATTCCTTATTCCAAGTCCCAGGTGCAATCTCGGGCACATTTCAGATTCCATTCCCCGCAGCCGGAACCAGCACCCTCACCTCTGGACCTCTTCCTGCCAAGTGCAGGCCTGGCGCTCTTCTTCCTCCAGCTCCCTCTGCAGGTGCTGCAGCTCCTTGCGCTGTGCCTGCAGACTGCCTTGCAGCTCCACCATGCGCTCCTCCAGCCGCCGCTGCTGCTCACACAAGGCGTCCTGCCAGGGTAGAGACAACCAGGATCAAGCCAAGGGACTCAACCAGCTGCTATCCCCACTCCGGACCAGCTCAGATCTAGTTCACTTGCCCTGTTAGCCCCACCTGCTCCTTCTGCTGCCTCTTCTGAGCGCTCCTCGCCTTCTCCTCCATCTCCAGTTTCTACAAGGGAAACGCAAAATAAGTAAGTGCAGGAATCCCAAATGGCTGGGTCACAACCTACGCCTTATCAATATACACTGTTGGCTGGGCTTACAAACATGCATTATCCCTGATGGGACATATTAACAAAGGCAAGGTGTACTCCATCCCACCCTGCATTATAATAATTTGGCTACTAAGGGGCTTCTTGAATTTGAACCCAATGAACACAGCATGTGGTTAAACTCCAGAATTTGTCATCAGGTACAGTGGTACCTCAGGTGGTGCTGTGGGTTAAACCACAGAGCCTAGGACTTGCCGATCAGAAGGTCGGCAGTTTGAATCCCCGGTACGGGGTGAGCTCCCGTTGCTTAGTCCCTGCTCCTGCCAACCTAGCAGTTCGAAAGCACGTCAAAGTGCAAGTAAATAAATAGGTACCGCTCTGGCGGGAAGGTAAACGGTGTTTCCGTGCGCTGCTCTGGTTCGCCAGAAGCGGCTTAGTCATGCTGGCCACATGACCTGGAAGCTGTCTGCGGACAAATGCCGGCTCCCTTGGCCAATAAAGCGAGATGAGCGCCGCAACCCCAGAGTCGGTCACGACTGAACCTAATGGTCAGGGGTCCCTTTACCTTATAGTGGTACCTCTGGTTGCGAACGGGATCCATTCCGGAGCCCCGTTTGCAACCTGAGCAGAACACAACCCGCATCTGCAGGTCGCGATTCACCACTTCTGTGCATGTGTGTGACATCATTTTGAGCGTCTGCGTATGCGCGAGCAGCAAAACCCAGAAGTAACCCGTTCCGTTACTTCCAGATCACCACGGGACGTATCCTGAAAAGATTTAACCCGAAGCGTCTTTAACCCGAGGTATGACTGTCTCGTCAACTTGGATGGCTTTAAAGGAGGACCAGACAAACCCATGGAGGATAAAGGCTATCAATGGGGACTAGCCATGAAGACCATGTTATTTAATTTTTCAGGTTGCAAGAAAGGAAATCCCAACTAAACATCAGGAAGAACTTTCTGACAGTAAGAGTTGTTCGACAGTGGAACCTCAGGAGGTTGTGGACTCTCCTTCCTTGGAGGTTTTTAAGGAGAGACTGGATGGCCATCTATCATGGATGCTTTAGTTGAGATTCTTGCATTGCAGGTGGTTGGACTAGAGCAGGGGTAGGCAACCTAAGGCTCATGGGCCACAAGCAGCCCACGGGCGTCATTTAACCGGCTCACGAGCCGCCCCCGAACCAAGCAGCCTGCTCAGCGAGTCCCCACGCGCTGTGCTAAACCGGCGCAGTGCGGCGCGGGGCCTCACTTCTGCAGCGACAGAAATAACATCTGCACAGATGCTGGAAATCGTCTTCTTGCTGTGTTATGCTAGAAGATTAGTGTGCATATATCATTTGATACATGTCGCTGAAGTACACTGGAGAAGAAGGGAAATGCCTTTTCCAGAGCTGCACATGCCGGAGGATGCTCCGAGTTCGGGGGCTGCAGGGGCACCCCAGGGCGTTTTCCAACAGTGGAAGGGGGGATTATTCGTTTATTTTTGTTCTCATTTATATTATGCACTTTTGGGGGGAGTTATATTGTAATTTTATGTTGTGAACCACCTTGAGATCTATGGATGAAGGGTGGTATACAAATTTAATAATACTAATACTAATAATTACTTTTTAAGCTTCCCTCCACCAAATGCGCTGCCTGAATCTTTGTAAGGGTTTTTGCCTTCCCCTCCTTCGACCTCCAAATTTCTGCTGGGAGATGTCTAGGCCACCCTGGCTTTAGCATCTTGTCTATGGGCAGCTTGCTTTAATCCAAGGGCAGGAAATCTCTGGGCCTCGAGGGCTGGTTGCGCTAGAGCTCCCACCATTCCTCACCATTTCTGACCATGGGAGCTGCCGTCTGGAAACATCTCAAGAGCCACAGGTTCACCACTCTTGCTATAATCAGAAAATAGGAGGACAACGCCATCCCAGGCTCCCCATCGCCACCCCCAAATCAGCAAAGCACCTTGTCTCGGTAGCGTTGCAGAGCTTCTTCCAAGAGCTGAGCTCGGTTCCGCGCCTGCTCCAGCTTGAGCAGCAGTTGTGGCACATCCTTCTGGATGCTCTCCACTTGTTGTTGGTACTCAGCTTTGAGCTTCTTCCACTCCTGCTTCGCTTCGGCCACCTCCTGTCCTGCAAGAGAAGGGGGCGGCAGTGGGGAGCCCAAGATCAGCCTTGGAGATAGAAGAGGCGGTACATGTGCCCCCACCCTCAGTCGTTTCACTGAGTTTCTCAAAGTACCAGAAGTAGAAGCAGGAGATTCCAACCCACACTATGACCAGCCACAATGAAAAAATTAACTCTCCAGGGAACAAGGCTGATGTTCATTAAACCAGCTTGCCCAATACACCCACCAGTCACCGGCTGAAGAAATGTAGCTCCACAGAGCGCATTTCAGCACTGTTCAGCTTGGGCTCTTGGACTGAAAGCACAGAATGTGTTCTGGGGAGTTTAAAAAAGCCATTTCCTGCTTTCCATTTATTTTTATTTTGTGGGAAATAAATGCAAGGCAGTTTATAAAAAATATAGATAAAGATTTAAAAAAATAAATTTAAAAATTTAAATTAATAAATGCAATAATAAAAACCCCATTTCCTAATTCAGGGGTGGCCAACGTGGCATGCTCTGGATGCTTTGGACTACAACTCCCATCAGCACCTGCCAGCATGGACTGGTGATAATGATGGGAGTTGTAGTCCAGCAACATCTGGAGGGTCACAGGTAAGTTGCCCCCCTATTTTGGCCCTGGAAACAGTTTAAGGTTGTATATGGCAAGGAGGAAAGCAGTGGTGCAACGCTATGGCACAATTCCATGGGAGTTGATCCAAAAACAGGTTTAACTACACTAAGCAATCCACAATGCAGGGCTATTTTTCAAAATTAATGTGCAAACTAGAGATACTTTGATTCACGCTACACCCTCATTAGTTTGGACACATAGAAAACCGTGACTTGTGCAGCATGCATACTCACGAACAGAAGATTTGGAGGCGTTCTCAACGCAAAGTCCAGAATCAAGGAAATCCAGACAGAACTTCAACACTTGCAGCTGCATCAACATAAACTTGTGGGCGTGCCTGGTGCTCTGGAAAACACGCACCAAAAGCAGGGTTCAAGTCAGCACCCTGGGAGCTCTCCGCCCGTTGAGCCAGCCAGGACTAAAGCCAGCATCCCCTCCAAGGGGAAAAGGGTTACTACTCACCACGGCATGCTCAGCCAAAACCTGAGGTGGTAGGTCAGCCTCCACCCCATATTGGGCTTGCCGCTCAAAGGCAAGTGCATCCTTCACCCGAGCAAGAAGCCTAAGGAGGACATGAAGAAACCACAACATCAAGAAACTAAAAGAACGCTTTTCAAAACTGCATATGTCCCAGGAAACATTTCAGCTGCCACGGCGACCCTCCATACTGGTGAAAGATTCAAGGTCATATTCTTACCTAGTCCAGGGTGGGCAAATGTGGGCCCTGCAGATGTTGTTGGATTACAAACTCCAATCGTTCCTGACCACTGGCTACACTGAGGCTAATGGGAGTTGTAGTTCAACATCTGGAGGTCACAAGATGTCCACGCCAAGGGCATACATCCAGCTCAGCTGGGATACTTGCCAGGCTAACCAGGGTTCAGAGTTGCTCCATGCAAACAGGGAGCAACACCTTGAACACACCTAACACCAATGTGGTATAATGGTTAAAGTGTTGGACTAGGATATGGGAGACAAGGATTCAAATCCCCACAATCATGAAACTCGACGCACCTCAAAGGGTTGTTATGGGGATTAAAAGGGATGGAGAACCACATACACAGCACTGAGGTCCTTGCAGAAAAAAATGTGGGATATAAATGCAATAAAATAAATAAATATAGCTGTACAGGTGGTCAGAAATGACGGGAAAGTTGTTCTATACAGGGAAACTTGTCTGCCGTTTCACTGCCTCACTGAGAAACCAGTTAAGCCTATGCTGCTGCTTAATATGTTCTTGATTAACGATTTTGTACTGGTTTTTAAATGGTGTCTTATGTTTTACTTGTTATACGTATTGTTATAAGCTCTTTTATGAGATGGAGGCATATACTTTTATAAGCAAACAACCCCCTGATGAACTTTCAAGGAACACCCACGGGTCTGTGGAAAATTCATAGAATCGTAGAGTTGGAAAGGACCTGCAGATCACCTAGTCAAACCCCCCCGAAATTAGAATGTTTTCAAGCAAATGCAGCAGAAGCAACTAGGGAAATGCAGAATTATGTTTTTAGCAGGCACTGAAACGTGTACAGTGAAGGCACCTGCTTGATCTCAATAGGCAGGGAGTTTCGAAGAGTAGGCACTGCCAAACTAAAGGATCAAGTTCAAGTGCATAAAATGGGTATTATGTGGCACCTGCTGTAGTGCCAGTAGCCCCAATTAGTAAGCTTTAAGGAAGCTCTGTGATGTGAAAATCTAATAATAAGTATAAATAATGAATTGAAGCTACCAGAATAAATAACAATAAGTAGGATTGTGTTAAAAGTTATAAAATGAAGGAAGTTCAGACAAATTGAGGGAAGTCAAAAGAATGGAATTAAGAGGTAATTAAGAAGTTCGAATGTACAACTTTGTTTTCTTTTTTGTATTTGTAAACCAATAAAATATAAATTTAATTGTAGTGCCAGTAGCCCCAATTCAGAGCGGTTGAGTGGGCACAGGGAGGGCCAGTCGACCTCGCAAGCAAGCTGGACCAAAGATATGTACATGCGTGTATTTATATATATATTGTATATACAAATGAAAACCATTCTTCCTTCAATGCCCAACGAAATAGTTAAGTGCAAAGCGGGGGAAGTACCGCAGCTCTCCCAAACGAGTCTGCTTGATGTATAAATGGTGGTTTTAGGCGACCTCGTAGGTAAACCGGTCCCAAGCTGTTAACCTTCTCGAGATTATATGGATTTTTAAAATTTAGTGCGTTAACGAGACGGAGAAGCAAAGTCCTGTCGCTCCCAGAAGCCCTTTAACCACTGGAACCCAAATACATCCGTCGCCCGGTGAACTAGCACAAGAGTATTTCCCCCATATTGTTTCAATGCCTTTATTTACACTGCTTGGTTGTTCCAAATATAAAAAAGTCCCTGAGCTGCTCACAAAAAGGCAAGACATATAAAACCTGGAAAAGTTTGCCATATATATATGTTACGCGTGCAATAAACTAAAACAAGATTAAAATACCCTAAGATTTATACCAGCTGAAGAGAAACCAGAGCACGTATATATTTAAAAAAAATATCCCTATTTCTTGGGAATAAGTGGCAAATAAACAGCACTCACTCCGCAGCCTCCGAGGCCGCCATAGCCGCTCAATTTCGCCGCGCTCCTCGCGCCTTTTCATTTGAGTCCACATCGCCCCACTTCCGCCCGCCAAGCGCACCAATCGATGCTCGGAGACCAAGCAATGCCCCGCCCAGTAGCTTGGATCCCGCAGCGCCATTGGACGGAAGAGGGGTGGAGGCGGGAAGATGGGCGGCGACCGAAATGAACGTTCGCCTCCATTTTGAGAAAGGCGTCTGGCAGGGATTGTGGGGAGGAGGGAAGCGGGGCTGAGGAGCTGGAGGCGGTCGGGGCGCCACAACAACAACAACAACAACAACAGACGCTCAATGCCTAAAAGAGACATATTGGCCGTTTCCGAGGCTGGGGAAGGGGTCCATCTCAAAAGAATGAGATTAAATAGAAAATGGGCATAATGTCTCAGCAAAAGAAACCGATTTGGGTTTTTTTAAAGTGTTAGGTGGAAAAAAATACGAGAGAGAGACATTGCACATACCTTTGTAAATCAAGAAAATCTTTAATTAAAATACATTTAAATAAAAAAATAGAAAATAGGCAGGTTTCACACACCCCCAGTCCCACTTCCTCGTCTGCTTTTGAACACATTGTTGAAGTTGGTTCCCAGTTGCTTATTTGCTTGAGATTTCGAAAATACGCAGGTGCCTCAACATGAAAAGCAAAGTTTATATGGCCCTCAGCCCCAGAAATAAAGCTTGGGTTAACTCATGCTGTGTATCTGCGTGGTTATGGGACTCCCCTCCTCAAGCACAGCAATGAGTTTATTCAGTCCGAAGTAGACTGCTTGTAAAATGTTCCTAAATGCGTGATGACCCCCATAAACATCATAAATGGGTAATGGGGAGGGGATCCCCATCTCAAAAACTGTTTTGGGCCAGGGTGAATAACGGCCAAGCAGATGGCATCCTCTGCGATGTGGTGTATCCTGCCTTCCCACGGGTGTATGGAATGGTCAAGGGCATCCATGAACACCATAAATAACCAAAATATTTAGAAATAATTGGGGTTTCCCCCTCCCCACCCCCCGCCAATATGTGCTTCTGGCCAGAACAAGTAATACACTCAAGGAAATGGACAGTGCCCTCTACAAGATGTCGATGCATTCTGCCTGATCCAGAGATTCATTTGGGTGCATGTCACAATTAAGGACATAAAAAAAATTGGTAATGTGTGTGTCTACTCCATCCCTCCATCCATTCCTTTTATTTGCATGCTGTTTTCCCACACCCCAAAAATCATGCTCAACGCAGCTTACAACAAAGAAAACAATAATGCATTTTAAACAAATACTACAAAAACAATTTCATGATAACATATCAAAACAATATGAAATATAATAACGTACAAAAAAATGACATTTCAGTGTTATAAATATAACAAGATTACTTAAACAACATGCAGTGTCCAACAGCAAAAAATAACGAGAGCTTCAAACCTTAGTCCTAGAAACACCCTACTTTCCCTGGTGTTGCTCACTGTCCCTTCCCTGGGTGTCAATGACAGCAGGATACCACCCATAGTGAGTATGCCCACTAGTAAGGCTTCCAAAAGTATGCTCTGGGCCACCATTAATCATGCACCCACTTCTTCTTCTTCTTCTTCTTCTTCTTCTTCTTCTTCTTCTTTCAACCTATACACCGCCCTATACCTGAAGGTCTCAGGGCGGTTCACAAGAGATGATGGTGTGATATGGAATACCACTTCTCCCAGAGGGTCCTCCTGGCGCAGGCCACCATCAAGGAACACCTAAGCACACCAGCTTTAGTGAAGTGTTTGTTTGTTTTTTTAACTTAAAGTAACTTTGGGAGATGTTTTGGTGTCATTAATTGGAAAGAAATTAGACAGCAATACTGACAGGCATTTGTACAGCATGAGCCTAGGCATGTTTATTCAAAAGTAATTTTCACAGAGTTGAATAAGGTCTGTTCCCAGGTGAATGTGCATTGGATTGTCGCATTATCATAGCTGTCAACTTTTCCCTTTGCTTGCGAGGAATCCTATTCGGAATAAGGGAATTTCCCTTTAAAAAAGGGAAACGCTGACAGCTATGCGTATTATGTATATTTTTAAGTTACTCTGGATGGTATAGTCACAATGAAGCTGTAGCAAGAAACTGAATAATTTGGCAGATTTTTTCTTCTGTGCCTCTCACCCAGTATTCCTCATTAAGAGCTTAGGATAAAATCCAGGGTTGTGGTTCATATGTGCATATGCATAATTGTGAGACATTTGTCTGTCAGCTTCTTTATGAATAAGCCTAGTTCTTTCCTGCATTTTATTCTGGTCCTACGAACTTCTGGTTTATATTCAACTTACAGCTCCCATGGATGTTTAGTCAGAAAGAAGTTCCACAGAGCTTAGGGAGTCTTACTTCCATGTAAGATTGTGTGGGGATGCTGCCTTTTAAGACTGCCACTTTTTCTTCTAACTTCTCCCGTAGTTAAGCTTCTTATTCCCACTTTTCTCCATGTTAGGAAAATCATCTTGCTTTACTTCTATGAGTCCGGCTAGAGTTAAAACAGCTTCTGCTCTTGCCTTACTTCTCTAGTAAATAAATTATGTTTGGGGCTATAAATACATTGTAAACTTAGCTGTAGCTTTGTATGAAGGCTGCAGTTCTTGTAAGCGCTTAGTGGAGCATCTCACTGGAAGCAGCGGGGCTGTACTTGTGAGAAAATGAACATAAAGCTCAGGCTGTAATTGTAAAATCTCATAGTCCACTCTAGGTGGCCTATAGATGCCTCTCTGAGGCACCTAGCCTTATACCAGGCTCTCCAGGAATTTGAACTACTTACTTTTTTTTACTTACGCACGCACACACACACACAGATAGAACTGGCCTTCCTTATCACCAGTTCCTTTCCCAAGCAGCCCCACCCTCTCTACAAAGGCCCAGATTGCAGCCTAGCAGGTGCATCTGGCTTCCTCGGGAAAGCCATGGAGTGGAATCCGGAGAGGAGGAAAAGAAGCTCCGTGAGTGGCAGCAGCTGGGGCAACTCGAGCTGGATGAGATTCCAGTAAGTTTCCTTGCTTTGTTTTTCCTTGAGCTTCCTGGTGTGGCCTCTGGCTGAGTGGCTTGCAAAACTTTGTACAGACATTTTACAGGAAATGCTTGCTGGCATACTGTTCAACTCCTGCTTGAACTCTCCCTGCTTCTTTCCTTGATATTTAAGTACTCCATCCTTTTTTGCTCTCCTTGCTCTGGATCGCTTTGGTACCGTAAACAAGCGATTCTGCAAGGGCGCAGAGCTCTTCATTCAGTTTATAGAGCAGTTTGTAAAATGACGAGCGCATAGGCAGGCAGGGTTAACAGGCGCAACTTGCTATACAAGGGTTTGGCATCGCCCAAATTCCTTCCACCCTGTTCTCTTGAATTGGAGACTGGTATTTCTCGGTTGCCTTTGCACCTCCCTCCCTCTGGTCTCTTCCTCCCCACTCACTCCCTAGCCGTAATGAAGACTGCAAGCCCTTCTAGGCACGAACCTCTTAGGGTGAGATGCAAGGGTACTCAGTGCTATATAGTTAATATTATTATGCAACTTATTGTACTCTGTTTTTATACGTGTTGTAAGCTGCCCAGATGGGCGGGGTATATTATTATTATTATTATTATTATTATTATTATTATTATTATTACTATTACTGTTACTATTATTATTAACTATATTGGAGCCTGGAGTTTAAGGGTTAATAAAGCGAGGTCTCAGACCTCCAACTACCCCATCTCCGTTCAGTTCTAGGAGTCGCTTTTGTGCAACGCAGTTTCAGCAAAAGCTTCCCCAAGTGTATGCAAAACTACAAAATGCCTCCGCCCTCCAAACACATATTGGGACTTTGTGATGACTACGCGCAGGGGTGCCAACTTGAATAAAACATTGGGGTTGGGGCACATAATCGATCACACGCACACTATCTGAATGGCAATGCCCATCAACTTGGGAGCGTCTGTCTCCCTCAAATATTTTAATAGAGGTGGGGGGAGGGACCTGGGTCCCTAGGAGTTGGCTCCTATGACAGCGGAAGTGGCTCCGACGTCGAGGCTGGACGAAGCCCCTTTTGATGAACTTTGCAAGGAGCAGAGACGGGGGGGAGCAGTGGAGAAAGGAGAAGCGGCGCGGGGGAGGAGGAGTTGTTGCTCTGTGTTATTGTTTTACAAACGCGGACAAAGATTCTGGGGTTCACGTCCGCTTTGAAAATCTCACCAGTTGGTCGCTACCCGCCCCCGCCCCCGCCTCATCCCCGATGGGGAGATTGCACTCTGCACGTGCTCTGGAGCGCGCGCACCGCAGCAGCTGAGCAGCGAGGCCGGCGAGCAACCTCTGGGCGGCTGACGGCGGCCTGCCACTCGCGTCCCCTAAGCGGCGCCCGGCCACCTCCGCCTCGGAAGAGCCGGGCGCCGCCGGGCCCGCATGCGCCGCCCCCGCCGCCGCCGCGCCTTGTGGGCTGGAGCCGCCGGTGCTCCTCCTCCCGCCTTCCTCGTCGTCTCCGCCTTTTTCTTCCGCTGCTCTCGCTGCTGCTGCTGCCGGCCATCGCCGCGGCTGAGGACCCGGGAGCCGCTGCTGCAGGTACCGCCCGCGTCCCCAGCGCCCCTTCCACCCGCGGGACCCCGATCCGACCCTCCGGCCGGCTGCCCTCGCAGGATGAGGCCCCCCTCCCTCTCCCCGGGTCCGGTTGCCGTGGAAACGAGCCCGCCCCTTGCAAGGTTGGCCTCGCCTGCCTCTCCGGCGAGGTGGTCGCCATGGAGACCCCGTGGTCTCCCTGCCTTCGGGGCAGCCCGGGGACACAGGCCCTTTCTCAGCGCATCCACATCCCTCTTTCCCTTGCCTTCCTTCATCCCCCCTTCCTCTTCTCATCACCATAGTAACCAGCCCATGCCATCACCCCCAAAACGTCGCTTCTCCCTTCGCATCTCCCCCCACGTAATAGGGAATTAATTCTCCTCCCATCAAAAATGCTTACGGGATTATTCCGCTCCTCCAGCAAATCAGGCTGTCATTGCTTCTCATCCCCGTGATATCATACCGCATCGTGAGCCCGTTCTTCCCTTTTTCGTCACCCCCTCCCCCAAATCAGAAATTAGGCCCCTTTTGAGGAAAGACCCAGCAAAAATTGCCCACTGCAAAGTCCAGTTGTCGCAGATGATGCTGGTGCATATCCCCCTGTGACCTTCCTCATTTCGGGGGAGCGTGTAGTGGGATATTAGAGACCAGATGGCACCGTGCAAAAGACTGGATTTGGCTTAGGGTTCACACTTATCTATCTCGTATGGATGCTCTAATGCAGGCATGGCCAATTTCTTAAGCTATGGGGACTGGGCCCCTTTTGCAAAGCCACTGTAGGGGAGGGGCACTCCTCCCTGGGAAGAACTGCCAAGAATTATTAAGGTAATAATCTGCAGAGGGGGCAGATGAGAGTCATGCTGCAGGTCTCCTGACTGGACGGTTTGCAATCCCTGCTCTAGTACCTTTTGCAATCCTGTGGCCCATATCCATTCCCTGTATTAGTGCTGTCTGTTATGTGGAGGGAACATCAGTGTCAAATCCAAACCTTTCTTCCCTCCCAGTAAAACAAGTCAGCAGACTACACAGTTGCTCCCGTATGTGGGATGCACAATTCATGCTCTCCCTTATGCTGCAGGAAACAAAATACTACCACCACACCCATTGGTGACCGAGTCCCATCATCTGCTTCAATTGGCTCTTCCTTAGCTTGTCAGAAGCACTGTCACAGAGCTGTTTTTCCTGTGGGAGGGGAGTGTGCCTTCCCTGTCAGTTGCCTATGGCCAGTTTCACAGCTAAGGCTTCTTTTGTCATAGCCATCTGTGTGCCTCTTGGCCTGGAAGTTGCATGCTAATGGATGGGCCATCATGTTGCGCAAGCCTTTAATCCCTCTCTGTGCCCATCTCTGAAGCTGATTTCTCTGTGACCTCTCAATTGCAGACGCCCACTTACAAGCTCCCCTGAGCGGCCAGTGGCAGTGTGGGGCATGGCAGCAGTGTGGCAGCAAGTGTTGGCTGTAGACGCACGGTAAGTGTAAAGGAGTAGGGCCCGCAGGGGTCTTGGGCAGTGCTTTGTGCTGCTGGGGTCTACCTGTGCTGGCGGAAGTAGTGTGCTTCTGCATATCAATTGCTGGGAATCACAAATGAGGAGAGTGCATCTGGTTGGTCGTTGTAAGAAAAGGATGCTGAGCTAGATGGCCCTTTGGTCTGATCCTGCAGGGTTCCCCATGTTATTATGGGAAGAGCAAGTCCAGAGAAGGAGCTAAATCAGTCTTGTCTAATTGTTCAGGGAGATGGGTGTCTTGTGTGAGAATTCTAGATCCATGTTTGGTGGGAACATCAACAATAGTTATGAATATGCTTTCACAATTACCCGTGGTAGTTTCTCCAGGTGAGTCAATCATTTTTGATGCCATACTTTCACTTAGTGCAGGAATTACCATATTGGTCTGAATATAGGCTGCATCCCGCTCTTCCCCAAACCAGGCCTGTATAAAATCATGCTCTTATATGTAGAAAAGCTGTGATTTTAAAAAATCTCATTTTAGGGGTGCTTCCTATATTGGGGGAGGCTTGTATCCAGACCAATAGGATCAAACCTCCACTAAAGACATGTCCTGCGAAAGGGTCAGTGTCTTGTGTCTTTGGACAACTAAGTTTTAGAAGCAAAATATCAATATTTTAGAGGTAGATGGCGGTTGGGTGGGTTCCTCAAATCCGACTTTCTACCAAAGGGATTTTATTTCCAGTTGTTGAATGTTTTTCATTTGGTGGCCTCAAATATATTGCATAATGCCATTATAGTGTTATCAGCTGGAGTACTGACCACAGCGTGGCAATGCAAGATACTGTGCTGCAGGGGAATCTTGAAGGAGTTTCTCTCTGTTCAGTTGGCGCTAACCCCAGCACAATGCTAAAGAGCAAAAGAGAGCAGGGTGAGCTGAATTAGAATGCGGCAGGCTCAGGCTTCCAGCAGCTGATGCACCAACCCCTATTTCAGGTACAACGCATACCGCACCCCAACCTTCCCGCAATTCCGCACACAGTACATCCGCCGGCGCAGCCAGCTGCTGCGGGACAACGCCAAGGCCGGCTACGACCCCTCGCTCCGTAAGCAGTACCTGCGGCTGCGCAGCCAGCTCCTGGCCCAGCGCTACGGCCCCCTCTCAGAACAGAGCAGCTTCCGTGCCTACAGCAACAGCATTGTCCGAAGCAGTCGTACCACACTTGACCGCATGGAGGTAACCAAGGGCAGCCGGGGGGACGAAGAGACTAACACCAGCCCTGTGCATTTGGCCTGGGACATTATGTATTTAAATGAAGCCTATTCCATTGGTGGGAAGAGGGCTATAGTTTTGCCGAGGTCAGCACTTGCTCAGAGGAGAGAATGATTCCTTGCCAACACAGGAGCATTTCAGCTCCCACTCCGTGCAGCACAGTATTCTTGTCCAGTAGGATCAGGGCTGTGTGTAATCTGTCCCCCAGGGAAGCCAAAGCTAAACTATGCATGTGCCATGGGCATAGCCGGGGGGGGCAGGGAGGGGCAGCTCCCCCCTCCAGATCAAGTAAAACAATAGAAATACTTAACTGACCAACCACATTGGTTCTGCTCCCCCTAACAAAAAACTTGTCTATGCCCATGACATGTGCAATAGACATACGCAGAGTAAATTTGTATAGAGCCGCTCACATAATTCCAATCCCAATAGTCAGATTTTCAGAAAATTTGGCAGATTTGGGAAAACAGACAAGAAAAATGGGAATGTAGAGAGCAGAACAAGGTACGGGCACAGTTAAAGAGGTATTCCTCCCTCTGCAAAGGTTCCAGAGCCTTCATTAAAAGCCTCCCGACACATTTTTAGTCATCAGGATTAGAAAATAGACAAACAAAACAGAGGGAACAGAAGCACAGGTTAGAAATCTGAGTCTTTTATAAAGGCACTCTGCAACTTAAGTGCTGGCGTCCGTTTCCTCATCTTCTCATTGCTTCCTCTCTGGAATCCCTGACCTTGCAGATACGCCTGTCTCTGCTTCCTTCAGTAATGCACCCAGCACAGTATGTCATCTAGCTCCTTGCTATCTTCCAGTGTAACTACTTTATGCATTGTGCCACAGGATTTTGATGACGACCCAAGGGCACTGGGTGCCCGAGGCCACCGCCGCTCTGTCAGCCGAGGGTCCTACCAGCTGCAGGCGCAAATGAACCGAGCTGTCTACGATGAGAGGTATAAGGCCTATAGATCTAATCTGGGGCTAATTTGGTGCATGCCAATTCTTTGACTTCCAAGTTTTTGTCAGAACCCTGGATGCTGCTCTGACTCCAGTACAGGTAAAGCAGTCAGGACAAAAGCTCTATGTTCCCATACTGGTCTCCCCACCCCACCACCCATTCCACTGGAAACAAGGTGTGCTTATTTCATAACAATGTCTTGTGTCTTCCTTTAGACCCCCTGGCAGTGTTGTCCCCACTTCGGTGGCAGAGGCCAGCCGTGCAATGGCTGGGGATACCACCCTAAGTGAGAACTACGCCTTTGCTGGCATGTACCATATATTTGACCAGCACGTGGATGAGGCTGGTGAGTAGAGCAGTCGCTAAGGTGTCATGGAGTAACTACTGTCTCCTTGTTGTCTTTTGATGTCACATTGGTCATATGAACCAGGGTGACTATGAAGATTGCGTTTTGGAGAGAACTATATAGAAGAAGTGACACACCACACACCCCTGCAAAAAAACAACAACAGACGACTCCAGGACAAGTAGTGAGATTATTATTCCTGCCTTCTTGAGGTAGAAGCGAGCAAAGGAAAGTGGAGGGTTGGAAAAGCCTTTACAGGCTGGTGTTGCTTCTTTTGCTGATAAGCATGCTTAAGTGCAGCTGTTAACTATTAAGTAGCCCAACACAAAGCCTCCCTTCCCCCACAGCCTTCCTCAAATGCTCCTTAGAGAGCTCTGTAATTGTGTTGATGCAAGAAGGGAATCGTGTTCTGAGTGGTATCTGGCAGAGAGATATTTGTAGCTGGAGTGCATGGAAATAATTAAGAATCCCTTAAAACTGTCAGCCTCTTAGAGGGTGGGTGCTGGTGCTGCTCTTGCCTTTGCTGTCAACATCCGGCTAACAACCATTTCCCCTTTTCTTCCCCAGTGCCCAAGGTTCAGTTTGCCAATGATGACAAACACCTATTAGCCTGCTGTTCTCTGGACGGTACCATTTCTGTGTGCCAGCTAGTGCCAACTCCCCCTGTGGTGCTGCGGGTGCTGAAGGGACATAGCCGTGGTGTGTCAGACTTTGCCTGGTCCCTCTCCAACGACATCATTGTTTCCACTTCCCTTGATGCCACTATGCGCATATGGGCTACAGAGGATGGCAAGTGCATCCGGGAAATTCCAGATCCAGATGCCTCTGAGCTGCTCTGCTGCACTTTCCAGCCCATGAACAATAATCTCACGGTGGTGAGTGAAGGCCTAGGATATAGTGCCCCTGCCCACTTCCACCTGAGCGAATAAACAAAGCACTGGGCCTTTCCCCTACAAGGGACATGTGCTTGCATACAGTTGAGGTTTCTTCCTTTCTCCCCACCCCCAAATGATGTAGGCATGTAATAAGTGGGCTGAATCAAAAGAAATGGGGACTGGAATCAGTACTGCTGGGGGTGAAGCAAAGGCAGTCTGGTCACAAGTCAAAGGGACTTGGCACAGATAAAAACATAAACTTTCTCCTCTAGGTGTTTCAGGTCCATAATTAACCAAGATGGTGGTGAGGGGAGAGTCTCTTGGGGGGTAAGAGAAAAGGAAGAGAGTGTGCCTGTTGCTCATTCTTCTGCTCTGTAGAATAGTATGAAACTGACATCTTTATTTGTCCATAAGGTGGGGAATGGAAAGCACAACCTCCATGTGGTGAACATCTCAACAGGGAAAAAAGTGAAGGGTGGCTCAAGCAAGCTAACTGGCCGAGTGCTGTCTCTCTCCTTTGATTCCCCTGGCCGTATCCTCTGGGCAGGAGATGACAAAGGCAGCATATTTTCTTTCCTCTTTGATATGGCAACAGGTGAGTGGAGTGGGATGGGGAGCATAGTAAGGACAAGGATTAGCACAGATTGGCTTCAAGCCTTCTGCTTCCTTCTTCCCCCCTGCAGGAAAACTGACCAAGGCAAAACGGCTGGTAGTTAACGAGGGCAGTTCTATCACCAGTATCTCGGCCCGCTCTTGGATCAGCAGAGAAGCACGGGACCCCTCCCTCCTCATCAATGCATGTATTAACAAGCTGCTGCTATATAGGTGAGGGGCTTTCCATGGCATTGCCATGCTGGAAGACAGACACTTGCTCTACTCATATGTGCAGAGTGCCAATGAGCCCCACATTAGAGGATAGATTATGTGATACATGTTTGTGTAATGCAGGTGCAGAGAAGCAGTTTGCTATGATTAAGCTATTTATCCATTGTCTGTTCTTGGCTACTTTTTCCTGACAGGGTTGTGGACAACGAAGGGACACTCCAGCTTAAGAGAAGTTTCCAGATACAGCAGAGCTCGCATCCTGTCCGCAGCATCTTCTGCCCCCTCATGTCCTTCCGCCAGGGAGCTTGCATTGGTATGATGCCCATGAGAGTTCACTCTCATTGTAAAGGGGATGCTGGACAAGACATTCTCACTTGGAATTTCTTGCAGGTTGCCACTTCCTTGCCTGCAACTCTGCTCCTGCATGCAGCTAATCTGTATGACACATAATTATTGCAGAGCCTAGTCCCCTCACCCCACAAAAAACAAACAAACAGGGAAGCTTTTGTCCTCTCTAATTACTTCTCTTTGTGCATTTCAGTGACCGGCAGTGAGGATATGTGTGTCTACTTCTTTGACGTGGAGCGAGCTACCAAGGCTATAGTCAACAAACTACAAGGTCATAGTGCTGCTGTGCTGGATGTCAGCTTTAACTGTGATGAGAGCCTGTTGGCGTCCAGTGATGCCAAAGGCATGGTTATTGTCTGGAAAAGAGAACAGAAGTAGCATTTCTCCCCTGATGAGTGGAAAGAAGTACACTCACTCAACATTGTTGAAGGAGACAGCCTGGGTGAAAGTCAGGAACCCTAAACACCATTTGTCCTCCTCTTGCTGATAGTTTTATTTATATCTTCTGCAGCTGTGAAAGTACTGAGAACATCTTTACAGTGAACCAGCATCCATTTCTTCCCAGGTTTTCAGTTAGTGGGATTTTGTATAGCAGACAAAGGATGCAGGTTATCCTGTGAGAAGTTTGGCTTACTTCTGTTGTGGTTTATGTGTTAGATGTCCAGGTTGCTGTCAGCTGTAATCAACAGGACACAATGTATGCCAAAAGGGAAGGTGGTAAACAGAGCCTCTCTGCCAATTGGCGGCATAGGATTTGGGACTACATGGGTTCTTTGGCTCATGAGCATGAAATTTAGTGGTCCTAGCTCCCATTTAGTAGTAGCTTGCTCCTTGCTGCTGCGTAACTACTTTGTTGTTGCAATGGTCGATTCCTTCCTGGAAATACCAAGGACATCAAACTCCAGAAAGCTGCATCTTCTCTTTGCCTCCTTCAAGTGCCAGACTGAGCCATCAACTTGGAAGGATCAGCCTGCTTTATAAGAGTGCCTGTTGGACATGTGAACTTCTGCAGCTACAACTTTGTGGACAGATTCCCCTCCAACATGAAAAATCTAGCAGCTCATGTTTACATTGGGCTCTTAGTTCTGGCATGTGTTTCAGGAGCAGCTACCAGTGATGAAATGTCTTCCGATTACCGGGAAGAGGAAACTGCAGGTGCTGAATAGATTTGCTTGCACACCAACACAGCTTGCTTGAAATATTACTAGGAATGTGTTTGGAATATCAAGAAACTCAATCTGGAACATTCCTGACAACTGTATTCAAAAGCAGGTGGTGGAGTAGAGTCTGCTAAATTGAACTTTGCAGCTACTTAATGCAGTTGCTTTTTGCCACTTATCTTCCACAGCATGTGTGGCATTGTAACAGGGAAGGGGGTTAGTTGTATTGAAACTCTTCTGTATTGTGGCTGTGATAGTTGCTTTTTCCTCAAATTTGTTCTTTCTGTGGACTAGGAGAAAAGATTTCTAAATTCACTTTTACTTGAAAAAAGTAAGTGGTAGGATTTTCAGGCAGGCATGTGGAAGGTAAGAGCTGATGGTATGGTGCCTCAAATTTCCTCATAGGTACCACATCAGTCACCTTATGAAGAACAAGAGTTCACCTAAGGGGATCCTGTACATGGGGTGGCAAGCCAGCCACATCTTTGCATCAAACAGATTGCACAGCCTATTGCAGGGTTGAGAGAATCGTGGCACTCAGAACTGGACACAGCATTCCAGGTGTGATTTGACTAAGACAGTATAGAGCAGTAGTATAACTTCCCTTGGTCTGAACACTATACTTCTGTTGATGCAGCCTAGAATAGCATTCATTTTTTGACCTGCCAAATGCCTTTGGAAAACCCACAAGCAAGACATGAGAATAATAGCCTTGTTGCTAAAGATCAATAATAGATTCAGAGGCATACTTCCTCCAATCTTGAGGAAATAGTGCTTTCAAAACTAGTAGCCCAATAGCCATGTCCTCTATGAATCTGGCAAATCCCCTTTCAAAGACATTTAAGCTTGTGACCATCATTACATCTTGTGGTAGCAAACTTTTAAAGAAAAAGTGCTGTTTGAAGAACCTCCTTTTGTCATTCCAAAATATCCTGCCAAACAACTTTATTGAATGACTCTGGTTTCCAGTGTAATGAGGATGAAAAATTGTATTTCTACCCACTTTTTCCACACTACGCAATTTTATAAGTTCATGTCACACCCTCATACTTGCTTTCCCACCCTAACTTAAAAGCCCCAAGCACCATAGCCTTTCCCTTATTATAAGAAGTATTCTAAACCTCAGTTTATTTAGTTCAGCCTTTCTGCATCCTCTCAAACTAAACAACCTTTTTGAGATGTGGCAACCAGCACTGTACAGAGCACTCCAAGTGTAGTCACTACACTACATGTTTTTAACGGCATTGGAATCTCTCGGGCACATGAATGGCGATACAAAAAATATAACACACTGGCAACCTGGACAACAACGCAATAAACTAAACAATGGCCCAGTTTGGTCTCACTATGCTTTAGTGAGAAGGAGCAAGCTTTGCTCCTCCCCTGGCCTTGCTGTTTTCAGACTACCCAGAGCTCACCATTTGTCTTCCTCAAAGAAACTACCAGTGGCAAACCAATAACAAACGTCAGTTGTAACTCACGGTTCATTAGGAATAAATGAACAACACTATTAATCTTAAATATGTGCACAGACCTGTCTCCTTTGCCATGGGCCAATGATGGAGTGCCCTTTTCTTCTGGCAAGAATTGCATGGCACCTGAGCTTGGATGCTACCAGCATTCTCCTGTTTGAGAGTGGTGGAAGCGGACTGCTTTTCCACACCACATTGTAATAGTTGCATGACATGCAGAAATTCAGCTCATGGAAATGAAAATGATGGGGGAAAGATCACCTATTACATATTTGCCTGGCATGCAACTATTAAAAACAGATAACCTCAGTCAGCAAAAAAAGCATAGCATCATTACCAGGCATCATACTAAGCAGCTTCTTGAGTTTCTACACTGTGAAAGTCAAATACGTTGCATTTCACTAAAATGAAAGCAGGATTGATGGCGCTAAAAGCTTTTTTCAGTTTTAAGCAATGAAGAATGAACAAGTGTGTGAATAGACTTCTGATATTTCTTAGATTTACAAGGATGTAGGGCCAGGGACTATCCCCTGAAATGGACAGAGCAAAGCAGGATCAAGGCAGGACCTTGCACACTGAATGAAAATGCAGAAACACTTAACTTCCTCTCCACACATGACATGCTAGTTTCTTTTTCATTTAACATGGCATCCAAACCTAGTATCCTTATTCTTCGTGAACTCTCAGTTTAGAGGGGCTGCACCTAGAGATGTCCCATTTAATTATCTACAGAAGTAGGATAGAGAGGCCTGGCCCCTAGACTCGAGGTTCCCTACCACGGATTTATACAGCTGATTACTTGTGTGAATGACGGCTACATGGAAAATGGATGCTAAATAAAATTACCTGAAATTAGTAAAGCCTCAGTTCTGTATTCCAAACCTTAGTGTATATCCCCTTTTGTAGTTCTTAGGGCTGATGCAGGTAGCACAAAACAAGTGAATGAGCTGAAGAACTGGAATGACTTTCTGGAATGTGTTAGGCTAACACTGGTTTCTAGTTCCCACTTGCCACACACACTGAAGTTATCTGAGTTTTTGCTTCAAAGAAGGAAATACAAGTTGATGTGTCACAAGCAAAATAAGGAACCCAACCATCTAATTCATTTCGTCAGTCATAATTAAAAAGCTTCATCACAGCTTCCAAAATACAGTGGTTTCCAGAAGCTAGATTCTTTGCCCCAACCCATTTCCTATATATATATATATTTATACTGTATATTTAAAAACATATTCTCTTCAAAACAAATGCATTAATTACAAGAAGCAACATTGTGGCTTTTCACTTTGCATAGGGCTTTATGATGGTTATTAAGTGCGACTTCAAGTACAAATTACATGGGCCTCTCCCATCCTCAATGAAAGCAAGTTCTATGGATGTGGAAAGGTGGGGAACAGTCATACGGCACACTGAGGTAATACAGAGTCTTTACGCAGATAAATCCATTTTTTAAATGGCTTGTGTTTTACCATTTACTCATAAATGTGGCTAGAAAGCAGTTCTGCTGTAAAATCAAGACTTGTATCCCTTAGAAAACCACACTGAAGATAAGAAACTCATCAGTGTTCTCTGCCACGTTGCACTCACAATCAAGCCTTCAAAATAGTAAAAAGCTATAACAGGTTCTAATAAGACATCCAGAGACTATGCTGTGTTTTTCCAACCAGTACATCAACAGCAAGTTTGACAAGTCGAACCAATCTCCTGCCTGCTGAAGAATCTCTCAGCTGCTGTAAGAATATTTCAGTCTGGCAGTAAGAAGCAGCCAGTCATGGCTGGGTAGCATAAGAAATGTCAGTTATTGCTCTCTCTGCAATTCAAAGTACTGGGTGTTTTTTGTTTTAAGCAGGTAAGTTCCTGACTCTTACCCTCTGCCTTCAAACTTTCAGCAACTGCCACTTCTGTATTGAATTCAAGTCCAAGTCTATCCAGACAACTGTAAAGCAAAACTGGCAAGGAACTAGAAGAGGTATTTCCGGCAAGACTCTGTGCCACATTTACACTCAATGCGCATCCGCTTCTTTGGAGAGCCAGCCAGGCCTCCAACCAGGCCAAAATTAGAGTCCATCCTTGTGCTTTCTGCATTTACTGGGTCCACTGTGGGAGAGATAGGGAAGGTGGGAAATCAGCACTGGAACCAGAATATCTTCCATCATAGCAGACCTGTCACTGAATTTTATCTAGCGAATGCACCCTATCCACAACAAGGCTACATACTGGCCAAAAGGCTAAACTCATAAAAGTTCCCTGTTCCTTTAAGCTCCTACCTATCACACAAGTAAAAAGAAAAGATATCAGAATTATCTTAGAATACTGTTGCTATGCTTTATTTGAAATTCAAGGAAATCTAACCAGAATTTTTTAATGGTTCAAAAGATGATCTTCATTCTTAATCCCTGCCTCCCAAAATGAACAGGTCTCAATGCCCACCTAAATTTCTCAAGCACTCCCCTTCTTACCTTGCATGTTGTAGTCAAAGGTGAGTTCCTCACCAACACGGATAGGTCGAGTAGCAAAGAAGGCAATGCGTGGCAGCCTCTCATCCAAATTTTCAATGAAGACATTGTAAACCTGTAGGTTAGGGTTACACTGGAAGCAGAAAACAGGAGTAAGAGGGAAGTAAGACAAGCTCTACATTAAAAGTTATGTTAAAGACATGGCTCCCTCCCCACTGTGATCTACCCCACTCACACTATGGTTGACAAAATGTGAAATGTTGCCATAGTATGCGGCATCCACTGTGTATACATCTTCTACGTAATCAAGGTCAAAGAGGTATGTGGCACCCTGTCGATCATAGATCTGACCCCGTCGTTCAGCCTCCTCTGATGTGATTATCTGGGAGAGATGCAAAAAACAGTAAGCACTGCAAAAATGGGGCTACTGCATCTTTCTTAGTAATCTATTGAAAATATTCATCCAGATCTCACTTGTTCCCTAATTTCTGCCATCTCTATGCTGGGTAACCTTCTACACATGCTTAGTCTCACTTTTGGTTATCAGTTTAAATCAAAGTTCTAAGTTCTCAGAGAAGATATGATCATGGATAGAAAACCTTCTAAAGTCATTCCCATCATGGTACATTAATTTGCCAAAATGTTTTTCTTCCATGAATCTTTGATGTTCAAGATACTGAAAGTTGACTGCCTAATTATTTCAGTAAAGACTTAAAATCTTGACCACCCTTTATGGTATCTTCACCCATCTAAGCCTCTCTGTGACACAGGTATCCAGTAGGTGGCTCCAAAATGCCTCATTTCTGCAGCAAAACTCATTCTACAGGCTCTACTACCCACATGTTTAAGAGTATCAGGTAGGAATCATACAATTATGGCCTTCTTGCTAATCAGCTGCATTCAGTGCTGTTTGTGTTCAAGTAGAATAGACTTCCACTCATGCAACAAGGCTCCCACTGGCCTCACAGTCCTCAAAATCTGCTCCTGAGAGTTCCTCAGTCCTCTGGAGCATATTTGAGGGCATGCAGGGCAGAGAAGAGAAGACCATAGAAGTCTGGTCACACAATATCAGAAATTTTATAAATAAACACTGGGCAGAATCTATTTCCCAGTTTGATCAAATAAACCTTGAGGGGACTTATATGTAATTGCAATGATATACACACATGCATATTCACAAACCCAATATAGCAGCCCATAGTCCCCTGGTTGGTGAAACACTAAATCTGTGGTGTCAATATGTCATAGGATGATTTACTGAGCAAAATAATGTTGATGTTCTTAGCTTTTGGCACTATTCCCCAAAACTATTTAAATTGTATAAAAGATCTCTCACTTTAAAATGAGATACAGTGGTACCTCGGGTTAAGTACAGTAATTTGTTCTGGAGGTCCGTTCTTAACCTGAAACTGTTCTTCACCTGAAGCACCACTTAAGCTAATGGGGCCTCCTGCTGCCGCTGTGCCGCCAGAGCACGATTTCTGTTCTCACCCTGAAGCAAAGTTCTTAACCCGAGGTACTATTTCTGGGTTAGCAGAGTCTGTAACCTGAAGCGTATGTAACCCGAGGTACCACTGTACAGTTTATGACAAGGGCAGGGCTGGCAGGGACACAACTAAGATTTTAAGAAAATTTACTGGTTACATCAGATGAATGTTCAAGTTTGAGTGTCAACCACAATATCTATACAGTAAATGTTCCTTTCTTCCTGAATTTGTCCATCTACTTGTCCCACTTGAATTAGCAAGACCTACAGAAACCACCCACAGCCTTCCAGAGGCCAGTAATGTAGAGATGGACATTGCACAACTTTCCCAGAGCCCAGTAAAATAGAGATCATCATACGTGGGAAGGGGGGTTATTCCAGGGATCTTCCTGATTTCATGCAATGTTGCCTTTTGTGAGCGGACCTCAGGAATGTAACTCCTATGTAAGTTTTGGGCCTACTGCATTTAAACTCCACAACTTTCATGTTTGAGAACCCCTCAGAATTCAGGGGTCAGCAAACTTTTTCATCAGGGGGCTGGTCCACTGTCCCTCAGACCTTGTGGTGGGCCAGACTATATTTGGGGGGGAATGAACGAATTCCTATGCCCCACAAACAACCCAGAGATGCATTTTAAATAAAAGGACATATTCTACTCATGTAAAAACACACTGATTCCCAAACCGTCTGCAGGCCGGATTTAGAAGGCAATTGGGCCAGATCCGGCCCCCGGGCCTTAGTTTGCCTACCCATGCCTCAGATGGATCAGTCACAAAGAGCCTCACTATCCTTGTAATGTAACTGATATCCCCCTGTTCCCTGATCAAAGCAAATCTTGTCAACTGACCATATAAAGATAAATTTTATCACTTTGGAAAGTAAGTGCAAATATAACCGCTCCATCTTAGACTGGAGCCCATGCAGTATAGCCGTCTATTTAATAATGCCCAGTTTGACTGGAATAGTTCAAGTTCCTATCCTTGTCGTGTGTAAATATGCATAATACCTAGCCCTTTTAGAATTTTGGTGAAGAGTTGCTTCTGACTGACTGGAGCATTTCAGAAAATCAGAAAACATTACAGGCAGTTAAAATAAGTGATACCAGAGCAGAAAGAGAAAGAAAGAGAGAACGTAAGAGATATTTCCATTCTTTATAGTTTCAGGGGTTTTATGTTTGGTGTTAGCAACAAGTGATATGGATTATATTTTGATAAAATGAAATGTTTGTTGTTTATTCCCAATATACTGTTATGTTTTATATGTATTGTTTTTAATGTATTAACTGAATTATTATTATTATTATTATTATTATTATTATTATTATCATTATTATTATTATTATTATCAGACACTAATAAATCCGACTAAGTTTAATGGGGTTTACTCCTAGGTAAGTGGTTATGATTGAAACCTAAGTATCTCTGCCTCTTCGATGAGTCTGAAGTAAATATTTCTACCTGAAGCTCACTGCTGGAGCATGTCACGTACAAACATGGTGTTACTGCTTCACATCTTATAGAATGGAACAGGCCAACCCAGCTTCAATTTTTCTTTCCTCCTGTACCCTGGATCACAACTAAACTTCTGGTCCATGCCTGCTCATCCTACCTCTCCTACATACTCCATGACAAAGCTGTTCTTGCGGATCTTCTCCAGTGTGCGCACACCCCAGCCACGGCCATTATCTGTCCGGAAAATGCAAAGATCGTAACGAATGCCTTTCTGCACCACACGGTTAGAGCAGTCAATCCCACAGCTGCAGCGAGAATTGCACTCATAGATGGGCATGCCAGCCTTGATCTTCACTTGGCCAAACTCATTATACGCAAATTTATGGTGTGAAGCACCAGGACAACAACCTCCTGCTGCTTCTGAAAAACAGTCCAAGCACTCGCAACCCACAGCCACCTGGTTGAGAGTGATGCCCTCCCCGACCTTGTACTCATTAATGTAGACAAAGTCCCGGGGAGGCCCTTCCAAGTCCACCTCATTCTCTACCACAATGCATCCCTTGTGGTTGCGCTTGGCATTGAGTTCATATTCCCAATGCTGCAAAGCCCGCCGCTGTTTGGCCTTCTGCACTAGGTAGTTGGAGATGCCTTGGTCAAGCAAGCGTGTATTCTTTCTGAGCTTGCTTCCTCGTCGAATCAATGCCTGCTCTAGGTCCCGGTGGAACTGTTTGAGTATACTGATACAGCGCAGGTTCTTTCTGGGCTCCCAAGTGTTCTGTGACTCAGGGTAGCCCCGCCACTTCACCAGGTAGTATTCCTCATCCTGAGTAAAAGGTAACCATGCACAGTGTCAGCTTAAAATGACAATTCTCTTCCCAGAACTGAAAACAAACCCCAGAAAATAAGCTCTCCCAATAACCCCTTCTCCTCTAACCTACTAAAACCCAGAGTAAAGGACAAAACCCAGGTATCTCATGCAAAATTAAGCAACTCTGCAACATTCTCTCTTAACAGCTTCAGTCCTGTAAACTATGGGCCACCAATCAAAGGAAAGGGAGATTATCTGGATCAGTAATGCCTGGCTAAAAGTATAAAGAGCAGAATGAGGGATGAAGGAGTGCCAACTAACACCAAATCTCAATGTACAAACACTTAACTGAGAGCTAGGGAAAACAGACGCAAGGTTGTATAAAAGGTGTTGCTAAAGTTGCAAGAGGGCCCAAGTAACTCACCCGAGCTTTCTTGTAGTCACAGAGATACTCTACTTCAAAATCACAGAGGTTTTTTCTGGTAATACCCAAACCAGGGCAGCAAACTTTCTGCAAACGGCAGAGATCCTGGAGGTGGGACCAGGTTGATTTGCAACAAACAGTGCAGGCTATGGAAGATAAGGCAGATATACATTAGAATAACTGTATATTTTCCTTTAACAAAAAGTGGTAATATACTTTTCTGGCTAGCTCTATCATTGTTTTTAGGATCATAAGGAAAAGGGAAATCTCAGAATGTTAAGTCTTACACACATTTCTGATGTTTGCTGCCACAGAGGGCAAGAACTCTAAAATTTGTGCAATGCATCCTAGAACGTACAGATTTAATTTCCCACCTCTGTTCCCATTCCAGTACTAAACATACCACATTCCAACCATAATTCCTTGCCTGTGTTTCACTTTCACATCCGAGGTTTGCTTGTTCTTTTGCAAACCTATTTGCATATAGTGATGAATCTTAAAACAGGTCGAAAGTTATCACATCATGTGACTACTCAATGTATTTAATTCAACTAAATGCCCTGAATACCAACCCACAGCAAAACATGGCAATGTAACACAAGACTTGTGCTGCAAGGCCTCATACATTTTTGTGATAGCTCTGTCATAATTCTTGCTCTCATCCCTATCTTCTAACAACCACTGAACAGACCTGTGTCCTAGTTGCTTATCCTTAGCTAGCTAAGCAACATACTTACATAAAACTATGTCAAATGTTATGTCCCAAGCAAAACATTTTCTGTTTGGCAGCATTTCTAACCAGTTCAGGTCCCAAAGAGTAGGATTACTTCCCCATTTTACACAGAGGACTAAACATACAGCTTTTCTAGGGAAATTTCTAAAACACTTCACTGTTCTAAGGGTTAAAAACCTTCTTCTGGTCTCCAGCTTCTATTTGTTGATGGTCCATTTGCTGTCATTATTATTATTATAATTTATAAAGCATCAAAATTGCTAGGTGCTGTACAGAAATAACACAGCCCTTGCCTTCAGACTTACAATCTAAAAATAAACTTGACACACTGGGGGTGAGGGAATTATTTTTTTCTAATGAACAGTGGCATACCTGATTCTCCTCCACCTCCTCATTTAATTCCTACAACCCTGTGAAGTAGGTTAGGCTGACAGACAGTGACTGGCCCAGGGTCACCAAGTGAACTTCAGGGCCAAGTGAGGATTCAAACCCTGGTCTCCCAGAGTCCTAGTCTGACACTTTAGCCATTACACCACACTGACTCTGAAAGGAGAATCAAGCCAAGGTGAATAGGTATTAAAACATGCAAATGAGAGTTTTCAACCCACTTTCCCATGCAGTGTCTAGCTGATGGAAGAGTTCAAGAAGGTAGTAAAGTCAGAGAACCTTTTCCATGCAAAACAGATGCTCTACCATTAAACTACAGCCCTTCCCTCAAGTCCTCATTGTTTCTCTCTTCTTATTAGACCCAAGGTATCTTTAAATGGTGTTTCCGTGCGCTGCTCTGGTTCGCCAGAAGCGGCTTAGTCATGCTGGCCACATGACCCGGAAGCTGTACGCCGGCTCCCTTGGCCAATAAAGCAAGATGAGCGCCGCAACCCGAGAGTCGGTCACGACTGGACCTAATGGTCAGGGGTCCCTTTATCTTTACCATCTTTAACATAAATAAGCAATTCTCCCTTCTGTTCAAAATATGTTAACAAACTCCTGGAAGGCACCATAGCTCAATGGCACAGCACCAGCTTTACATGCAGAAGATTCCATATTCAGTCCTTGCCTGGCACTTCCAGGTACAGCTGAACAAGTTCTCTATGTGAGACCCTGAAGAGCTACTGTCAATCTATATATAGGTAACACTGTTAGGGTAACCAGTGGTTGAACTCATAAGGCATCTTTGTATGTTCACAAAATCATTTCAGTGGATTTTCTTGGGGGCATTTGAGTATAAATTCCCCATTCTGGGGCTTTGATCAACAAAATCCAATGTGGACAGAAATTAAGATGCTTTGTAAAGTCTCTAGGAAACTAGTTTGTTCAAACAGCTTGCCTTTCACCTGCAGGATCCTTGTTCTTTTCAAGCCTATAAAGCTGATAGCACTAGATGCAAGGTGAACACCAAGTGGGTCAAAGATCCGGAGTTTTGTGATTAGCACACTGCCATCAGCCTCAAACCTTTGGCATCAGGCAGACTATAAAATATGATGCAACAAAAACAGATTGCAAGGACAATCACAGTTGCATTTTGAAGAATTAATTGGTAGGTGGAGGTTATCATAAACTTGCCATAAAATCCATTTATTTATTAGATTTATATACTGCCCATCATACGATCTTAGAGTGGTTCACAGGATAAAAACATGTAAATAACTAAAACAAAACAGCAAAACAATTACCCCCACTTCCCTACTGTACCCTGAAGGCAAGATTAACATAAGCATACTGAAGCGGAAGCAACATGAAGATCATTTCTTTCAGTAATCTCTCATTATGATGAGAGATCCCCCACTCACTATTCTGAACAACTTAAAAAAAAATGCAAGAGTGCACTGCACTAAGAACACATGTACAGTTTTACATAAATAGGTTACAGGGATTGCCAAATCAGAATTGTACTGTCATCTTAAATTTATGAGGAAGACCTACTTAGGGAACTAAAGTTCTTGTGAGTGTTTTAAGCAAACTGGGTTTTTACTTTTCCACCAAAAAGTGGGAGTATATATATACAATCATTGCTGCAATTATTAAGAAAACCAGAGTAACCAATGCCTTTTCTCTGGCTTCTGGCCCATGTAAACTCTCTGAAGTTTCTCCGCCAGGTATCAAGATCACTACTTCCTCCTGCTCCATGACAGGAAGGTATCGGGATGGGAAGGGGGGGGGCTTGAAAACTGCACGCCCAGGGTAATGCCCCCCCGAAACAGGGCCGGCCACTCTTAGCCCAGGGGTTTCACAGCTGCTTCCCCGTCTCCACCTGCTGCCAATCTCCCGACTTCCGCACACAAAGTTCGCCTAAGTGGCTGAGCTGGCTGTCTCTCTCAGGAGTCTGACAGGCCAAGGGTCCGAAAGCAAGGCAGCCTTTTGTCAGGAGCCCAACCTTGTGCCATTTCCTACCCCCCCCGCCCCCCCAAAAAAGCAAACCCAAAACCGAGAGGCCTAAAGGAAACCTAAGCCTAAATGTTTAAAGGCGTTCAAGGCGGCAAGAGTTTTTCAGGGGCGGCAGAAGGAAGGAAGCACATGGAGAAAACACAGGGCGGGGAGCGGGACACCCACACCGACACCCACATATAGGGGGAGGGCGGTTGGCAGAAACAAATGACGGGGGGGACGGGACCGCAACGGGGTCAAAGCTCCTTTGCCCAGGAAAGAGGAATAGGAGGGGCAGGCCGGCGTTTTGGTCCTGGGGGTCCTCTCAGCAAGCGAGACCCCCCACATTCCCCTCACGGCTCCCGTTCTTCCTCTCCCCACGCGCGCCGCCTCCGCCTCCTTCCTCCTCCTTTCCCGCCCTCAGCGCGAGGCGGCCGCCCGACGGCCCCCGCGCCGCTTACGCCGCCTCTCTCGCGCTCCCCCCGCCCCCGTAACGGTCGCCCGCGGCCGCCTCAGAGCTCTGCAGGGCGGGTGAGGGGTGTGCCGGGGGGTCCCGTCCTCGCGCCGCCCCCTCGCCCCCCACCTCCGCGACCGAACGCCCGGCTGCCGAGCGCCGCTTCTGCCCGCGCGGTTCTCTCCATCGCCGGCGCCGCCTCACGCGCCCAGCCCGAAGCTGCGCCTCCTCTTATCTCGCTCGCTCTCGCCCGTTTTCCCTCTCACCTTTTAAATTTTCCGCCATCTTGCGCTTTTTCCTTTTTTTTCCCCCTTCCAACTCCGCTCCAGCCACTCACTGAGGCCGCCGGAAACTTTTTTCGTCTCTCGCGGGGAGCGCGAAAGGGTCGGAGCGGCGGAGGCGGCGCCAGAGACTCGCAGGCGGCTCCTCGGAGCCATCCGCGCGCGGCCCAATGGCGAGCCCCGCTCAGCTCTGCGGGTCCCGCCCAGCGCCGCCCGCGACCAATGGCCGCTCGCCTCCTCGGCAACCTCAGTCGGCCTCGGAGTTAGTGGCCGCCTTGAGCCCCGTCAGGGAAAAGGCGGCGCGTCGGTAGGGACCGTCACTTGGGAAGACAGGCGGACTGATGCCCGTGTAAGCAAAGGTCACCAGTGTCGAAGCAATGATTCTTCAACATCAACTTCGTTGGACTGGTCATGTTGCCTAATTGTCGCCTTCCAAAGCAACTCCTCTATTCCGAACTTAAAAATGGAAAGTGTAATGCTGGTGGTCAACAAAAGAAGTTTAAAGACTGTCTCAAGCATAGCTGTCAACTTTCAGATTTGAAAATAAGGGATCAGCAGCCTCACCTGTCCCTGAGACAGTCTATGGGATATCTAACAATCCGGGATAGCAGCGGGAAACGGCGCTGGAATAAGGGAATTTCCCGCCAAAAAAGGAAAGGTTGACAGCTATGGTCTCAAGGCAAATCTAAAAAAATGTTGTATAAACACCAACAACTGGGAAACACTGTGAGCGCTCCAATTGGAGAACAGCCTTTACCAAAGGTGTCATGGGCATTGAAGACACTCGAACGCAGGACGCAAGGGAGAAATGTGCTAAGAGGAAGGCAGGCTTGGCAAACCCACACCGTGATCCAGCGGCGTAGCGTGGGTTGTCAGCACCCGGGGCAAGGCAAGTAATTTGCGCCCCCTCCTCACCTCCCTGAACAGAGCACAGCAACACACACCTGCTCATCTAACTAAGGTCTTATTTTATGTAAACATTAAAAAAATGTTTCTGCAACTTCCCAATCGAACTGACTTCTATGGAATTCCTTCATCTTCTCCACCATAGGTAAAATACAGAGGGTAAGCTGTACCTCATTTCTGCCCTTGTCCATCAGCCAGACACAAGGTTTTCTCTGGCTGGAGCAGAGAAAGTGGGAAAGGGTAGCATTATTTATTTCTCAGCAGCTAGCAACTTGCACATTTTAATCCACACTCCCAATACGTATATTTTTTATATATAAATAAATCTGGGTCATATGGTGCCGAGTCCAGGCAATGGCCACGTTCCTAGGTAATACGGCAATGCTCCTATTTACTTATTTAACACACATAACTGGCTTTTTGTTGGAATACTACTGCCTCTTCACAAACGAAAGATGAAGCCGTTTCCTATAGAGAACACTATTCTACCTAAAAAGAGGATTTATAGAAACCATGGTTATTGATCCCTTCGGCAGCTTTAGGTCAGGAGATGTTGGCAGGATCTCGTAGGTACATCACACCAGTCCTTGGCCATTTGGGGTGTGGGAAGAAGCCACAGTTGCTCAACTATCTGTAATGCAATCCCATGCAGGTTTCCTCACATCTAAGTGCCACTGTGTTCAGTGAGTGTTTATGCCTAGTATTGCAACCACAACAGGCTTGCGAAACATTGCAGTTTGATTTCCCAATTCTTTCCCATCTCTTCGGGCATTTCTAAAAATCTGACTTCTCCCATCTTGGTCTCATGATTGCCCAGGGCCTGTATATAAATGCCTGGCAGTGAACCACCCTGCCATTAAACATTTTGCTCTTGAAGTGCTGAGCAGGACCATACTGTCCTCTTTGCCCTAATTTCACAGTGCCTACCTTTATCTGCTCTCTGTTCTGCCCCTACTGGCTGCTATCTGCAATATTGTGTGGCTATCTTTAGTATTTAGTCTGAGAGCTGCACATTCTCCTATCCTGAACTGCATGAGTGTGTTACTTAATGCTCACCAGGGTTTATCTAGATCAAGGGTGGCCAACTCCCAACAGACTGCGATCTACTCACAAAGTTAAAAACTGGCAGTGATCTACCCCCTTTTAGGGAGGGGGAAAGCCACGTTTTTGGGGGGTGCAAGGCAAAGATGTTGAGCTTTTTTTAGGGGAGCCAAACTTGTTGAGCTTCTTTGGGGGGAGCCAGTGATCTACCAGTGATCTACCACAGATGTCCAGTGATCTACCGGTAACTCACGATATACCTGTTGGACGTGCCTGATCTAGATTCTAGAATGGGTACACCATGCCTGCCACCAGATAGACCAAAATGGAAGTCTTGTAGTAAATTAGTCTTCTATAAGATTGAGGCAAGTATCTTCAAAAGATTCTGATATAACGACCTTAAAAGATAATCATGCTTTACAATCTGAAATGCACAACCTATGTCTTCAAAAATAGTGCAGAGGAAAAACCAGTGATGGTAAAAACAAGGGCTACCTTCTGTACATTTGTCACAATATAGTAATATCTTTTGAATGCATTATAAACGTGCAACACCAGATGGCACCAGAGAGCAAAAAGGAATTTTTATGGAATTTTACATAGGCTTGTTGTTGTTATGATTTAATTCCTGACTTATTTATAGCGTTTTTAACCTGTGTCTAGATCCATCCCAGCTCAGAGTCAGGCAACCATTTGGCTTCTTTAACAGGCTTGTTGCTGCAGAAGATACAGTTGCGTCTTCTGCAAAAGATCTGCTTTTCCCTGCTGTGGTATAATTAGGGTATGTTTTTTTAGCCGGAACTCAGTTCCAGTATCTCTCAGGTGGGTGCCATTGCCATTATAAGAGAACAAGAGAGGTGTTCGTGGTGAGTTCTAGCACCTATTTTTCTAGAAAAATAGCACTGGGAATAATAATAATAATAATAATAATGGTATCCAGGAAGGTGCTGCTGTTGCACCCTCAGTAATGTACTAAGATCCAGGATGTCAAGATTCTTGGCTACATGGTGTTCAACAATTATCCCCTCTCCCTGTTCAAATAAGGTTGTGGATTCTACATACTTGGGGGATATCCTGGGTTGTATCCAGTAATCCACAAACAGAACTCCCCTTGCACAGCAGGGCTTTTTCTTCCTTCCCTCCGTGTGCCCCCAAAATCTGTTCCAGATGGCTCTCCAAGTCTCTGGAGCTGATTTTGTGAATGCACAGGAGGCTGCAGGGGAGAAGAAGAGAAAGTCTAGTGGAAAATGAACAGTAGTTACTACCCCAGGGTATACAGAAGTAACTAAGTTTCTGAAATGAAATAAAATTACATTTAAAAAACTTTAATGGAAACCTTTGACTTTACTTAGTTACTCTATTCATAGCTGTTGAGCCTGTAGAAAGAAAAAAGGATCTAAAGAAACAAGAAAGACTGTGGGCCAAACTAGACATAACACAATGTGCCACTTTAAAATATGTTACAGTTTTAAATATATATATATATTATAGGCACATAGGTGGGTGTCAGTTTTAATAGGAACTGCAGCACGGGGAGTAGAAGGAGATTTAACCCTTCTTTCCCTAGTTATAATCCTGACCAAATTTCCTCTTCATGATGCTATTAGCCCTAAAAGAATAAAGCTCACGTTGGCACCAAATTTATAATGTTCATATACTACCAGACAGCATTTCCCCACCCTGTTGCCACCACAGCACAATGTACTACTTTTATGTTTCACTAGCAACCCTCTAAATATGAGAATAATGAATCAGGAATAGAAAAAAAGTGTGTTTGACCTCAGAAGGTGAAAAGTACAGGAGGCTGAGGCTCAGTGCCCCTTCAGACAACCTGTTTAGTGAACATTTATCTGTATTTGCTTGCATAAAGCTTGAGTATATCCTATCATTATTGAGCATTCATCTGGATTCATTTACAGAAAGTTTATACGTCTGCCCATTAGTCATATGTTCATCCCACATGTTTCTATGCATTTCACTATCACTTTCTGAACCACAAAAAGACTGACCCCCCCCCCCAGTGGATTTGTTGGACTATGGTGACAGAGCTGTTTAATCCACTTTAATTATGCAAACTCAAAGTTCTGGTATGTGCTTGAATCCGTGGCCTCCGGAAGGCACCCTCAAAGGAAAGGATCCTGTGTCTGTTCTCCAGGCTGCCCAGTTTCTTCTGCACAATGTCAAAACACCAAAGGTGAAGCTAAGATTTCCTGTGTAGAGCTACTCACTTGAAAAGTCTCTAGTTACTACAATATTAATTCCATTCAAAGGTAAGTGGCATAAGCTATTTTTCTGTGGTCTTCCAGACATTTTTTTGTTTTCGTTTTGTTCTGTCCAACAGGCACATTAAGATCCAAGCCAATTTTCCTTCCCTGGAATAGAACAGAGTTCATGGAACTGGACTTTCCCACCTCCCCTTTCTTTTACAACCTTCTGCGTCCAGTGGGGGACCACTGGGAATGGTGTAAAATATGATGTGGGGCGTTGCAGACCATTTGGCAGAAATCACGCCCCCCCCCTTGTGCGGAGAGAAGAGCAAATTAGGATCCAAGCCACTGAAAATACTTTAGTTTCCAGTATATACCTATAATACCGTAAATAAAAGAATAAGGATTCATTGAAGTCAAATCTGGATTTGCGTCCCTCTATCACACTGCAATCAAAACAACAAAATTTGAAAGTAAATAGGTACAGTATACCTGTCTTAAAGTTTGGAGACTGCATCCCGGCCACCCCTACCCAAAGGTAAAACTAAAGCAAGGGAAAACATTCCTCCGAAAGGCGTGCAAATAATTCAGTCAACTAGGATTTTTATGTGTGTTAACAATACACTGGTTATTTTATAAGACAGAGGTTTTGCTTACATTCCTGTAATGTACATACCTGCACATTGGCCTCAAAGGGGGAACCACTTCTTAAAGACACACAAGATTATACATCGAGGAGAAAGAAAGGAGGATGAAGGGGCTGGATGAAAGATAATATGGCTCTTAGAAAGTTAGAGGAGATTAGAAGTGGTATTGTCAAGACCAAGGGTTTGAAAGAGGGAGGATTACAGCCGAACTTTCTAAGACTGTCAAAGGCTTGCAGGTGCACAGAATGGGAATTATTCTTTAGCCTAAGTGATGCTGGAGAGGAGGAATGGGAAAATAATGACCTGTCACTGCAGGGACTAAAGCAGAGCTGCCCTTGCACCTACTGGATTTCTGCACAGATTGTGAGGGGGACCATAACAGAGTAGCAGTCTGATTAAATGCCCACAGCAATTCAGACAGCAACAGATTGTCAGAAGGATCAGGCTTTGCGTCCTTCTGGACTCAGTCATCCCACTCGTCATCCTCTTCATCATCACCATTGTCTTCATCGTCATCTGTGGGTACAATAGAACAAAGCAACAATGTGAGAGGAGGCTTTCCCGAATAGCACTTCTAAAGTGCACCTGCACCTCTTTTTCCATACAGGAATGAATGGTCATCGCATTCATTCACCCAAACCACCTCCCCATACTTACAAGTTATTCCAGCCTACCCTTCTCCCTTGGAGTTGTATTCAGTGCTAGTCCTACTCAGAGTAGACCCATTTTTAAAAATAATAAATGAGTGGACTAAAGTTAGCAATCTCTATTGATTTCAATGGTTCTCCTCTGAGTAACAGTGGCATTGGACAGAACCCTTTGCATTTACAGTCATACCTCATGTTGCATTCACTTCAGGTTGAGCGTTTTCAGGTTGTGTCCCGCGGCGACCCGGAAGTACCAGAAAGGGTTACTTCCGGGTTTCGCCGCATGCGCGGATGCTCAAAATGACATCACGCACATGCGCAGAAGCGGCGAATTGCGGCACGCGCAGACGCGGGTTGCATTCTGCTCATGTTGCGAACGGATCCCGTTCACAACCAAAGGTACCACTGTACCTGTTTAATACTAGATACAATACCAGTGCAGGAATCAAGATTTCACCCCTTGCAAAATGCCACTGGCTCTGTCTCAGATCTTAGCTTTGTCCTTTCCAGTCAAGCACAAAACTTTAGACAGTTTGTTAAGTTTTTGTTTGTAAGCACGCAGTTCAAAGGATGAGATGTATCAGATGCAACAAAATTCACCTGAGGAATGAATGACCTTGCTCCTCTTCTGCATCACATGCATTAGAGCTCCTACCAGGCCTTCAGAGCTCTGTGCAGGTGATGGCGGTTCCAGCACATCAGGGGTCTAAAAGGTAAAAGGATTGCAGGTGGTGTCATTAGGGCTTCGAATGTTGACGGCCCTTAGAACCCACACGAACCTTTCAACCACACAAAGCTGTCTTTGTTCAGGCTGCTCTTCCTCAAAACAGATACAACTGTCACAATCCAGTGGACAGTGGTAGCAGGCAAATATTTAAGACTAGTTTGCACAAACGCAATTGACCATGTCCGGGCTATACCACTTTAAATTACAGGGGGGCTTATACCACTGAATGTTCTTCCAGAGATAACACTTCCTTCCACATAAAATTCTAAGTAATAGAGAGAAGGGTTCTGGCCTAGTTTTCTCCCTGTCACACTAGTAGGAAATATTTATTTTTAGTTTTATTTGCCTTAAATTTTCTATTGAGATGTTTAAAAGGGTAAAGCAAAGCAAAAACAAAAGCAAAGAGAGAGAGAGAGTATAATGCCATCACAATATTACATATATGTGTACATAAGCATAGAGACAATTAAGGCAAATTGTCAGTAAGTGAAAAATAGGTGCCTAGCAAAATGAAAACACATTGTCTCAGAATTTAGCACAGCAGCACTTCTTAAAAATACATATATTAGTCCATTTCTCTTTTCCCTCCTTTTAGGTGCATAAAAATATCAAAAAGTAGCAAAAAATATAATGTCCAAAAGGAAACATTTGATGATGGCAGTTGGCAACCGTGTTCTACTAGACTAGCAAAGTTAATTGTTTCAAAAGGGCCCTTCTATTTCTGGCCAGGGGCAACCCTAAACTTTTCTAAAGTTTTTTTTCTAAACTTCTAATTTTTTCTAAAGCAGCCGTCTGCTATACTCTCTAATTGTTGTTGTTGTTGTTTAGTCGTTTAGTCGTGTCTGACTCTTCTTGACCCCATGGACCAGAGCACGCCAGGCACTCCTGTCTTCATACTCTCTAATACCACAGGTCAAATATCACTCCATGAAAATCCCTAGTTGCAAGCTATGATGGTCCTTGCTGCTTCCAGCAAATGACCCAGCAATCCTTTGTGTTTCAATTCTAAATCTAAACCTATATATAGGTTTAACAGTGATAACTGCAAGGCAGGTTGAGCCCACTGTTGGAGTTAATTTCCTTAAACATCACCCCACCCAGAATGTTGATGCACAAAGACATTCCCACCACATGTGTACATATGTACCAACAAGTTGGAACCCTCTCTAATATATAGATGTCCCCCCCCTCCCAATTGGGGAGTATTCCATCATGTGATTCCCCACCTGCAGTCTGAAGTGGCAGAGAACTGGAGAACTAGGCCTTAATGTAATGAGAACAGTTAAGTCTGACATCATATTTCTTTCCTCCATTATCACACATTGCCATAACTTTGCTATCCTCCTGCCACATCTGGTTCTTAAGTAATTCTCTAGCCCAGGGGTGGCCAACTCCTAAGAGACTGTGATCTACTCACAGAGTTAAAAACTGGCAGTGATCTACCTCCATTTTGGGGGTGCAGGGCAAAGATGTTGAGGTTTTTTTTGGGAAGGAAAGTCCTGTTTTGGGGGGTTCAGGTCAAAGTTGTTGAGCTTCTACTGGGATCTACTGGTGATCTACCACAGACGTCCAGTGATCTACCAGTGGATCATGAGCTACCTGTTGGACATGCCTGCTCTAGCCAATCCAACCAGGGAAATCATATATGAGAAATCATACTTAACACACTAAGCACGAACCACCCTTTGATGCTCTCCACCGTGTCTTACCTTATTGAGTTGTATTCCTTGGCGTATCTGATCCAGTAATGCACCACGTCCGGTGGAGGCAACAGCAGGTGAGCTAAGCCCTCCAGAGGGAAGAGGAGGAGGGGGACATGGGGAAGAACTTGGGAATGCAGGAGGGGGTGGCGGGGGTGGTGGCGGTGGGGGTGGCGGTGGGGCTGACCCAGCTGGGGGTGGTGGGGGACGAGCTGCTCCCGGCCGAGAGACTGGTGGAGGAGGTCCCCACTGAGGGCTGGGCTGTCCTCGAGAGGGCTGTGGAGGCGAAGGGACAGCTCCCCTGTTTGATACAGGCGGGATGGGTGGTAGAGGACTACTTCGGCTATGTCCAGGGCCAGAACGATTTGGGGGTGGGGGTGGAGGGTGACTTGGACCTGAAATGAGACAAATATCAACACTAAAATCCCAGTGGGCAGCTTTAGTAGAGAACTATCCATGTATTCTAGAACGAGCAAAAATACTTTGATAGATGGCTTATTGTGCTGATCACAATTAGATCAGTAAGAACAATAAGGATTATTCTCTCTCTCTGAATACCAGTTGCTGGGAGGTTACCAGAGCATAGCTCTAGTAGAGCATAGCCTACGGAAGCTAGGTTACCCCTGGCAAATAGTGATATACTGGTAGAAAGCACTCCATGCGACTGTGGCCCTCACATGACAGAAAAAGATCCAGGAGAATCACAAAACTACAGACTTCTTCCTTCAGAGAGACTGCAGCCCCATCAAGAACATGCAGTCATTCAGTCAGAAGAGCCGCCCACTAACAATAGCTCCATCTTGTCTGGATTGAGTTTCCCTTTATTGGCCTTCATTCAGCCCATAATTGCACCCAGGCTATGATTCAGAACATGCACCACCCCACCTGCTGAAGATGAAAAGGAGAGATAGATGTGAAGGTCATCAGCATACCGATGAACACACAGCCCAAAATTCCACCACTCAATGGTGAAAGATAAATGTATATGCATAGACACACCCCTGCATGCCAATGCCAATTGTGGACTACAATCCATGCATCTCATAAGTGGACTCTAAAAGGTAAAGGTAAAGGGACCCCTGACTGTTAGGTCCAGTCGCGGATGATTCTGGGGTTGCGGCGCTCATCTCGCTTTACTGGCTGAGGGAGCCAGCGTACAGCTTCCAGGTCATTTGGCCAGCATGACTAAGCCGCATCTGGCGAACCAGAGCAGCGTATGGAAACGCCGTTTACCTTCCCGCTGGAGTGGTACCTATTTATCTACTTGCACTTTGACGTGCTTTCAAACTGCTAGGTTGGCAGGAGCTGGGACCGAGCAATGGGAGCTCACCCCATCGCGGGGATTCGAACCGCCGACCTTCTGATCGGCAAGCCCTAGGCTCTGTGGTTTAACCCACAGCGCCACCCGCTACTAATCCACAAACATTTAAGCTGTCATAAATCGGTAACCGTTTGAGGTGACACAAGGATCTTTGTTGTTCTTACTGCAACAGACTAACATGGCCACCGCTCCAGAAATTATTACTCAGATCAGTACATCCAAGCTCAAACAAAACGTTCAGCATGGATAGGCCTTCTAATAGTCGGTGTTGTATTAGTTAGAGACCAGGATCTGGTCCAGTCCAGTCCACTGGTCCAGTCTCAGAGGGGCGGCCAATGATACCTGAGGTCGGAGACCCTCCCATTCCAGCAGCTCACCCTGTCTTCTCAGCTCTTCCTTCACAGCCTCCAGCCCCCCTTGGCCTTCAATGAAGTCATAGATAATCTTTGAAGTCTCAACATCGGTCAGTTGAGCCTCACTGATTCCCGCCTGGGAGAAGAATGTCTTCAAATCGGGATCTAAATTATTCACCTGAAATAAAAACATAGACAAATGTGTGTGTGTGTGTGTGAGAGAGAGAGAGAGAGAGAGAGAGAGAGAGAGAGGGAGGGAGAGAATGTGTTGCCATGTCTGCTCAGTGCCCATCTTCTTGAGCCAATGCTCAAGTCACGATGGTCATCGGGTTACAACTGATAGGACCTGGCTTCCAGCATAGAATGAGGTAGCTGGTGCGGTTAAAAGGATTATAAAGTGCTAACCTCTGCCTAACCTACCATCACCTTAAACCTTCTTCATAGTCGAATCCATCTTAAAACTTCAACTATCTTTAAGCATTACAGTGGTACCTCTAGTTATGAACTTAATTCGTTCCAGAAGTCCATTCTTAACCTGAAACTGTTCTTAACTAGAGGCATGCTTTCACTAATGGGGCCTCTTGCTGTCGCTGCGCCAGCGGCACACAATTTCCGTTCTCATCCTGGGGCAAAGTTCTCAACTCGAGGTAACTCTTCCAGATTAGTGGAGTTTGTAACCTGAAGCATTTGTAATCTGAGGAGTTTGTAACTCGAGGTACCACTGTACTTCTGACCACTGGCCCTGTGGGCTAGGGCTGAAGGGAGTTAGAGTCCAGCAACAACTGGAGGGCCCCCCATCCTTCCTGTAGCTGTTTAGGCTGTGCCTTATCACCCAACTCCAGCCAAATGCAGGAAGAAGACTAGCCATACCAGCTGAGAGGCGAGAACAGGCCAGCCAGGTGATATCCCTACAGAAGCTTCTGAATCAAAGCTGTTGAATGAAAAGAGTAACTAGGAGACCACCTGCTCTTCCTAAAGAACAGAATTGCTTCCTCTTGGCTCCAGTCTAAACTTTTTGGCACAGCAACTAGCTCTGACAACACCTTATAATTGGAATATACAAGCAACCCTTGAGAGAAAGGGCCTAATGTTTTCACTCAGGTATGATGTGAATAAGCACGTCATGCATTGCAGGGTCCCTTCCAACGCTACAATTCTATGATTCTATGTATAAACACAGAGTTTGCTGGACTTCAGTAACTCCAAAGTCTCATCTCATACGCATGTGAGACCTCAGGATAATTTCCCCCCACTGAGACTCTCTCTTTCAAGTCTATTGATGAATCACCATGGCTACGTACGTCAAATCCACTGTTGGGATCCCATCCAATGTGCTGGATATGCCTGGAAAGGAATCACAGAAGACATTCAATGAGTGAAGGCCTTGCATCGCAATGCGTCCACATGACGGCTTCCAGACCTCTTCGACTTCCCCCCTCCTCCTTCCATCTGCAGCATATTGTGACTTGCTTGCATCCTAGTTATGTTTCCACCATATTTCCATATGAGGCAGCACCTGCGCATGTGCAAAGCACAGCATGGCAGTCCTCTGCTGTGGGTTAGGGTTACACACACTATGCTACAGAAGTAGTTCTCAAGCTGTGTTTCATAGAAAATTTCCATATGCTAGTAAAGAAACAAAAGTTTCAAGGGCAAAACAAAGAAAGGCTGAGATGAAGACTTCAGAAAAAGAAACTGAAGTCAAGGAATCCTTCCTGTTATGTTGTTTGAAATTTGAAGATTTCCTACTTTCCCCAGATCTCAGTCTTTGAGAGGTCTGCATAACTTCCACAAGCACTCACTTGAACCCACTTGGAGCACCAATGTCAGCCTTTGAAATCTTTTTCTTCCCCTTCTTTTTCTCCACTGCAGTAGGAACAGGAAGTCCACGGTAGCGGGAAAATGTGATGTCTGGATTCTGGATGTCAACAGTTGCCAGAGGCAGAGATGCTGGAGGAGAGTTTGGCTGCATGCCACGTCCTTTGGGGAACATAAGATGGGGTGAGGAAGCGAACACCTATCAATCAGACCTCCCTCTATAAGACTCCCTGTGTTGCCCGCCATCTCAGACACTGTTTTCCTTTCTATGTTTCATCTCTTTATTCTCTAGCATTGTTTGACTGTATGTGTGTATTTGTTTATTTTACCTAAATCACTGGGAACTTTTTCAGCTAAAGATCTGGATAAATATTGCCCTGCTGTGAGTGCTGAAGACTGCTCCCTGCAAGACCCTTTCCACCTGGCCTAGGGGACAGGGCCCAGACTCACCCTGCTCAGCGTAAGAGACTCCTGGGAGGCCGCGGGACATTGCCCTGCTGTGAGCGCTGGAGCCCAAACTCACGGGAACAAAGTCTGGGGTTGGGGCAACTATTGAAATTGCTTTTAAATGCTGTTAAATGTTTTAAAATTGTTTTTAATCTATGGCGTTTTAAATTTTGGTTCTTGTTGGGTCTGTTTGTTTTTTGCTCTGTTGGGGGTGGGATAAATGTTTAGTTGGGTCTGGGGATTAGTTTAATTTTAGTATACAGTCATACCTCGGGATGAATACACTTCAGCTTAAATATTTTTGGGTTGTGCTCCACGGCGACCCGGAAGTAACAGAGCGTGTTACTTCTGGGTTTCACCGCTTGCACATGCGCAGACGCTCAAAATAACGTCATGCGCGGAAGTGGTGAAACGCGACCCATGCACGCGCAGATGCGCAGTTGCGTCTTACGTTCGCTTCAGGATGCGAACGGGGCTCTGGAACGGATCCCGTTCGCATCCAGAGGTACCACTGTAACTGCAATTTTTTTATTATTAGTTTCTACTGTTTTATTGGTTTATTATATAGTTTGTATAACACATCCCAGGACTACCTGGGAGTGGGTCCCAGTCAACAGAATGGCTGTGGCAGGTTCCAAGGGCACTGGGACACCTGATCTCAGTGATCACGGGTAAGAGAAGGAGTTACGCTAGGACCAGATCATGTCATTACCGAGGAGGCAGGCTTAGTCGTTGTTGGAAGACTATCTCTGCCTCTGGGTTTGGTCTTGAACAGAAGGATACTGGAATCAACAAGGGAGACCCACGTGACCTTAAGGTGCTGCTGTGCAATGCCAGGTCAATGATTCACAAGACCTCTGTCATCCACAACTTGATTGTGGATGGAGGACTTGACCTGGCATGTGTAGCAAAGACTCGGTTGGATGAAGCAGATGGGCCTGTTCTTGGCTCTGCTTGTCCACCAGGTTTCTCTTAAGCACAGCAACCCAAGTCATATTGGGGGGGGGGAGTTGCAGTGATTTTTAGGAAGTCATTAGTTTGCACCAGACATCCTTTTTGGAAGACCCAGTTATCTGAGTGCAGATTTGGAAAGAGGTAGACTCCACTACGGCAGCAGGGCTGGGGCAGAAGAGTGCTAGAGTCCTGTCTAGTCGAGTTGCATGGGATCAATTCCAATCTGTTACCCCCAAGGATGTGGACAGGCTGCTTGGATGAGTGAAACTGACCACCTGTCTCCTTGATCCTTGCCCATCCTGGCTCATAAAAGTGAGCCAGGAAGGGCTGGGCGATGGGCTTTGTGGGGTGGTGAATGCTTCCCTCTGTGGCAGAGCCTTCCCAGACGCACTGAAAGAGGTGGTTATTAAACCACTTCTTAAAAAACCATCTTTGGACCTGGCCAATATGTCCAACTGTCGCCCAGTATCAAATCTTCCATTCTTGGGCAAGGTGGTTGAGCAGGTGGTCACTGAACAACTCCAGGCACGCCTGGAGGATGCAGACCATTTGGATCTCTTCCAGTTGGGATTCAGGCCTCACCATGGGACTGAAACTGCCTTGGTTACGCTGAAGGCAACCCTGTATCGGGAAATTTTTAATGTCTAAAGTTTTACAGTTTTTCATGTGCTGTAAGCCACCCAGAGTGGCTAGGGAAACTCAGCCAGATGGGTGGGGTATAAATATTATTATTATTATTATTATTATTATTATTATTATTATTATACTTTAAACAAACAAATAGATATGGTGGGCTGCCCCTATTTTGCTTGTGCAAAAGCACACATCTTCCCCTTTAAAGAAAACTGTGGTGAGGGGAGCATACAAAGGGTCTGACCAAGAGCCTCCTCTCCTCCCCTGACCAACATAATGACAGTATATGGAGCTCCTGGTACTGGAATAAGCAGCCAAAGAAGAAAATTCTACCTTATTTTATCTTGGTCACCTAGAAAAGTATAGTGGGTGGGCTCCCATAAGCCCAAGGATGTGATGGAGAGATGTACTCTTCAGCAAGTGGTACAGCACCATGGACAGTGGTACAGTAAGGATGCCCTGCTTTGGCAATGATAGGTGACCTTTTAGTTTTAAATCCAAAGCACTACTGCCACCTGCAACCCTACAACTGGTTAATAATAATAATAATACCCATAATAGTTTTATTATTTATACCCCGCCCATCCGGCTGGGTTTCCCCAGCTACTCTGGGCAGCTTACAGTATATATAAAAAATTGTAAAACATCAGACATTAAAAAAATTCCCGATACAGGGCTGCCTTCAGATGTCTTCTAAAAGTCAGATAGTTGTTTATTTCCTTGACATTTGATGGTTGCAGAGAGTAGTGAAACTTCACAGTGGCCCAGCACAGGATGTTGCCTCTATTATAAAATATCATTTTAGTGATCTTGTATATCTTTTGGAATTTTTTTAAAAGGAGTGAAATTATTTGTTATGGCTCTTGTACCGAGAGCTCTTTTGCCGTGGTTCATTCTGGATGCTTCTCTTACTGAAAGTTTCTGATTTTATTGCTGTATTCTCTGTTTTCATGCTGCATTTGTTAGCTGACCTGCAAACTTGTAGTTCTGGATATGGGTACACATTAAATAAATGAACAAATAGCACGCAAACAGAGTTTCTGCAAGCTGCTTACCATTTGAGTCAATCCCAGAAGATGGCGGCTGGGGGAGAGCTGGTCTTCTGTCTAACAGATGCAAAAAGAGTAGTGATCAGGATGTAAAGAGGCAGCAATTTCCACCCTGTCCTGTGTTTGTCACAATCAACACTGTTTCTATTCTGCTGCAGTTCAGCTTGTGATAGAGTCTACATTGTTGGCCTTGCTATCGGCTATGGACAAAACTGATGGAATTATATAATTACCTGATTATTTCAATGAAAAGGAAACATCAAAACAATGCAGAAAATACTGTAATTATTTAGGCAGCATTTGAAGATTTCCTTTCCTCACCTCAGACAAGCATGTGGATTTTGGCAATTTTCACTCCCGCTTGTGCTTCCAATGGATTTCTCTGACATCCCTAGTGATAGCTCACCATCAGCAGCTCCAGGAGAATTCCCTGTGGGAGCCGCTGAGAACTTCTTGAAGACAGCACTGCTATCCACAGGCTCTAAAGCAGGATTGCTATATGTCCAGAATGCCATAGGTGGGATATGGCAGTCAGTAACCATGTCCAGGCAGAAATGCAAATATCTAGATGCAAAACTTTAAAAAGCTTTTCTGTCCGGATTTTCACTTTTTGAAATATGGCAATGCAACTCTAAAGCAACTGGGGTGAGCCCTCGACCAGCACAGTTTACTGACAAATTATGATTATCTATCTCTATCTATCTATCTATCTATCTATCTATCTATCTATCTATCATCTATCTATCTATCATCTATCTATAATGTTTTAAACATATATGTTCCAACAATCATTTAACATAACTTCTTATCTTATACAGTATTTTAGATTTCCATCAACAACCTCTAAAGATTTTCCGTTCTTTATCACTTGTTCTGCATTTCTTAATTTCTCTATTACTTTTAATTGTCCTTAACTAATAATTCTTTTCAAAGTCTTCCTTGCAATATTTCACAAAGTCCTCCTTACAGAACTTCTTGCAGTCCTACTAGCATAATCTGTCTATCACAATTGCTTTTCAAATAATTCAAATAATTACTCCAGTCCTCTAAGAATCTCTGATCCCGCAGGTTTCGAATCCTTCCTGACAAATTATGATTATCAAGGGCTTTCCCCCTGCACTTAATAGCTCAGCTCAGGTGAGTAACTTGTGGCCCCCAGTCTTATTTTAAAAGCTCCCTGTAAGTGTTAAGTGAGGCTTCTGGTAAGAGCAATATACCCCTCCCCTGGCAAACCTACAGGGCATGGAAAAATAGGGGGAAGAGAGAAAAGGAGGTATGATAGAGAGAGAGAAAAGTGTGTGGTAGAAAGAGATAAAGAATGAGAAAGGGGTGGGCATGTCTGCTTCTGGCTCTGGTTTTGGACCCAACCCACAGCTGGCATGCGCCCACTGACAGATTATTCTGAAAGGAATGTAATCCTTGGCAGAAAAAACACCATTGCCCCTTATAATGGTATGGGGTTGCTCGTGCGTAAGTTGCCGCCTCTCCTGGCTATGTTGCCTTGTTAAACCTTTCTGTCTGGACAGCCCTTCAATTCGTGGCTGCCTCAGTCGCTAGCAGAATCCGTCAGTGGGTGTTTCTTAAATCTTTTCCAACATAAAAGTTGCTTGACACCCAGTCTCCTCCTACTCTCTCTGCGCGGAAGTGTTCTGCGCAGGGTGGGCGTGGATAGCGGAGGACCCGTGCTCTCCCCGCTGGTGTCCGGGAAGAGTCTTGGAGCCCTCTCGCCGATTCCCCCATCAACCCCTCTCTTTCCCTGGTGTTGCGCTGATTAGCTTCCCCCTCTGCGGAGCTGCCTCTCTCCCTGCTGGGCCCTTCTCCAGCATCATTTGAGAGCCTTCCCTCCGCCTCGAGCTCCGATGTCAGTTCCCTGACACCCCTGCTTTGACCAGACACAAAAGAGTATAGGGATATGTGGGCTGCACAGATACATACCTTCATTGACTGGAGGTGGAGGTGGCAGCTGTCTATCTATAAAACAGGAAGAGATTTATGAAGAGGAGACAAGCGTTTCTGCCATGCTTCAGGGGTACCTGGAAGAATCTGGCCCCTCTTAGATGGAGTCTTGGTCAGCAGAGGGGTTCATTGTGCTGTAGGAACCACTCACTCATATCAGTATATATATACACAGTGGTACGATGCGGGAGGCGCTGTGGGTTAAACCACAGAGCCTAGGACTTGCCGATCAGAAGGTCGGCGGTTCGAATCCCCGCAACGGAGTGAGCTCCCATTGCTCAGTCCCTGCTCCTGCCAACCTAGCAGTCCAAAAGCACATCAAAGTACAAGTAGATAAATAGGTACCGCTCCGGCGGGAAGGTAAATGGTGTTTCTGTGCGCTGCTCTGGTTCGCCAGAAGCGGCTTAGTCATGCTTGCCACATGACCCGGAAGCTGTACACCGGCTCCCTCGGCCAGTAAAGCGAGATGAGTGCCGCAACCCCAGAGTTGGCCACAATTGGACCTAATGGTCAGGGGTCCCTTTACCTTTACCTCGGTTTAAAAACAGTCCGGTTTAAGAACAATTTGGCTTACAAACTCTGCAAAACCAGAAATAGTGTCCTGGTTTGAGAACTTTACCTTGGTCTAAGAACAGAATCTGAACAGTGGAAGGGCACCGGTGGCGGGAGGCCTCATTAGGGAAAGCGCGCCTCGGTTTAAGAATGGTTTCAGTTTCAGAATGAACTTCCGGAACAGATTAAGTTTGTAAACTGAGGTACCACTGTATATATATAGAGAGAGAGTTGCTCACTCTTCAGCTCCACATGGGTGGAATTTGGTACTTTGTGAAAATGTTGAATTATTGAGAAATTAATTGAGTTTCTATTCCTAGCCCTCATGGTTGGGGCAACAAGTTTGCATTCCATGTCTAGACTAGAGTTCAGGGGACGAAATGCTTAAACGCTGTGTGCCAACATGTCTCTTATTCACGTCCCCCACCTGTTTAGCTCAGTCGTACACCAGTCTGAAGAAGAGTTTGGATTTGATATTCAGCTTTATCACTACCCGAAGGAGTCTCAAAGCGGCTAACATTCTCCTTTCCCTTCCTCCCGCACAACAAACACTCTGTGAGGTGAGTGGGGCTGAGAGACTTCAGAGAAGTGTGACTAGCCCAAGGTCATCCAGCAGCTGCAGGTGGAGGAGTGGGGAAGCGAACCTGGTTCACCAGATTACGAGACTACCGCTCTTAACCACTACACCACACTGGCTCTCAATGCATTCTCTCTTCTTCGCCCATGACCCCGCAGCTCCTGCCAACAAATCCCAAATCCTATAAAAAGTTGGCATCCCTCTTGGTATATACACACTGACACAACTTTGTTAACATATTCAGAAACATTTATCTGAATGTTTATTGTTGTTTTACATGTAATTTTACGGGGGATGAGGTGGCAATTTAGCATGGGAAAATGGCTGGCAGGGAAAGGGTTAAGACACCACTTTTTTTGCTCAAAGAAGCGCCCTTCCCCACACTGCTTTGCATCAGAAAAAGCAGCCACTTTTTATCCATTTGTTTTAAGTTATGATTTGTCCCTCAGTTGCAAACCCTGCAGACATATTTTCTTACACCCGCCATTTTGAAAGAGGCATGACACCTACCCATTCTCTGGTTCCTCTTCTGAATCTTCTCTTCCACCATTTGTTGAAAATTGTATGCCTCATTCTCATCGGCAAAGTTGAGCCCCACGTTGCACTCCTGAAAGCAATCCCAAGTCAAAACCTCTGGGGTATGGGACCACGGCCGTTCCCATGGGAACAACCCTATATGACTCCAGCTCCTTTAACAAAACTGTCACACAGCTCAATGCACATCCGAAAAAGGGAGCTGGAGTTTCCCCAAGTTTACATTTATTTATCTATTCAAATATAATTGAATAACTTTTACATTTTGAAGGCTTAGTTAAAAAACAACAACAATAGATGTACATTTGAAATTATATTGTGACTTTAACAACAGAGTGGAAAATGCTTTCATCTCCACATGCTAACTTTTCTTGCATACAACACAGTAGAATGTGTGACTAAAAATGCTTGCTTTATTTTTTCTGATGTGCTTGTGCTTCTTCTCCTTTCCCTCCAGCAGAGTCACAGGACATTTTAGGAATCCTACACACAGTGCTTTTTTACTGGGGGTACGCATACCCCTAATCATTTTGTGAATCTTTGTACTTTTGTCCATTTACTGTATTTATTTCCCCTGATTTGAACTATAAAATGGTGGTTTTCTTGAGTCAAAATGAGAGTACCCCTAAACATTTTTGAATAAAAAAAGCACTGCCTACACATATATGCACATATTCACATACCCACATTTTCAACAATCTAAAGAGCTCTCACATGGAAGAGGCTTGCTTTCTCCTGCTCTGGAGGTTAGGACCTGAGTCAATGGCATCAAATTACAATAAAGGAGACTCTGACTAAATATCAGGAAGAACTTTCTGACAGTAAAAGCTGTTGGATGGTGGAACAGACTCACACCAGAAGATGGTGGTCTCTCCTTTCTTGGAGATTGGATGGTCACCTGTCATATATGATCTAGTTGAGATTCCTGCATTGCAGGGGGTTGGATTGGATGACCCTCAGGGTCCCTTCCAATGCTACAATTCTATGAGTCAATACTCACATCTCCTGAAAAGGTGTGGAAATAAGAGGTGGGAGTCAAGTAGACCAGCTGGCTGCACAATTCCTGCTCCCAGGTCATCTTCCTATCCTGAAACAAAGGAGCAGAGAAGGAACAGAGAAAGCAATTCCCCTTAATATGATGCATTTCTGTACATTATTTCCACCAATATATGCATTTTTATGCCTCCTTGACCCCAGTATGTGCATTTTTGTATACATTACCGGGCTGGAGAACTGCGTTGACAAATTCAAATAAGTGTGAATTTGGAAGGCTAGCTATAGTTTGTTTGGAATCTTGTTCCAGAAGCTGTGAATTAGGTACAGTAGGTTGACCTTTAAATAAAAACTGAATCAAATGTGTCCCCTGGTCTTCTTTCCCTCTTGTGCCCGTGCCATTCAGACCTGGGCTTGTGGCTAAACCTTCTCTCCTCACTAGCATTTGTTGTGAGGTTAGGCCCTGCCCCCGCTTGGAGATAAATTAAGACACATGGACACAAGTATTTTAGGTTAATGGGTTAGAAAAGGCCATAACTTTATTGGTTACAGGATGTGAGTGGTATTGGCTTAAGCATTGGATCAAACAGGCTATACTTGACTCCTGCCCATTCTGCAAGGAGTCACACAAGGGTTAACAACCTGTAGGGGGAGCTTGTTGACTAGAGGGTCGTGCCATGGCCCTAGCCACCACCTGGGCATCGGACAGGAACCATGATCGCCAGATTCCTTTAACAGAATACCCTTCAAGGGTAAGTGATGGCCACAACCTCCCCTCCGACACACAACACATTTTCCAATGCCTAACGAAGTTGTGACGATTTGCTACGAGGTAGGCGAAGAACTAAGTGGTTGGTGCCAATCTCCCAAGAGGAAAAAAATTCCTTCCCAAAATACAGACGTGCCTTCACACTGGCCAGATTGGATGTGATTCCCTCTGCCATACTTGAGGGCAGATACCAAAAGATTCCAACTGAGAAACAACTCTGCCCCTGCGGAGATGGCAATCTGGAAACAGTTGCTCATGTTCTCCTGTCCTGTCCCCTTTATAAAGATCTGAGGAATAAGATCATCACCCCACTTTTACTTACCATCCCAGGCCGCCCATCTGAGGCCACATTGTTCTTTCTTTTATCAGATCAAAACGATCAGACAACAGCAAAGGTTGCTAGGTTTATCGAGGGTGCAATGAGATTAAGGGCCACTATCTGAACGATAATCTTGGTCATCTGATTGCCGTTTTTACCCATTGTTGTCTTTTTAATTGTATATGTTGCTTGTTTTATGTTGCTATGGCCGTTGGCTAATGCAAATAAAGTTTATCTATCATCTATCTATCTATCTATCTATCAATCTATCTATCTATCTATCTATCCTACCAGACCCCTTGGACAACCAAGGCGACCAACCAAAGTCCATAGCAAGGTCAAGAAATGAAGCAAAAACCTAGGAAGCCAGGAACAAGAAGGGAGAGTCCGTGTGCCCGCAGTCATTCAAATACGGCTAAACCATGCCCCCACCCAGCCATATTGGCTGGCTGGTGGGCATGATGCGGGCACAGGACTCAGTGACACAGGGGGCTTGGTTACGCCCCCTGCGAATGCGGGCAGCGGTTCCCGCTCACAACACCTCCCCTCCAGGAAGAGGAGAGGCTCTGTGGACTTGACATCATTTTATTCTCATGAATGAGCTCCAGGTGCTCACACCTGGAAGGGTGATAGGATGAAGGGCAAGGTCACAATGGAGCCAGGGAATTGGTACCTTCAAATCATAGAAGCGCATGAAATAGGAACGTCTGGGGTTATCCTTCACGAAGCACAGGACCCCGCAGCCTTGCTTGGACCAGCTTCTGCTGCCTTGAGGCAAGGCCAGGAGGAGTTGGGCCACAGTTGTGACCATGGTCTAGCGGGAAAGAGCAAACGCATGTTAATGATCTACCTGTGCCAAGGATGCCATGCCCAGGCACTGTAAGAGTCTCACGCCTCCTGCAATTTCCTACAAACCACACCAAATCCCTAACCCAAAGATGGAGAACCATAGACCAGGGGGTAAAATCAGGAGCAGATTTAGGGCACTGTGAGCGGTGCAGTTACAGGGCTTTGAGAAGGACTGGGAGAAGGAGACAACAAACTGTCATTCCAGGAACTTATTAAAATTAACTTCTCCCAGGATCCAAGTCGTGTTTTGTGGAAGTATTATATTTTGGAATCAAGGAGGCCAGGACCCCTGTTTCAATATAAGGGCAGGTCTCAACTGGATTCAAACCACGGAGGAGCCATGAAATGGGGGCCTGTGAACAGAGGCAGAGCCAGGATTTTTTGGGGGGGGAGGCAAACATTGTTGAGCTTTTTTTTGTGAGATCATGAGTAGAAATCCCCCCCAAAAAGAGGATGTTACTAGGGGGCAGGCTTGTGGGGGGCAGGGCAGGACCTCAGTGAATTGAATATTTTTAATGCTTTTCAAATATTTTTTTAGGATTCAGGGGGAGACAGCTGCCCCCACCTGCCCACGCCCAGGCCTGTGAAACTTTCCTTGGGACTCCACTTCCCATCAGCCTCATCCAGGGACGTACCTTGAAGGTTGTTCCCTGCCAAGGGTGCAGGCCAAAGGAGGAGCAAAAATCACACCTCTCCCCCCCGCCCAGCTTGGAGTGGCTAGGAGGAGCTTGTTGTATGATGCATATCTCAAATTAAGTGATTTTTATCTTGTCACTACAGGCCATGAAATATACTCGGAGTCAAGAGTGGATTTCATGCTCTTCATTCAGCTTATAATGGTGAGGACGAATGGAAGTTCCCCCAGAGTGTCTGCTTTATATACATTATTTACACAATGGGCTTCACGTGATTGGCTAATTCCGGGATTCTCTTGTAAGCCAATCAGGTCGCGGATTCACTTCCACCTGGAGCTGGATTGGGTGGCTCCTGTGGACCAATCAGACTGCTGCATTCTGAATCCTATTGTTCTAGGACCAATCAGACTGCTGCCTTTTGGATCCTGTTCAACTCAGTACAGAACAGGCCACATATCTGTTTGTGGATAAGGATATTCCCCTTCATATTTTGGTCCAGTATTTTTGAACCAGGTGAAAGGGTCTATTCTGAAGGCGGGTTTGACTGCACGATGGGGCTGTCTGGATGTCATCACTGCCCAAACCACCACACTGGGCCTCTTGAGGAAGTGGTTTTCTTCCCCCATTTCCTGCAGACAAGGCAGCCTACAAACTACGACCTGCAGCATTCTCACTTTACAAATCAAGCGATTGCTTCATAGCAATACCTCCAGTCTCTTCTACACGGAAGGTGAGAGAGATTCAAGATGCCGTGAGAAATCAGGTTTTCGTTGAGCTTCCCAAGCCTAGAGCATTGCCATCTGCTGGTTTCAAACCACCCCGACCGGGGCATCTTCTTATTTCCAAAACAATGCTAGTCAGTTACCAATTTAAGTCTGCATCAAGAGGCAGGAAGTTCCGAAGTGTAGGTGCTGCCACACTAAAATATTGATTTCTTACAAATATGGAATGAGTATTACATGGCACCTGTAACAGAACTGGTTCCAGAGACTGAAACTCTGAAGTGGGCATTTGTGGGATGATGGGGTCTCCCCCCCCCCAGAGGTACTACCCCTCCCCTACCCCACCCCCCACTTCCTGACTACTCTCTTACTGTTTGTCATCATTTTCTAGCATTTTCTCATTTATCCTCAAGCCAGTGCAGAAAGGGAAGTCAAGCTGAGAGGGACTGGCCCCAGGCCGCCTGCTCCGAACCAAACCCAGGGGTCCTCTGCATTGTACCACTTGAATCCCCCCCCCCCCAATGTGGCCGTTAAATCCCAGCCCACAACCACCTGCCGTCCTTGTGGCAGCCTCCTCCCTCCCCTCGACTCTCGGGAAGTTCTGGCTTATGCTTCCAAGGCCCTTCCGCCCCTGTGAAATGACAACAGAATTACCGTGCACTTTCTGCCCAACAGTTCAAAGACCTGCTGGTTCTCATGGTCCTCAAGGAGGGAGGAGGGCACGTTCTCCTGCTGCGTCCGGGCTGCTGGCTTGGACCTCCGGCTCATCCTGGCCCTGTCAAGATGCCTCGGGGCTCTGTGTGCTCCGATCTCACCCAAACTTCCGCGTTGCGAGGGCTTTTCAACAGGAAGCTCAGAAACCACCGGGTCACACGCATGCACACACACTGAGCTGGGTTCCCCATCTGGCTGACAAGGCCCAGACGCAGGGCCAGTCAGAGGAGGGCCCCGGAAGCCCAGATACGTGGGCAAAATGTGACAAAACGATTTCACCCGAGAGCTGCGCATTAGTGCATCGGCCCAGCAAAAGACTAGAGAAGCATTTACTCAATGATAATTTAAAAAATCAAATGATTTCCTTCTCTCTCTTTTTCGGTGCCTTGTTTTCCTGTTCCCTTCTTTATTATCATTATGGCTAGGGCAAGTCAAGTAACCTTTATTGGCATCACATAAGAACATTCAGAATAGATAGGCCAGTGCGATCTTGATGCCACTCCAACGGCACAGTCACCCGCCAAAGGGCAGAAGAGGCGAGCAATCCGCCTCATCTCTGAGGGTTTCCAACAAGGGCAGGATCCTGTAGCATACTTCGGCAACAAAAAATCAAATAGAGGAACTTAGCCACTGTCTTGGTGAGCTCCTGGTCTCTCCCCTGTAATAAGAAGCGCATAACCTGTCTCTGGTTTCCATGTTGGAATACATAGATGGTCTAGAAATTGTTGGCAGAGATCATCATACATTTTTTATGGCTAGGGCCCTCAAGAGCTGGAGGTGGCCTGGGTCTCCCTGAACCTCTTGAGAGGGCCTGCCCAAAGCTACCCAGCAAGATTGAGGCACAAATAAAGAAGCCAAGCCCAGTCTCAAATCTTCCATTCTTGGGCACGGTGATTGAGTGGGTGGTTGCTGAACAACTCCAAGCACACGCCTGGAGGATGCGGACCATTTGGATCCCTTCCATTCGGGATTCAGGCCTCACCATGGGACTGAAACTGCCTTGGTCACACTGGTTGATGATCTCCGGCGGGCTAGGCACAAAGGTGAGAGTTGTCTCCTAGTTCTGCTGGATCTCTCAGCGGCCTTTGACACCATCAACCATAACATCCTTCTGGACAGTCTAGAGGGGCTGGGAGCTGGAGGCACTGTTATACGGTGGTTCCGCTCCTTCCTCCTGGGCCGTGTTCAGAAAGTGGTGGTGGGGGATGAGTGTTCAGACCCCTGGGCTCTCACTTGTGGGGTACCTCAGGGTTCTGTCCTATCCCCCATGCTTTTCAACATCTACATGCAGCCGCTGGGAGAGATCACCAGGGGGTTTGGGTTGGGTGTTCATCAGTATGCAAATGATACCCAGCTCTACCTCTCTTTTAAATCAGAACCAATGAAGGCGGTGAAGGTCCTGTGTGAGTGCCTGGAGGCGGTTGGAGGATGGATAGCGACTAACAGATTGAGATTGAATCCTGACAAGACAGAAGTACTGTTTTGGGGGGACAGGGGGTGGGTGGGTGTGGGGGACTCTCTGGTCCTGAATGGGGTAACTGTGCCCCTGAAGGACCAGGTGTGCAGCCTGGTAGTCATTTTGGACTCCCAGCTATCCATGCAGGCGCAGGTAAATTCTGTGTCCAGGGCAGCTACCAGCTCCATCTGGTACGCAGGCTGAGACCCTACCTGCCCGCAGACTGTCTTGCCAGAGTGGTGCATGCTCTAGTTATCTCCCGCTTAGACTACTGCCATGTGCTTTACGTAGGACTTTGAAGGTGACCCAAAAACTGCAATTAATCCAGAATGCGGCAGCTAAACTTGTGACTGGGAGTGGCCGCTGGGACCATATAACACCGGTCCTTATAGATCTGCATTGCCTCCCAGTACATTTCCGAGCACAATTCAAAGTGTTGGTGCTGACCTTTAAAGCCCTAAACGTCTTTGGCCCAGTATACCTGAAGGAGCATCTCCCCCTCCCCCCCCGGCCATCATTCAGCCCAGACACTGAGATCTAGCGCCGAGGGCCTTCTGGCAGTTCCCTCATTATGAGAAGTGAGGTTACAGGGTGTCCGCCCTGTGGAATGCCCTCCCATCAGATGTCAAGGAAATAAGCAGCTATCCTATTTTTAAGACATCTGAAGGCAGCCGTTTAGGGAAGTTTTTAATATTTAATGCTGTATTGTTTTTAACACTCGATTGGGAGCCGCCCAGAGTGGCTGGGGAAACTCAGCCGGATGGGCGGGGTATAAATAATAAATAATAATAATAATAATTGGTAAAGATGAAGGCTGTGACCCAGACTGTGTTCATTTACAGCACACACACACACCCATTCGGACAAACCTTTAGGAGTGGGAACAGAGGCACTCACACCTGACCTTCATCCAGGCAACTGAGAAGCATGATCTAGAATTCAACACCACATCTGCAGCCAGGGAGAAACACTCAAGGATCATATGAACCCGGGCTTATCAAGGATGTGGCCTGGGAAGAGTCTCAAGGGGCACTTTTGACCCCTGAGCCCCTGAGATGCTCCACCTCTACACCGTTCTATTTAGATCGCTGGTCTTAACCTCTGAAACCCTCATTGGTTGAGCTACTTATGTGCCCACCTGCATTTGTACCTGTACCATGCTGTCCTCTTCGGATGGCCATCCCCTTAGATCCATGAGCTGGGTGACCATGGGGGGGTCTTCTCCATGGTAGCTGCACAGACTTAGAACTCCTTCTCAGCAGAACTGTGGCCGAGGGCTACACATCAGGGTCAGCAGGCCTTAAAAGACTTGTTTCGGATGGCCTTCCCCCAAGCCATTTTTGTTCCTTTTGCTAAATAGAGGCTGGGTAGGTCTTATTCCATAAGTTTTCTGTAATGGTGGGTGTACACACTAATAATAATAATAATAATTGCAGTTTTGACTGAGGTAAACTACTTTGGATGGGTGTTTGCCTAGAGAAGCAGTGCAGAAATATTTAAGAATAAAATAAATAAAACAAATTCCCTGATATTAAAATAGGAAAGATGGCACAAAAACAATGTACTCTTTCCTCCTGCCTCCTTTGTTGATTCACAATGGATGTATGAGCGAATATGATTGTTTGCATGTATAAATTACATGTGCACACATGTACAGAAGTCTGAAAAACTATTTTGGAAGGTCGTATACCTAAAAGGCAGTATGTAAACATTAAAAATAAAATAAAAAAACACATACGTAAAAGCATTCAGACTGCCTCAATGGAAAGTCAGTCATTCTTTATTGAATTCCAAAATTATACAAATACTGTGTCCTTACATCCATTTCACATTTTGAATTTGTGTTCCCTCCTCCCTTAAATCCAAATCCCTCCCCTACCCCCAAGCAGAAACAGAGCCCTTGAGTCTACGTAAAAAACTTCCAGAGATTTTCAGACACGGGGAGAAGGGAAGGACAGAAAGTTAAGAGGTCACCTGGACGCGAGTGGGGAAGGTGCGTTGGTAGTGAGATATACGTATGAAGCTGGGAGAAAAATAAAGGTGGGGATCTGAACAGGTAAAGTGTGAGAGAGAGGCCTATCCCATCAATGGTACAAATGGATCCTCCATCCGGGTGATTGGCTCAGTACAGGTGGATGCTCTCAGCCAGGTGCCCTATCTCGCATTCTCCTTGCTTCTGGTCCCAGTCTAACTAGACCTGGAAGAAGGCAGCAACTACTATCTAGGCCAGAGGTTTTCAACCTTCTTGTGTCCGCGGCTCCCTTGACCAACTACAGTGGTACCTCAGATTAAGAACTTAATTCGTTCTGCAGGTGTTCTTAACCTGAAACTGTTCTTAACCTGAGGTACCACTTTAGCTAATGGGGCCTCCCACTGTCGCCACACTGCAATTTCTGTTCTCATCCTGAAGCAAAGTTCTTAACCCGAGGTACTATTTCTGGGTTAGCGGAGTCTGTAACCTGAAGCATCTGTAACCCAAGGTACCACTGTACGTTCTTTCTGTGGCACCCCTGTGGGGCTCAGGAGCCCAGTTCTGTCACCCTTTCCCTGCAGAGCTGGCAGCCTCTCACCCTTTTTCAAATACCCTCCCTTGTGGAGGGTTCCCTCAGCCTCCTCTCCACTCTCCTTGGAAGACCTCTGGGCAGCCACTGCCCCTGCCCTTGGTCTCTGAGATGCCCCATCTGCCCCAAAGAGAGGTGCCTTCTCACACTGCCCCACAGGGGCCTGGGAAGAGGATGTCCCCTGCCTTAGTGGCTCAACAGAGACTGGCCAAAGGTGAATGTGAGGCCAGCACCTTACCTGGGGAGGCAGCAGTGGGTGCTGCCAGGCCTGCAAGGTGGAAAGGCTTCCTTCAGCACCAGGCATTCAGCCTCCCATGCAGGCCTTTCACACAGCAAGCACAAGAAAGGCCAGTGCATCCACTGCCTGCCAGGCCTCCCATTTCTCTGCCCATTCCCAACAGCAAGGGCTGGTGGACTGGCTGAATGGGCTCCCTTGCCCGATTGCTTACTCCGAGGCTGCCTCAGCTCCTGGCAACCAGCCCCCCGGCCAGCCCCAGAGGCACCATTCGCCTGGGGAGCTTGCAGCCAGGGCTGCTGCAACAAACAGCTGTGCAAGCCTTTGAGAGGCAGAGAAACAAGAGTAAGGTTACCAGATTTTTTCAATGAATCCCAGGACACTTTTCAACTTCAGTGGATTTTGTATGGGGACTGATTTGTAAATCCAAGGACTGTCCCTGGGAAACAGAGACGTCTGGCAACCTTAAACAAGAGGGCATCAGAAGAGGGAGGGAAGGAAAGAGGGACGGAGGCTAGTGTTGCCCATGGCACCCCTGACCACCATTCAAGGCACCTCAGGGTGCCACGGCACACTGGTTGAAAACCACTGGTCTAGACAACTGTGATAGGCTTCTTCTCTCCTCTGGTGTTTCAAAATGACCATCTGGTGGACTCAGCAATGGGATGGCGAACACCTCAAGGGCAAAATATACAACACTCCTTGGGTGAAAAGAGACATAGGTTTCGGGAGGCCTCTAGGTCACCACTGGGCACCTAGAAGTAGCAGTGGCATGGCTTTTGAAGCGATGCAGGACGTGTTCCGCAATATATGTCAGATGAAATCAGGTAGACTATGTTGTGTGGACAAGTAGCTCCCCCTTGAGTGGGATGGACAGCAAGCAGCCATGGTTACCACTGGTTTCAGGAGAGGACACCACTTGTATGGAAATCTTCACTTCAAAGTGTGCATTTCCAAAGCTCCCAAACACTGTACAGTTTCAGGATTTCAAAGCTGAGTATACATACTAGCAAACATGTGTGTAGTAGATCAAGTACTGTAACAAGTTTCTGTTAAATAGGTCCACATGTTGAGGTCATCCGATAGGAACAGTACATACAACTTAACCTGGCCCAAGGCATCCGTTTTACTGTGCATTCATTATTATTTGTGGTTGTACAGAATCAATACTGTGTGTGCCTGCAAAAATTTTGGGGTGGTCACGCTGCTTCATTTCCAATCAGTGAGTATCCCATAACTTCCTGCTGAAATCCCACAACTGTTTATACCACAACTGATGTGTTATAGGTTATTTGTGGCAAAAATGTGGTTGCGCTGGGCAAGCATCACGCAAGAAACTAAAGCAGGAAAAATCCACTGTTAATGCATTACTGTGTCAAGAGCATGCAACAGAACACACCTGTGATAAAACGTCCATATGGAGGGGCTCTGGGTAGACAGAGGCAACCTGTGCACAAAGGAAGTGAAAACAACACAAACTGGAAGGCAAACTCAGAAGAAAACCTCTAGCCAGAACACCCATTTGCTAAAGACTGCCCCAAATAAAAGTATATTGTGGAGGTAAAATGGAACAGGACGGGTAGGGTGCCCACAAGAATCGACAATTCTTATCACTGTATGAGAAGATCCGTGATAATTATACTTCTACTTAGAAGCTCTGTCCCCAGGGACGCTTTGCAGGTGGATCACAGAGTTGTGGGCTCTTTCAGATCTGGAAAGTACCGTATTTTTTGCCCTATAGGGCGCACCAGCCCATAGGGCCCACCTAGATTTTTTTTTGGGGGGGGGAGATAAAGAAAAAAAATTATTTCCCCCCCAGGCGCGGGGCTGGGGAAGCCCGAGCTTCCCCCGACCCCATCCCCCAGAACAGGCTGCTATCCACAAGCCTTGGGAACCCGGCGGGAAGTCCCACTGGGCTCCCAAGGCTTGCGGAGAGCTGCCCGAAGTGCGCTCCACTGTGCTCCCCAGGTTTCGGGCTGCAGGCTGCTGTCCACAAGCCTTGGGAACCCGGCGGGAAGTTCCACCGGGCTCCCAAGGCTTGCGGATAGCTTCCTGAAGCCTGGAGAGCGAGAGGGTTCGGTGTGCACCGACCCCTCTCGCTCTCCAGGCTTCAGCAAAAGCCTGCATTCGCCCCATAGGACGCACACACATTTCCCCTTCATATTTGGAGGGGGAAAGTACGTCCTATAGGGCGAAAAATACGGTAGTTTATGTGCAATCCTATGCAACCATACTTAGTAGTAAGTCCCTTGGAACTAAATGAAGCTTACTTCACATGCACAAGACTACCCTGTTAACCTGGGAATGGCCAGTCTTTCATCATTAGAGTTCTTGTACAGTGGTACCTCTAGTTAAGAACGTAATTCGTTCTGGAGGTCCATTTTTAACCTGAAAGTGCTCTTAACCCAAGGTACCGCTTTAGCTAATGGGGCCACACTATTTCTGTTCTCTGTTCTGTTCTCATCCTGAAGTAAATTTCTTAACCCGAGGTACTACTTCTGGGTTAGTGGAGTCTGTAACCTGAAGCGTTTGTAACCTGAAGCACCACTGTACTTTAAAAAAGTTGTGTAGGTATTTTGGCAGATATAGCTGTCCCGGCTTTTATAACATCTGAGTATGCAAGAAACCTCTGATAAAAACCCCTCCTTCTGCAAGGTGTAGGAACCCTAATATTGCTAGCTTAATCATTTCCGATTTAATCTAAATCCTGTATTTGTAAGCTCTTTGTGGCAGGGACCTATTTTATTATTATTATTGCTTAGGTTACACCAAGTACATTGATGGTGCCATGTGAATAGTAAGTAACAACTTGGGCATACATGTTATGCTCACAGGAATAGGACGAAGACTGAAGTCCTAAAGAACAGGACTAGATATCAGGGGCTTAAGTTACAGGAGGGTAGATTTTGGGTTAACATTAGGAGAAACCTCTTGGAAGCAAAAGCACTTTGACAATGGAACCAATGGGGCAGGCTCTCTGGCTGGAAGTCTTCAAGCAGAGACAGTCATCTGATGAGAGATGTTCTAGATCTCTGGGTTTCCTACACTAAGCAAAAGATTAAATGAGGTTCTCTGCAACTCTTATGATTCTTAAAAAGTCCTCCCTCCCCAAATTAGGTAATATAGCAGCAGGAATTACATGGCACGTCATGGTATCTGTTAAGAGAATGCACAACTCTAATGAAATTGAGTCAAGACTATTGCAAAATGATATATAATGAGATTAAAAAGATGTTCAAGTTGATCGTTTCCCAAGAAACCCAAAGCTGTTCTTTTAGGAATTATAAATAACGATGTATCAAAAGAATTGGCTAACTTATTTATGTATATAACAACAGGAGCACAAATATTGTATGCCCAAAGACCAAAGATAGAAAGAAGGAGAGGTTCCAACAAAGGAAGATTGGCTTTTGAAAACAATGGAGTATGCAGAACTGGCAAGATTAACAGCAAAGATTAGAGACCAAATGATGGAAAATTCCTTGAGGACTGGAGACCTTTTGTTGAGCATTTAAAGAACTATTATAGCAAGATGAAAACGCGAGCAGGACTTGAAATATGAGCGTCAGCGTTAATTATTGAGATAAATAGGTTAAAATGTATGCATTGAATAGGATATGCGAAATATGCCACATCTAAAGGTAAATATTGAAACCATGGACGGGGAGGATGGGAAATCAATGGATAATTTATGGTCTTTTTTGTTTTGCTTTTTTCTTGCTTTTTGTGTGTGCAAAATCAATAAATAAGATTTACCAAAAAAAGAAAGTGAGACAAGACCATTAAACTAAGCCACCAAAGATCTCAGTTCCCAATCTGTCCAATTAAAAGAAGAAGAAAAGCTAGAAAGAAATAGAAAATAGAAAATATTGAGCTCCCAAGATTGCCGTTAAGTTAATGGAGGCAGGTACAAGAAGCAGATATAGTTTAATGCATCTAAAACATTGGTGTTAGATATGTTACTGATGGCTTATTATTGATGATAGAGGAAACGTGGTCCAGGGGAGATTTATCATCATGTACTATTTTCAAATCAAGCCTGGGAACATGTGGTGATAGGCTTGGGATGGGGTATCTGTCCCCAACTCCCACCTACTCCAGCCAGTAAGGGCAACCATCGGGGTGATGGGAGTTGCAGTCCAGCAATGTCTGGTTTGCCATCCCTGAGATGTGGTGACCACCATCTCCACAGTACAGTGGTACCTTGGGTTGAGAACTTAATTCGTTCCAGAGGTCCATTCTCAACCTGAAATGGTTCTTAACCTGAAGCGTGCTTTTGCTAATGGGGCCTCCCGCTGCCGCTGGCATGCAATTTCTGTTCTTGTCCTGGGGTAAATTTCTTAACCTGGAACAACTACTTCCTGGTTAGTGGAGTTTGTAACACAAAGCGTCTGTAATCCAAAGTGTCTGTAACCCGAGGTACCACTGTACATAGAAGGCAATCTGCTAGCCACCTTCAAGTATTTGGAAGGCATGAATTAGTTCTATCACCCATAGATGATGAAATTAATTTGTTGCCTGTCACTCCAGAAGGTAGGATCCAAACCAGAGAATTCAAAAACAAAAATGAGGATTTTTGACTAAACGTTAAGAACTTCCTGACCATACAAGCTGTCCCCATGCTGCCTTGGAACATAGTGTACTCTCCTTTCTTAAGAGGTTCCAAAGGAGATGCAGGACAGTCACTTATCAGAGGTGCCACAGCAGTGGATTTCCTGCATCACACTGAACTAGATTATCTTTTGAGATCCCTTTCAAGTCCATGATTCTAAGTGGTTACCAGTTGCGGCTGCTGACCAGCCTTTACAGATTGCCACCCACCAGCAATAGCAAGGCACGGCCACAACTAGTTCAACACTCGCACAGCACCACTCAAAGGTACATTAATACATGGAGAAATAAAGGAAGCGTTGTCACCATGGTAACGGCAGCATCCTTGGGTACTGGCACGGAGGCCAGGATGATTTCTGATATCTGTGTAAAAAAGGGGTGGACAAATGAGGAGGAAAAGACAAAATAAATGGAGAAGAAAGAAGAGACAGGACACTGAAGTGGAGAAGGTTCCAGATCTAGAAAACTGCCCTGGCACAGTTCTTTGCCAGACGGGCAAAGGGAATTCGACAGAAGAGGATGGAACCCCAGTTTCCCTTTCACTGCTTCATTTCACCTTGACGCTAAACGTCCAGTGTGTAATACACACTGGGCGCAATCCCCTTTCCCCTCTGGCACACCGGCAGAAATGAAGGCTATAGTTGGTAATTTGCTGCCTTTAAAACACCACTGTCTGAGAACGGCCATGCCACCCCGTAGGGACTGCTCTGACCCAACTGGCAAAATACATCGGGGCTCTAGCAGGCTGTAGTTCAGCTCTCTGCTGTGGTTTTGCAACAAGGTTCAAAGAGAAAATGAAGAAAGGATTCCAGGCTGGAGGAAAGGGTGCAGGAAGAGGAGGAAATGGCATGGAATGGGGAAAGATCATAAGGTACTGTATTTTTCACCCTATAGGGCGCACTGGCCCATAGGGCGCACCTCGTTTTTTGGGGGGGGGAAATAAATTAAAAAAAAATTATTTCCGACCCCAGCCCCCAGAACAGGCTGCTATCTACAAGCCTTGCGAGCCTGGCGGCAACTCCCGCCGGACTCGCAAGGCTTGTGGACATCTGCGTGAAGCACGGGGCACCCTCCGGAGCGCGCCCCGTGCTTCGGGCTGCAGGCTGCTGCCCGCAAGCCTTGTGAGCCCGCGGGAACTCCCACCGGGCTCGCAAAGCTTGCGGATAGCTTCCTGAAGCCTGGAGAGCGAGAGGGTTCGGTGCGCACCGACGCCTCTCACTCTCCAGGCTTCAGCGAAAGCCTGCATTCGCCCCATAGGACGCACAAACATTTCCCCTTCATTTTTGGAGGGGGAAAAGTGTGTCCTATAGGGCGAAAAATACGGTACTTACAGGCTGGTGGCTCTCAACACTGACCAAGCACTTCTGCTTTAAGCTGCATGCAGAACTGCAATGGGCTTCCCGTGCTTTGGAGGGGGAGGAAATTGCAATTTCTGCGCATGTTCTGTTTACACCTAACACAACCATACAAAAAAGGGAGCAACAATTCACCCGAGAATAGCATCTTACAGCAATTGCCTCCAATTGATTCTTGAATCATTTTTGTAAAAGATACGGGCTAAAGTGCTTTGTAAAAATTCAGCGTCGTTGCAAGATCACTTCAGTGTTATAAAGTAAGAAAAAAACTAAATTAAAAACAACACCAAAGAAATCAAACGGCACTGAATACGAAAAGGAGAATGGCAGTGTGTGGCGTCTGGTTTTGTTTTTAAAAAACCAACAACACTAAAGTACCTTTTTCATTTAAGTGCTTTTGCGTAACTATTTTAATTTTTTAAAAAGAGCATAGGCAGAAGGAGCAAATTAGAAGATTGACAGCTGACTAAAATGTCACAGACCAGAAAGGTCACAATGGCATCTTTATAGCAGGTGGAAAAATAGTGCTTAAGGTGATCCGCAAGTGTAAAGACTGCCCTACAATCCTGTTTTAATTTTTTTAAAAAAAACCTGTAGTCTGAAAGAAGACAGAAGGAAGTTGCATAGGTAAAAATTGCAGAAGGAAGACAATTTGACGATGCCATCATGTAGATTTGCCATGAAAAGCTCGTAAACAAAGGTCCATACTAAGGTCCTAATACGGAAGTACCCGTAGCGTAAACATTTCTCCTTGGTTTGCTTGAATTGTCCATCAGCCGGACCTTTTCTTGCTCGCTGTACATTAGTGTCAATTACAATGCATTGTGCTGCGGAAAAGCTGCCTCAGGAGCCCTGAAAAGGGCAAACGAGAGAAGCCCCAACCTAATGTAAGGATAGTCAATAGTGTAGCCCAGGGAGTTTTCCAAAGGGAATCAACCTGGCAGCATTTCAGTATTAAGAAGAATTAATCTTTCCTGGGTGGCCTTAGGAGAAATCCAACATTGCTCTGCAACAGGACAGCACAAGGACCTTCTCCTAAGCAACGAGATGAGGGGACTCCACCAAGCCAGTTCCCTCCTGCTACCTTCAACACCTTGTTTCCAAACCTCCTGCTGTAACACCACATCCACCTAAGAGCTGGGAAGAGGGTGCCCAGGAGTCCAGTCTGCCCACCCTCCCTCGTTTCAACACCCCAGACCTCGGGCCTATCAGGAAAAAAACAGAAACCCTGACACCAAGTATGACGACACCAGGGTGGTTATCTTTGTAATCTTTGGTCTGGTAGCCAGGTCCAAATTAGGTCCAAATTAGGTCCAAGTTAGGTCCAGGGACCCCTGACCATTAGGCCCAGTCGTGGCCGACTCTGGGATTGCGGCGCTCATCTCGCTTTATTGGCCGAGGGAGCCGGCATACAGCTTCCGGGTCATGTGGCCAGCAGGACTAAGCCACTTCTGGCGAACCAGAGCAGCACACGGAAACGCCGTTTACCTTCCCGCCAGAGCGGTACCTATTTATCTACTTGCAATTTGAAGTGCTTTCGAACTGCTAGGTTGGCAGGAGCAGGGACCGAACAACAGGAGCTCACCCCGTCGTGGGGATTCGAACCGCCAACCTTCTGATCGGCAAGTCCTAGGCTCTGCGGTTTAACCCGCAGCGCCACCCGCGTCCCTAGGTCCAAATTAAATATGAGCAAATAAATTAGATTGTCCACTAGGGGCACCGTTGGCTTTTGGCACTCCAACTTGGGGCCACAACCCCCCAGGCACAGCGGGCATAGTTGGTACCAGGCAGAGGAATAGAGAAGTGAGGTGGAGGCTCTGCCCCCATGGCAGCAAAAAGAGCAGGAGCCCGTTTGCATGCTTGGCAACAAGACACAGGAGACAGCCGGGCACCACTGCTGCAATGACAAAAGAGGGACGCCCAGAGTATCCTCCCGTAATGGCAACGATGACGAAATGCTGAGACAGAGAGCGTGCGAGAGAGCGCTATTATCCTGGACCCACCCCCGCCCCCCACAAAAAAGTGTAAACCCAAAACTCCATGCAGTTTTGCTGTGACAAGCAATGGCTGGCCACGGCCTGACCGCCAAAGAGGAAAAGAAGGCCAGGAGCTCTGTGCTCCTACCATAGGAGCTGAAAGCATGTAACGGTCACTTGTGTTGTCATAGCACCAAAACTGACCAACGAGGAGAGCTTATGCTAGCTCCGTGGCAACGGGCAGCCTCTTTCTGATCACCTGTTTCGTGGCCCCAGAGCCCAGAAGGGCCAAAGAGAAGCTCCCCACCCATGCCGTTCCAGGTTACTTTGTCATGACCACGAAGGGTTCCTTCCGTCACTTCCCCACAGCGATGGACAGGAGGTGTCGTTCCAGGATGAGCGAGGGTGAACAGGAGGGGGCAATGGCACGTCTCTGTCAGGAAATGGTCCTCCCTGGTAAGAACCACTGTGTCTTTGGGGGGACGGAGGGGGTTAGTGCCCCACTCCGCTGCTCTTCCCTGTCGTTACCCAGTCGACAATGATGAAACTCAGGCTCATCACCATGAAAACGAAGCCAAGGGCAGCAAAGCAGGCAGCCTGTGAAGGACAAAGAGGAAGGCATGATACCCGCCGTCCAGTTCCAATTACTGTATTTTTCGCTCTCTAAGATGCACCAGACATAAGACGCACCTAGTTTTTGGATGAGGAAAACAGGAAAAAAAATATTCTGAATCCCAGAAGCCAGAACAGCAAGAGGGACCACTGCGCAGCGATCCCTCTTGCTGTTCTGGCTTCTGGGATAGCTGCGCAGCCTGCATTCGCGCCATAAGGCGCACACACATTTCCCCTTACTTTTTAGGAGGGAAAAATGTGTCTAATAGAGCAAAAAATACAGTACCTTGCAAGCTTCAGTGGGGAGAGAGGGAGGGGCTGCATGTTCTAAATAGGGAGGGAAAGAGGGGACTATCCCCCTACTTGGAAATGAGTATCCCACTTGCCATGTTAGTTCTTGGATTCAGCCTCATTCTACCTTTTATATGGTACATTCTACCTTTTATATATACCTTTTACATGCCTTACTACGGTGTCTAAGGAGTCTCAGTGAGACTTGAAAACCAGCTGTGATTTTGTTGACAATTGCTAAAATGATTTTTTATGGGCAGCTAGAAGGAGTGGCGGACCAATTGCATGTCTTCAACCAACTAGGCTTGGAAGTTTCATGGGTGAACAGGTGTCTCCCACAGCCTAGAACCCCCAAGCTGTTCTCTTGCCACCTTAGCTCAATCTTAGCTTGAATCCCCTTCCTCTCTACCTAGCATAGCTGTCAATGTTTCCCTTTTTAAAAGGGAAATTCCCTTATTCCGAATAGGATTCCTCGCAAGAAAAGGGAAAAGTTGACAGCTATGCTACCTATTCCCTTCCCTTGTATATCTTTGCTCATCGACAGGGCTTCTCTCTCTCTCTCTCTCTCTCTCTCTCTCTCTCTTTTAATGGAGGTGAACTGTCTGAAAAGCAGGATACAAATAAATGCATTTTCAGCCAAGAAAAGCTTGGAGCAGCTACACTTTCACCTGGCCTCCCATGGGCTCATCTCATCCTTGACTGAGCTCCTGCCCCCATTTCCTTTGGCTTACCACGTTGAACCACTTTCCCTTCCCTCTAATGGGGCCTCTCACATTCCCACCCACTGGCCAGCATCTGGTACCTGGATTTTGGATCTGGATCTCAGAGGCTCTTTCTCGTTGGGGATAATGCGGATGTAGAAGATGCTTGGGAGGATGAAGATGAGGCTGGGGGCCGATGTGGCTCCTGAGGCGGGAAGAGTCAGAAAAGGGAACATATTCTTGGGTATCCTAGGTTAACATCTCTGCCATACATTCAAAGCAGCATCACATCCTGACTCTGAGTCTGATGTTGGTGATCAAAGGATCCCTGAATCAGAGTCTGGCAGACAGTAGCCCCTGAAATCAGGTTCTGCAGCACCAGGGCTCTCAAAGGCACATTCCACCCCCCACCCCCCGCGAAGGAACCAAAGGCTTCCCATGTCACCTTGCCAGTCCAACAGCTCAGGGAGCAGACCATACCAAGGAGCAAAGAATGAGTCCCAGTCTCCAGGTCAGAGGGTCAATCCTTTAAGAGACTCTCCAAAACAGGACACCATTCCCTCCCCGGCATGATCTCAAGAAAATCACCCATCCCAGCTGCTCCAACAATCTACACACACTTATTGGCACAAAAATGGAAGCAAGAAGAACTACCGACGAAAGAAGAACGGCGGGTGAAATTAATGGACTATGCAGAATTAGATAAATTAACATGAAGGATTCGAAACCTGCGGGACCAGAGATTCTTAGAAGACTGGAGTAAATATATGAACTATTTGAAAAGCAATTGTAATGAACATATTACGCTAGTAGGACTGCAAGAGGTTCTGTAAGGAGGACTATTTGAAATATTGCAAGAAAGATTATGAGGAGAATTATTAGTTAATGATAATTAAGAGTAATAGAGAAATTAAGAAATGCAGAGTAAGTGATAAAGAACGGAAAATCATCAGAGGTTGTTGACGGAAGCATAAAATGTTGTATAAGATAAGAAGTTATGTTAAATGATTGTTGGAAATGATATGTTTATATATAAAAAAAACAATCCACACACACAACGGTTATCATTAGACACAAATGCGAGGTTCCCCATCCACAAACTCTAAAACTCACTGCCGCATGCTAAACCCTGCTCACTTCCAGGCACCCAATATCCAGTTTTTAAAAACAGCTTGTGAGGTTGCTGATCCCGTCATGAATGTTAAGGTGAAGCCCAGCCCCGAGCCCCTCTGCTACGCCTTCCTAAGACAGGTCATACATACCAATGACTCCAAAAATGTCCTTGATGTTTGGCACGAAGATGACAAGAAGGTTGACAATAACGAGGAGGCAGCAGGCAATGATGACATGGCGGACCCAGCTGAAATCCTTTTTGTGAAACAGCAGCTGCTGGATGGCCCTGCGGATCTGTGGTGGGAATGAGAGTGTGAGCTCTACTGGGCAAAGAGGCACTAAGGGATACGCAAGAGATCTCTGTCACTCGCTGTTCAAATGCAAGTCTCCAAGGTTTTTAGCTTTATCTCTCTGCCACGGCAAAAACAACCAATAGCCTGTTACGGCGCCTTATTCCAGGATCAATATTAGCCTTTACAGGGCACTGGGTTGTCTTTGCTCAATGGCAGGGGCTTTAATAGCTGCTCACATTTATTTTTATGTATTTGCAAAGAAATCCCTGTACTGTCAATGCCTAGATACACATCATGGTAGCAAACAACAACAATTAAATTACATTGATAAAACAAATACAGAACGCATCATCGAGCAACAGATCAGATCAGCAGATCAACCATAGCTGGATCACCTCTCAGGGAAAGCCTGGTTTAAGCCAGTGCCTAAATCAGATGTTTGAAATCTTCTGGCTCCCTGGATGTTGCTGAACGACAAGTCCCATCAGCGCTGACCAGCTGGAGTTGGTGGGACTTGTAGTTCAGCAACAGCTGGAGGGCCAAAAGTTGCCTCATTCCCAACCTCAGAATGCTTCTGACACTGAATTGGGATGGCAGAGAGAGAGGAAGGGAGGCAGACTGGAGAAACTAACTGCAGGTGCTTTGGGGAGGAAAGCCATTTGACGCTGCAACGGGGGATGAAAAAGGCAATCTCTTACCGGGAACAGAACCACAGGCACCGTGAGTGTCACAGCCATCAGCACAGCCAACCGCACAGAGAGAATGAGCTTGTCCATGGCGTCAACTTTGATATAAGTGTGCAGCATCTCTGCTTCAACACTCTCTGCCAGAAAGGAGAAGAGATATACTCATCAGTCCGAGTGGTGGCGGACGTGAAACGACAGGGTCTGGGGCCAGATGGGAGGGCTTTTGACTGGGACTTCAGAAAGGTCCTTAAAAGGGTACTTTAGGATGCCATTAGTTCTCAAGCTGGCAAAAGATCTTGAGCTGGAGACAGGAGTGACATCGGGGTGCGGATTCAGGCTTTGTGCCAGCATCAATCTTTGGCCAGGAAAGGAAGAGATGTAGCGCAACGAGAGAGAGGGCGTGTGCTTTTTATGCACAAAATCCCGGGTTCAATCCACATCATCTTTAGGTAGGGCTGGGAAAGACTTGTCTGAAACCCTGCCAAATTGTTTCCAATAAGACTTCCAACATGGTGCCCAAGGTTGCCAATGTGCCCACCAGCATCTCCCATGGAACCCACAACAGGTGTCCATAAATACCCCCTCAAAAATCCACTGTGAATGACAGTTCACTCTTCCTGCTCAGCCTCTCCAACGCTGAAGCCTTTATGTCACACCCGTGGCAGCCATTTTGTGTCATGCACACCCCACAGCAGCCATTTTGTGATATATATACTATGTCCTCATGGCAGCCATTTTGTCACTGATGCTCATAACACTTTCTTGAAATTCCAAGTCTGTTCCCTGGCATAAAAAGGTTGGCCACCCTTGATGTAAACAATGCTGAACCAGACAGACCAATGGTCAGACTCAGTATGAGCCAGTCCGGCCAGGAAGCATCTTACCCGGGGGGGGGGGGGCAGAGCGCATCATGTGATACTCCTAGACCAATGAAAAGTTTTCATGTCAGTCTTGTTCTGAGCCAATAAAAGACTCTACTTTTTGTGCTACCTAAAGATTGCTTCCCATCTGCCTTGCCCCCAGCATGACAGGAATTTTTTTTATGACAGTTGCCTGCATGCTCAAAAAAAGAACGTGTACACCTTTTCTTTCAACTTGGTTTGCACAAAAAACATGCAAGTGCAGGAAGACCAACCAGTTGTGCAACTCATTTTTCATTTTGTATCCGATATAACATTCTAGAAGTGTATTCTATCATGACTGTACCGTTGAGTGGGGAAGTTATTCTGTGTACACTATACAGCGGTACCTCGGTTTACAAACTTAATCCATTCCGGAAGTCTGTTCTTAAACTGAAACTGTTCTTAAACTGAGGCACGCTTTCCCAAATGAGGCCTCCTGCCGTCGGTGCCCTTCCACCATTTGGATTCCGTTTTTAGACCGAGGTAAAGTTCACAAACCGGGACACTACTTCCGGTTTTGCGGAGTTTGTAAACCGAATCGTTTGTAAACAGGACTGTTCTTAAACCGTACAGCAATAGTAAATTAAATACAGGCCCCACCCCCATTCCGTATTCTTTGAGGTCCAAAAGGACCTGTGCATCAGCGATTGCACATCAATTAAATGTGCCTAAAATGGTCACCACATGTAACTAACAAAGTGTTGCTGTTTCATGACCCTTGAAGTCTGATGCTACTGCATAATTCTACCTCATAGGAGGGACGGCTCTGTTCGCTTCTCTGTTCCTGTGCATGAAAGATAATTAAATGGTTTGTCTCCCATTATTACCTACTGAGGGAGGTTGTTCCTTACCGTAGAAAGTGAGGTAGCCAAAAATGGCGGTCAGCAGGTACATGACAAACATGGCGAGGATGGAGACATTTGCTACATTCTGCATCCGACGTTTGGAGGCCCTAGGCAAGGCACAGAGAGTTCACATCTACTGTTTATAACCTATATTTAGCCCCAATCCCTTTTCAGAGCGGTGTGGGGTAACAGAACCTAGGATTTCTGGCTCCCAAGCCCTTGCCAGTCAATGGAGATTTGAGGTTTATCCCATTCAAGATGGAAACCCTCAGTCAGTGCTGGTCCCCAAGCACCAATCAAAATGCAGCACGCAAACACAAAAGGCTCCCCCTCCAAGACCTGAGAGGGTATCCCAGAGGCCTCTGGGGCAACCTCTCATTTCCCGAAGAGAAGGGCGCCTACCACTTATTTGACCTGGGGACGATGACTGGCTGGATTCCAAGTGGGTGTGGTGATGTTTTATGATGGCTGGGTGGGAATCCAACCCCCAGGCAGTATCCCGGGTTCAAGAAGGCTGTCCTTGCTCCCCTGTAATGTGCTCCTCCTATTCCAGCCCCCTGCTTTCCCCCAGTTAGAAGAGACCCCTGTAGTTTGGGGAAACATATTGCAGGAAACAAGTGGGGAGAGTGCTGTTGGGCTCATGCCGTGTTTGTGGGCTTGTCCACGGTATTTGTCTGGCCACAGGATACTGGACTATCCCACTGGCATGATCCAGCAGCCAGATTCTTCTTACATTTGGAGAGTTTTTGTCCAATGTTCCCTTTTCTTTGGGGGGGAAAGGAATCTTTTGCACTTTCTCCTACCCTCCCTCCTTCCTTACCCCCTTTTAAAGTGCTGAAAAAGAAAAGGCTTCCCCTCTTTTAACCTTCTATCATGCCTGCAGTTTACGTACCTGCGCAGCTCAGTGTAAATGGGCAGAACTTCTGGATGGCAGACAAAGGCAAATGCCAGGATGGGGATGGCGTAGGCCGTCTGTGAAAGGAGAGGGAGTATAAATCAATTCTCTACTCCACTTGCCACATCTGAAACCCAGAACTTCCAGCATATCCTTTCCGGGGTTTTTTTTAGGGAGGGCAGAATGCGTCTTGCTCCAATAGCCGTTTCAATGCACAGTGCTTGGTGCTACCAGAGCTACAAAGACTCTTGCACTGCAGTTTCCAAGCACCAAACAACTAGCTGGCTCTCAAGAACTTTGTTAAGCTCTGTGCATTGGACTTTGGCTCACTCATTCACACTCACCCATTTACCTCCATACAGTGCAATGCAAATGGGGCTCCCTTTCTCACATGCAATGTGGAAATGGCAGCTGATTGGGCTGATGGAACAGCAACACAAACCTCTACTTTGCCTGCCCAACTGGCCGTCAGGTAAGCAACACAAACCCTATCCTTGCTTTGCCATTCTGACTGACTTGTATACAGTGGTACCTCGGGTTACAAACACCTCGGGTTACAAACACTTCGGGTTACAGACTCCGCTAACCCGGAAGTAGTACTTCGGGTTAAGAATTTACCTCAGGATGAGGACAGAAATTGTGTGGCAACAGCAGGAAGCCCCATTAGCTAAAGCGGTACCTCAGGTTAAGAACGGTTTCAGGTTAAGAACGAACCTCCGGAATGAATGAAGTTCGTAATCAGAGGTACCACTGTACTGGCAAGAATGTGACATGCAGAAGCCAATTGGACTGGAATCAGAGGCCTGATGAGCCGTATTTGGTCTGGGGAGTGGAGGTTTCTACGCCTGCTATTAAACAACACTAAAATGAATTGAATTATTTTTGGGATCTATTACTTCTTACTATTATTATTATTATTATTATTATTATTATTAAACATACTGGGGCAATGAAAACAGGAGCTACAAATTCAGAAGTAAGCTACTGGCAAAACTGAAAAGCAATGGCAAACATTGACGTCAATGCCATGTTTAAATTTCCAAAATGGAAGGTGTATATTTACACATTTTTCTGTGCTCTTTCCCTTCCTGTGCCTTACCATTATAGTAAGGTTTTGACACTGGGGCATCATACTAGAGTTTGGCCATCCTTTGCTTCACAACTGGTACAGTGGTGCCTCGCAAGACGAAAAGAATCCGTTCTGGGAGTCTCTTCGTCTAGCGGTTTTTTCGTCTTGCGAAGCAAGCCCATTGACGGGATTAGCGGATTAGCGCTATTAGCGCTATTAGCGGCTTTTAGCAGCTTATCAGCTTATCGGATAAGCAGATAAGCGGCTTAGCGACTTAGAAAAAGAGGGGGAAAAGGAAAAAAAACAACCAGGAACTCGCAAGACATTTTCGTCTTGCGAAGCAAGCCCATAGCAGATTCGTTTTGCGAGGCACCTCCAAAACGGAAAACTCTTTCGTCTAGCGAGTTTTCCGTCTTGCGAGGCATTCGTCTTGCGGGGCACCACTGTATATGAGAATTCATGGCAATCTCTGCAGATTGAATCTTTCTAAAAGTGAGAAGATAAATTACCATTCTAAAGCATCAAATACTTCATCTGCATCCATGAACTTCACAGTGGCTTCTTCACCATTATAGGATTACGGGAATTAATTATAGCAAAGGCTGTTCTGATATTACCTGAGAAGTTCGTCCCTAAATATGAAACCTGTTCCTGAAGTTTATACTTACAAACTGTCTTTTTTAAAACTTCTCAGTCAATTATGCAGGGAAAATTCAGCAGGTCCCAGTTCAATAGGTCCATACCAGGAATTGGCAGCCTGTGACCTTAGGGTCACATAATGAAGAGTGGGCGAAATGAGTGCCAGGGGAGTGCCAGAAAAGGAGGGGCTCCACCCATTTTTTGCACCAGTCCTGCCCACCACTAGTATGCCACCCCTGAGGAGAAGTGGCCCTTCATGGAAAAGGTTGCCCATTCCTGGTTTAAACTACCTTGTTATGTTTTATGAGTAAAAGTAATCCTAGCTTCATTCCAGAATTACAGTATCTGATGTTTACATAAACATTTTGGAAACAGAATTGTCAGGGGTTGGCTTTGTAATTTCTCAAACTTTTTGGAGTCCTCTGTGCATAGGAAGCCCAAGTGAGCCAGTAGTTTTTACTCAGGTTTGCTTGGCATTCTTCTTCCTCACTTACTGGAAAGTTAAATGTTTTCCTTGTATTTCTGAAGTAAAAGGTAAAAGGTAAAGGACCCCTGGACAGTTAAATCCAGTCAATGGCGACTATGGGGTTGTGGCACTCATCTCGCTTTCAGGCTGAGGGAACCGGCGTTTGCCCACAGACAGCTTTTCCAGGTCATGTAGCCAGCATGACTAAACCGCTTCTGGCGCAATGGGACACCATAACAGAAACCAGAGCACACAGAAACACTGTTTACCTTCCAGTGGTACCCATTCATCTGCTTGCACTGGCATGCTTTCGAACTGCTAGGTTGTCAGGAGCCAAGACAGGGCAACGGGAGCTCACCCCGTCGCAGGGATTCGAACCGCCACCTTCTGATCAGCAAGCCCAAGAGCAGAGGTAGGCAATCTAAGGGCTGCGGGCCGGTTCCGGCCCCAATGGGTTCTGGATCCAGCCCGCAGATGGTCCAGAAATCATCACATGGTTCTGATTCATATCGTTTGGAAATCGCTTCTGCGCATGCCCAGACGCCGAAAATCACTTCTGCGCAGGCGTGATTTTCAGCGTCTGGGCATGCGCAGAAGCGATTTCCAGTGCCGTGGACATGCACAGACGTGATTTCCGGCTTCATGCTGCGCCAGTCCGGCCCACAGACGATCTCCATGGGAGTGATCCGGCCCATGCCCAGTATGCCTTGCCAACCTCTGCCCAAGAGGCTCAGCAGTTTAGACCACAGCACCATCCGTGTCCCTCCTTCAGACCCACGTCTGAAGTATGTGCGCACACACACACACACACACACACACACAAACAGATCTCCCATAAAATTCTACAAGTTCACTTCTGAGCTCTGCATTTGATGCAGTTTCACTACGCCTCCCAGCCACTTTTAAGCCCCTACACGTCCCCCAGAATCCTTTTCAGGATCCTTCCTACTAACCTGGGAGTTGACAGTGAAGACCTCAGGAGCACAGACATCATCATCATCATCACCATCAGACCCCAAAGTGCCATTGTTCCCATTATAGTAGACGGGGGGCTTTTCAGAGTGCGTCCCATTGAGGGGGCAGGGAATCTCAAATTTCTTGTAGATCACCTTTAAGGCGGGAATGAAAACTGATGTTGAATACCAAGCTTGGAAAAGGAGCAGGGAGTGGAGGGAGAAGCTGCCACAAAATTCATTTCTGCATTAAGTACTAGGAGCCCTGGATACCCATTTCCTATTACACCTGGCAGCTTATAAAGAAAACACAATTCTCCAGGTGGGAGAAGACTGCGCTTCTGAAAATTCCCATCAACTCACCGAGATGAGGAAGAAACACATACAGGTGAGGGAGAGCCCACTGGTATAACCAAGATAACCTGTGAAGAGAAGGAGGGAGAGAGAGAAAGAGAGAGCACATCAAGCTTCCACATAGAGTAAATGATAACAAGGATCAGAACAGGTCCCCTGTTCAGTTCTTTTCAACCGGCTTGTAAACTACGCCATTTCTTGCTCAACATGTTATCTCCGTGCCATGGGTAGGCAAACTAAGGCCCGGGGCCCAGATGCGGCCCAATCACCTTCTCAATCCGGCCCGCAGACGGTCCGGGAATCAGCTTGTTTTCCCATGAGTAGAATGTGTCCTTTTATTTTAAATGCATCTCTGGGTTATTTGTGGGGCCTGCCTGGTGTTTTTACATGAGCAGAATGTGTCCTTTTATTTAAAATGCATCTCTGGGTTATTTGTGGGGCATAGGAATTCATTCATATTTTTTTTCAAAATACAGTCTGGCCCACCACATGGTCTGAGGGACGGTGGACCGGTTCACGGCTGAAAAAGGTTGCTGACCCCTGCTCCATGCCAACAAAAACAGCACCTGTTGGACCTCTCTCCCTATCATTCTGCTAAAAGGCACAAGAGCCCTGATCACAAACAAACAAACAAACAGGGTTAGGGCTGGGGGGAAATACCTGAATTAAAAAATTCTGCAGTTTTGCCGGACTAGGAAGCACATTTAGGCCGCCCTATAGAGGGGAAGTTGGGGGGATAGGGTGAACATATTTATTGGGTGCTTCCAGAACACCACTATTTTGTGACAGGGTTCAATGGCGCACCAACAAATTCAGGTTGCACAACTTAAGGTGAATAGGCACTGTTGCAAAGCAAACCCACTTCCCCTAAAAGAATCGATACTTTTTTCGCAATAAGGAAAAGTGACAGAAAAATGCACTGGATAGCGTGAGATAACGCTTGCCCGACTTCCACGCAAACAAATCAGAACCAAGTGTTACATGAAAAGCTAGTGCTGTCTAACCTCTCCGCAAACTTTGCGCCAACAAACCAGAATGAATGCTCCATAAATAGGCTGACTGGAAGGGACTGCCGTGATTCACATGGGCAAAGGTCTGCTTGCAGTGGAGACAGTGGCATCTTTAAAAAATATTAATTACTTGATCAGGAAAGGGCGTGTGTGTGTTGTCTGTGAAAGGACCCTCTTAATGGTGGCCACGGGCCACCCTATCTTCATTCCAGGAACATTCTGGGAGCACAGAGGTAAGTGGCAACCTACTCTAGAAGTAAACTTTGACACCAATTTATTTACTTCAAATAAATTTCTTAAGACTGGCCCAACCCCCTGCAACAGGACATACAGATTCTTCTTCACCCGCAACATTTCCCATGGGCATGCAAGCTGACAGGGAAAAGTAATTCCCCAGAAGAAGTAGCAGGTTTGTCGGGACAGTGTGAGAACAGGATGCTACTCATATGATGCCAAAGCTGATTCCCTCCAGCAGAGGGCGGGAGAGACACAAACAACATTGCCTTCAACTCTCAGGGAAGAAGGAAGGAAATGTTCACTGCAGTGACACACACACACACACACACACAGGGCCGTCTTTAGCATATGCACCACCGGGGTGCAAAGATCTGCCCAGCGCCCCCAAATTAAACATTATTATGACTCACCCGCCGGAGCGCCGCTTGCAATCACGCGTGCTGCCATTGCTGCCTAGCGTCTGCCCGATCAGCAGAAGCAGCCACCTGTCACTCACAATTGCCGCAGCGGCAGCCAATACACAGCGGACATTGCCGCAGTCACCAATCGCCCACCAGGTAGATAGTTTAGAGCTTAGGCAGCTTCAGTGACAGGTGCCTGCTGCCCCCCAGGTGCCCCGCACCGCTGGGTAAAGACGGCCCTGCAGACACACACACACACACACACACACACACACACCCCGTGGCTGGGCCATTGCTTACCCAAGATGCTCTCCACCACTTACCCAAATGTTTCATCATAGCCAGGGGCAGGATGACACCAACACTGACAACGATGATCAAGACATTCCCGTTCATGTACCACTCGCTGAAAACAAACAATATCAAGGTCACAACAGCCAATGGATGCTACGTTTTCCCCCTCAGGTGAACAGAGGCAAAAGTAAGCAGGGCTCCTGTCCTTTAACCGTTGCATCCAAGAGGGAATTCAGGCAGCTTTTCTCGCCTTTGTGCAATGAGCTTGAATTCCCCCTTTTGCACAGTGGCTGGGAAGCACAGGGTCCCGGTTCTCCTTGGCATTTGCTCACTCAATCCCGTCCCCTCCGTTAAGTCTATATGGATATTAATGAGCAAGAACAACCAGCAGAATACTTCCGAGACAGGAAGCCACGTTACGAAAAGCAACAAACGCACCTGGCACCCTCAAGGTCTGGCAGCTTTTATAAACTTTTGGAAAGCTGCTGTCCATGTCATCAGAAAGCTTGTGCACATGGCAAATGCCTTTTGAAGTTATTTCTACTGCAACAGACTCCGGTTTGCCATTCCCTGCTACTGTAATGTGCTCTGCGTGGGGCTTCCCTTGAGATGGATCTAGTCGCTGCAGATAATGCAGAATTTTGCATCTGGACAGCTGAGAGGAGCCACTGGGCTCTCCTTACACCAGTGCTGAGGATGTGCACTGGTTGTCAGTCAGCTACCGGGTCATGTTGAAGGTCTTGTTGACACACAAAGCTCTGAAAAACTCAGGTCCAGCTTCCCTGAAAGATCACCTGTCTTGTAAGCCTTTGCGGCATCACACCCTACAGAATATCATAGGGCGGTGGCCCAAAACAGGCACTTTCTGTTATTGCCCCTGTACTGTGGAATGTGCTTCCCTTTGCCATACAGGTGTCTTCATATGTCTTGGAAAGAATTATCTTCTGCCCAGGCTTTCTCTGACCCATGAGATCAGACCCTGTTTTCCATCCTCTGGATTTCTGTTTCATTGATTTTTTGCATGTTTTTATGTGTTTCTATATTGTGGTTTTGGGACACAGGTGGCACTGTGGGTTAAACCACAGAGCCTAGGACTTGCAGATCAGAAGGTCGGCAGTTCGAATCCCCGTGACGGGGTGAGCTCTCGTTGCTCGGTCCCTGCTCCTGCCAACCTAGCAGTTTGAAAGCACGTCAAAGTGCAAGTAGATAAATAGGTACTGCTCTGGCGGGAAGGTAAACGGCGTTTCCGTGTGCTGCTCTGGTTTGCCACATGCTAGCCACATGACCCGGAAGCTGTACACTGGCTCCCTCGGCCAATAAAACGAGATGAGCGCTGCAACCCCAGAGTCGGCCACAACTGGACCTAATGGTTAGGGGTCCCTTTACCTTTATATTGTGGTTTTAACTGTTTTAATACGCATTTCTATTTTATTTTTTAATGGTATATAGTTTGTTTTTAGACTGCACTCCTTAACTAGACAGTTTATAAGATATCTTGGGTACCAAACGCTAGGAAAAGCCCTCTGCCAGAAACCTGGGAGATCCAGCAGCTCTCAAGACGAGATGGAACAGCGCTGGATGAACCAGACTGTATAAGGGAGCCTCAACAGAATATTGATAGCTTTAATTTTTAGTTTTCAAAAACAAACTTTCCTAACCCCAGTGACTCTAAGTGGAGGCATGAGAATAAAAAACCACAAAATGTCTTCTAGACCAGGGGACTACCCTGAGACAACATTTTGCGGGAAGTTGTCTCAGGGTAGTCTAACTGTACACAGTGACCACCCCCACCCCCTTTTAGTCACTCCACATAATCAGCCACAATACAGTCATACGTCGGGTTGAAGTAGCTTCAAGTTAAGTATTTTCGGATTGCACTCCACGGCGACCCGGAAGTAATGGAGCTTGTTATTTCTGGGTTTCACCGCCCATGCATGCGCAGATGCTCAAAATGACATCACGCGCATGCACAGAAGTAGCGAAATACGACCCATGCACGCACAGACACGCAGATGCGTCTTACGTTTACTTCAGGATGCGAACGGGGCTCCGGAACAGATCCCATTCGTATCCAGAGGTACCACTATACAGTGGTACCTCGGGTTACAGACGCTTCAGTTTACAGACGCTTCAGGTTACAGACTCCGCTAACCCAGAAATAGTACCTTGGGTTAAGAACTTTGCTTCAGGATGAGAACAGAAATCGTGCTCCGGTGGCGCGGCGGCAGCAGCAGGAGGCCCCATTAGCTAAAGTGGTGCTTCAGGTTAAGAACAGTTTCAGGTTAAGAACGGATCTCCGGAACGAATTAAGTTCTTAACCCAAAGTACCACTGTATAGGTGTAGCTTTTCTTTTCCTTTTGAGTGAAATGGAAGGCAAGTTTTCTTCTACCATGCTCCGTGAAGCCCACCAAGGGGTTCCAGGGCTACATTCAGCCGGCACAATGGACACCAGAACCTGGCATCATCTTTTCTATATCTATCTTTTCAATAGCCAGTGTGGCAAAATGGTTAAAGTACTGGACTAGGAGCTGGGAGAGACCAGGGTTCGAATCCCCACTCAGCCATGAAGTTCAATGGGTCACAATCTCGCAGCCTAACCTACCTCACAGGATTGTTGTTAGGATAAAATTGGGGGTGGGGGGGGAGAGGAACCATGTACACCACCTTGAGACTGTTAGAAGAAAAAGGTGGTCTATAAATATATAAGAAGTAAATAATATTTATTCAACTCACGGGCCCACTTTCTCCAACAGTAGCAGCCCTGGGCCTCAAGGCTGACTGAGCGAGATTCTCCCTCACCCCAGAAACTTAGCATTTTGATTTACTGTTTTTAACAGCTGGGAGTGAGAGGTTCAAACAACATGTTACACAACACAGCTATGTGAAACATTAGCCAGAGGTTACTTTGCTACGAGGCAGCCTTGGGGATGGGGACGGGGGGGGGCTGATTTTTGGTGCAGTAGCGGCAGGGAACGGAGGGGCGCTTAACCTTCTTTCTGGTCACTTTCCTCTGCAAAAACTCCTTCTTTTCCAGCCACTTTTCCTCCTTCCCTTTATCTGACTCTGGACTGGATAATGTTACAAGACAGCTGTGTTTCGATGTGGTAGTTTGGCCCCAGGTTCAAAGCAAACCTCAAGTACAGGTGTCAAGGGGAAGGTTGTAATTCACTTGGGGGGGAATGTGCCCTACGCGTTTCTGTTTGAGGGGGGTCGGGTCCTCCGATTCAGGACACTGCTGAGGAGTGGCTGGGGGCAGCTAGGCCCCAGAAGCTCTCCTGCTCAGGGAAGGCATGTGAAGAGGGCCGCAAGCCCCACGCTGGGAGCCATTTATAGAAGGGAAATGGAGCCAAAAAACGCCAGCTGCTTCCCTCCATAAAACGGCTCCGAAGGCCTCACAGCAGACCTAGCTTGAAGGGAAGGGCCAAGATTGGGGGAGGGAGAGAGAGAGAGAGAAGGGGAAGAATCCTGATCCACTTTCATCGCGGGTCACAGTGGTCCTACGATGGCTCCAGAGGGAAGGTCAATGCGGGTTCAGATCCTTAAAATAACCACGGATGTGATTGGGTGCTGCCCCCAAGTTGACTCTGAGGTGAAACTACTGGGTGTTCTCACTGGCTCGAAAACGGATTTTAATTTAAAAATCTGTTGGCCATCGTTAAATAAAACAAAAACAACTGTTATTAAGTTGAAATCACACACACACAAAAAACTCCTGTGGAATAAGCCGAGGAATGCGTCCAGGCAGGGCCAGGGAACCTGGGGTGACCTTCCAGGACTCCAACTCCCATCAAGCAGAGACAGTGGCCAGGGATGCTGGGAATTCTAGTCCAACTATATCTGTAGGGCTCCAGGTTCCCTATGTCCACGCTAGGGATTGTGGAAATGGGTGTTAATTGCTTTAGTAGTACTTAGGGGGTACTACTAAAGGGAGTACTAAGTAGTACTCAAGTCTGGTTGTCCTCAACATGGTGCCTATAGCAGTAATGATGCCCAGGAAGGGAGGGAGGAAGTAAGAGAAGAAAGGAAGGAAGGAAGGAAGGAAGGAAGGAAGGAAGGAACTGAAGACCGTGTGTGTGTGTGTGTGTGTGTGTTTTCTCCTCTTCCTCTGGGAGTATGAGCTATTGTTGTTGTTTATTCCCCTCTCTTTCTTGACAACAGCGGGGTGGGGGGGGGAGTGTCAGTGTTTGGTCCTCCTCCTTGCAAGGGTTCTTCTGTATATACCTGAAGAAGTGAGAAGCAAAGTTACAGGGAACCAGGCAGAGGGCCTTCTTGGTAGTGGCGCCCGCCTTGTGGAGCGCCCTCCCATCAGATGTCAAGGAAATAAAGAACTATCTGAGTTTTAGAAGACATCTGAAGGCAGCCCTGTTTAGGGAAGTTTTTAATGTTTGGCGTTTTATTGCATTTTTTATATTTCGTTAGAAGCCGCCCAGAGTGGCTGGGAAAACCCAGCCCGATGGGTGGGGTATAAATAAATCATCATCATCATATGTTGTTGTTTTCCCCTCCACTCTGGAAGTTTGTGCAGGGGTGGACTTTGGCAACATTTCGCAAAACGGCGCACTGAGCAAGACCAAAAGTTGGCACCCTCAAATGGATCTAGCAGATCTCCTCAATTTGGTGTCCCTCAGCTTGGCACCCCGTGTGGGGCAACCACCCTAAACCCGGAAGTGGTTTGTGTTTGTTGTTGCCCTTCCTCAGCTCTGGGGCTCTGATGCTTCCCACCCAAACATCCACGTTCTGTTTCTTGGTTTGCCATCCCATTTCCCCCTGCCAGCCATACTTCGTTCTGGGGTCTGTTTGCTTGCTTTCCAACCTCCTTCTCTCTGGGTGACAGATGTTTTTGTCGCATTCACACCCCTCTCCACACACACACACACCCTGCCTTGGAAAGATATGGACTCTGTGCATTTTCCCTTTTTCCTGCTCCCAGCCAGGCTGCCTCCCTCTCAGCATCTACAAAACACACACCCCACATTGTGAGCAAGCAGGGGAGGGGACAGCAAATCATAGCAGAACACACTTCCACAGGCCACCACAGGCATTTTGTGGCCTGCCATGGCAACCATTTTGTTGCGGTGCTCACAATTCTTTTTGAAAATGCCAAAAGCACTCAGAAAGGTTGCAGATGAAAGGCTAAGCAAGATCAAGTGAGGCCCTACTAAGTCACCTTCTATTTCTTTTCTGATTAAATTTGTACACTGAGTGTGGTCACTGGCCCTTCCTAATTTTTATTTTAAAATAAATAAAAAGAAAACAGAAACAACAGAGGGGGAAAGGTCAGTGAAGGACTAAGAATTGAACTGGAGGTTGTTTTGCTTACCCGTTGTCCCCTGACAGCCCTAAGAAAGTTTGGATCACAAGTGGTAGCTCAGATTTAACGATAAACAGGTAGCTGGACATTGCTGTGAAAAGAAAAAGCTGTCAGGAGGATTTCCCTTCTTGACCTGGCAGGAGGAGAGCAATCAGCAGGGCCGCAGGACAAAATTTTTCCACCATTTCGCATACAAACCAAATCAGGTAGCGGGTATGATGCGGAATTCATGAGAAAATGACCAGAGTTTCGGCACCCTATACAGTTCTGTGCCCACACATTCTCTCCTGCTAGCAGTAATACAGAATAAATTTGGCACAGACAAATGGACTAAACGTTCAGGGCAGTATCCAGGTAACATGCCCTGTAAGCGCAAGGATTTCCACTTGCACAAGGAGACTTTCTCCTCCTCTAATCACCCTGTGCAAGCCCCACACCCTCCCAAATCTTCTCCGAAGGGTTGGGGGAACCCCTGGAGCTGTTTGGGGGGGGGGTTGCATGGAGGGGGGGAGAGCGGGAGGAAGTTCTACTGCACAAACAGAAATGAATGGATGGGATGCTTCTTGCCATTATGTTGGGAGACAATCAATAATGCCTACAGGTTGTGGAGTCCCAGACTTGGGGGGGTTGGGTGGGCTTTGTGTTACCGTGACAGATTGTTTCTTAGCCTCACAGAACATCTATGGGTCAGAGCAAGCCCTTACCTCCTATGTTGTGTATTGAGATTATCACAGCTGCAACCACTTTGCCCCCGTGGCCAAAAGCCCGGAGTCCCAACTGTTCGTAGGCTCTAATTCCTAGATGAAAAAGAGAGGTGCAGATTGTTGTTGTAATTGTTTTTTCACAAATGCCTAGGAAATCACCTTACTTGTAACCCATGGCTCCCGGTTAGTGTCACCGCTCCTCCAGTTCAGCCACCTCCCCTCTATTTACCAGTGAGGCTTCTCCCATCATGAACATTGCCACTCGCCACTCCAGCTCTCACGGGACTTTCCCTATCCTGCCTCGTCAGGAAAGTGTGCGATTCTACGTTAAGGCAGTGAAAGGAGGCCCAAACATGCTCTTCAGGCATAGCTTGCCTGGTCCCAGCTGACACAAAACACTACAGAGATCCAACTCAATTGCAAATGCCAACTCACCTCATGCCTCAATCATTTTAAAAACCAGGAATCTGGGCACTTTGGAAGCTGCAGGTGGCAGAAGTTGTGCAAGAGAGGCTGAGGAGAACGTTTAAAGCATGGGTTTCTCTGCCATGGCTTGTCAGATTTGGCAAGTGTTGGTACTGTTCCAAAAGCCTTCAAAGCCTCTTCAGCCAGAGGCAGAGCTGGGCCTTAGTGAAGACTTGACGTTTTTATCCCCCCAAATTTTTTTGATTAAGTTTCCACTGAAATGACATTGCATTTTAAAGTTGCATTTTAATCTTGTTTTTTAAGCTATATTTCAATCAATTGTTTTTATTTGGTGTTAGCCACCCTGAGCCCGGTCTTGGCTGGGGAGGGCGGGGTATAAATAAAATTTATTATTATGAAAAATAAAGATCTGTGCACTCACAAATACAGCGTGTCAGCAAAACCCTTCTTGAACCAATTCCAATTCTCCTCTAAAGATACTGTCTGACTCCAGACAGAGGAATGAAGTTTCCTACTCCCCACGGCCAGAACACCTTTGATTTGTGCCTCTTGGGGCAAGTACAGATGACATCCGAGGAGCAGCGAAGGGCGTCTACCGCTGCCCACAACTTACCCACAACGCCAGCGCATTTCAGCAGCAGGTGGATGGAGTAGGAGGACAGCAAAGCAATGCAGATCAGAAGCACCCTAGTGAAGAGATGGACAAAAGCAAGCATCAGCCACACACTGTTGTCCCAAGGGCAGGGCCTGCCAACTCCCCAAGCTTCAAATCCAAACCTAACTCCCTCCCTTCCCACAGCCAGGCACAGAATCCCAGAGGCCACAGAGTCCTATCAAACCTCAGACCAGGGCAGTCCAACTTTCCATACCAAGTGGGCTACAAGTGTACTTTGATGTGGAACTTCTGTGCTGCACGCTTGTCTTGTTGGGAAGACGGGGAGCAAAGCCGACATTTGTCCTAGAGCCCTTCCACCTTTTCCCCAAAGCTGGGAAAGCTCTAAGTAGGCTTTAGGGAGGAGGCTCTAGGACCCTGGCAAAGCCTCATGCCTCCTTCCCAACGCTTCACTTACCCAGATGTGGGAAGCCAGGGCGAGGGCTGGGCAAGGGCGAGAATCAAATGTTGGCAAGGGCAGCCAAAAAAGGCACTGAGGGCCGGATGCGGCCCGAGGGCCATGTGGTGGACCGCCCTGCTCTAGGCAGCACATCTGCTTCGCATGCCAAAGGTCCTGGGTTCCATCGCTGGCATCTCAGGTGCCTGAAAGCCTGGACAGCCGCTGCCGGTCCCTGCAAATGCTACCGAGCTAGATGATCTGGCTCTGTGTTGGGCCGCTTCCTCTGCTCCTATGAGCCCCTGCTTGGGAGTTTGCTGCTCTGCTGCTGCTCAGCTGTGCTCCCCAGAGGCAGCTCTGTGCGTGCTGCCCTGCCAATGGCCTGTGCCCTTGGGTGGGATGAGTGGGGCGCGTTCCCACCCGCTTCCTTCTCCCCAGGGCTTTGAAGCCTCCCTGGCCGGTGTGCCAGGCAGGGGCACTCACACAAAAAGGACGATTCCCGTGTTCCTCATGGCGTAGGCCAGGCCCAGAATGCCGCTGCCCATGATGGCGTTGCTCAGGTTGAAAACCGACATGCCAAAGGACGTCTTTCCCTCAAACTGCAAGTCAGAGGGGAAGGAAGAGTAAAAAATCAGGTCAGAGAAAAATGGTGGGGCACACGAAACACAAGCAAAGGGTTTCACTTTTGTGGAGGGGGAGAGACTGTGTTGTGGAAAATGCACTGTTGACAACAACAACAAAGCACAGCAGGGAAAGGGAGCCATACGACTTCCTGGACTACAGCTCCCATCATCCTTGACTGTTGGTTACGGTGGCTGGGGCTGATGGGAGTTGGGAGTCCAGCAATATCTGCAGGGCCACAGGTTCCCCACTCCTGACGTAAAGGGACTGGCACCTATGACAGAGTCTAGGAGCCAGGAAGAAAAAAGAACTTGGAGAACATGATGTTCATGCTGGTAGTTGGGTCAGGGGTGGGGGTCTTGGCTGGTAGGAGCCATGTGGGAGGCAAGGCGTAGTGCAAACATTTAGACCAGCCTTCCTCAACCTGATGCCTTCCTGCTGTTGAAGGACTACAGAGCCCATCATCCTTAATCGCTGGCCAGAATAACGGGCTGATGGGGGTTGCAGACTAGGGGGAAACCTGGACGGTTGCCGACTGGGGAAGCTCCTCAGTTCAGACTGAGGACCTGGGAGATGCAGGGGCTCCTCTGCTCAAGCCTCAGAGCAGCTGGAACAGATTGGGCTAGTGAAAGTCTCTTGAAAGGCAGAATATGGGAGGGGGCAGGAGGGGGCTTTAAACTGGCAGTACGGTTTTGACGCGCAAAGTATGAGGAGGAGAGACAACAGCAGGACTGGCAGTCAGCTTCTAGCAGAAGAATGGCCAGAGTTCAGAACAGACAGGTCTAACTCTTTGACATGGAAACGCAACTTTAGCATCCAACAGATACTGAACCAACCATTGTAGTCGGATTCAGCGGGACTGGCATCCTTCAGTGAAAAATTATGGCTGTGGGGTCTGGTTATCTGCTGGGTGCGTAGTTTGGCCCTCTGGGTTTGATGCCTCTTCTCTTAAAGAAGTAATAATTATAATAATACTCTAAAGAGACTTTTTAAAAGGGGACAAAATGGCACAGACATCACCGCGGCCTGCCCACCCATGAGGCAAGCTGAGGTGACTGCCTCAGGCAGCAGCATCCATAGGAGCAGCATTTCCGACCTCCAAGAAAGGCATGGTGGCATCAATGGCTGAAGTAAACATGTTGGAGAGCGGATCCGCTGCCACCTTGGCAGCCCTGCCCCCAATGTGGCCTCTTGGCACCGCTGGTCTCCTCCCACTCCTAGGGAGGAAAGTGGGGGGGTGGCTGCCCTCTGGAGTCTCCTGGGTTCTGTACCCACCCAGCGTGATTCAGAGCAGACCCCTTCCCACACACACCACTGCCTTTGATTCCCACTTCAACCACCTGGGAAGGTTGGTTTGGTCCCCCCTTTTGTGTCCAATGTAAATCTTCACTCCCCCTTTGCTCCCGGGTTGGGGGTGCGCCATTTTGTGGCCTCAGGTGTCAAACCGCCTTGGGCCGGCCCTGCGCATTACAGCAGGGACCAGTGTGCTGCCATTTACATCACAGATGAAATTCAACAGGAGCCCCCCCAACATTGCTGCCTGCCACCACCTACTATGCCTACAATAGATGCTCTGTGCTACTGGAGGGGGGGGCACAGAGGCAGAATGGCATTGTGCAAAATAAAGTAGACTCTGCATGGGAAATTGTACAATCCACCTCCAGATGCACAAGCTGCATGGTATTTGTCTGCTGCTTGAAATTTTATTTTTTGGCGTGAAAAAAAAATGATATTGAGATGTACAGGACTTGATGAACTGTTTGAGCGAAAGGCTCTGTTCCAATATGCGAGACTGGATGCAAGGCTAAGACCAAGCAGCCCCTATGGAAGGAAAAAGCTTCGGCCAAAGAAGATCAAGAAGAAGATTGGCAATATAAATTACTGAACTATGCAGGACAAATTATTACAAAAAAAGGGCAATTGTTCAATGCATATTTTTTAAGCTTTGTGAACAGATTTTTACATTACTATAACTTTCAAAAGTCACTTATAATAAGATGAAGAAGGTTTTAAAATTGGATGGTTAAGTATATAAGGTTCTATGGACGTGCATAAAAAGTACCGTATTTTTTGCTCTATAAGACTCACTTTTTCCCTCCTAAAATGTAAGGGGAAATGTGTGTGCGTCTTATGGAGCGAATGCAGGCTGTGCAGCTATCCCAGAAGCCAGAAGAGCAAGAGGGATTGCTGCTTTCACTGCGCAGCGACCCCTCTTGCTGTTCTGGCTTCTGAGATTCAGATTTTTTTTTTCTAGTTTTCCTCCTCCAAAAACTAGGTGTGTCTTGTGGTCTGGTGCGTCTTGTAGAGCGAAAAATATGGTACATTATAATGGAACCAAGAGGGGGAGTGGAGGGAAGTCGACTAAAAATTTATGGTTTAATTTGGTTATGAATGTTTTCTTTTCTGTTTTTTTGTTTTGCTACTTTTGGAAAACCAATAAATTGTTATAAAAAAATAAAAATAAATTATTTTTGAATAGGTTCCTGTTGGTCGTGAGCCTGGAGCCTGGAATCCAATGTAATGGATATAAATATGCTTATGTGCCCACAGTAAGCATCATTAATAGGAAATGGGCCACAGAGAATCAGCAGAAATTTAAAAAAAAGGGGGCAAGCAAGTGAATGAAGGGAGAAACTGTGGACAATGATAAAGACGGAATCTCAAAAGAGGAACTGGTTGCCTTGTTTGGGTGCAGCTCTTGCTACTGGGATGTGCCACTGGAGATCGACTGGAGGGGTGCAATCACAATGCTTGAATGCTTCCCTAATATAATAAAATCCTTCCACATATAACGCTAGCATGTTGGAGAGAACAGCTCTTGTGGCTAGCCTCCTCTAGGCCATGCTGGTTTTCTGTTGGCATGAACTGGTTTAAATGGGAGATCCTTCAATGCAGCCTCCCCACCTGCCGTCTGAACAGAATAGCACCATCCAGGAAAAGCGATGGCATGCGATTCTCCTGGTGGCTTCAGCTCTGAAGTGGCCAAAAGGTGCATCCGGCAGAAATGAGGGCAGGAGGAAAGATGAGGAAAGCAAAGGTTGCAACATCCGTTGGCCATGCACAGAGCCCCTTGCCAACCCCATAAATTCTGAGTACGGAGGATCGTCCTATATATGGTTAGGGAGAGGGCATGTGGACTGTTAACTGGAGTTCAAAGAAAGCAGATATCCTGTACATTGGGACCTCTTAAGAATGGATGTCAATAGTCTCAGTTTCTACCCAGGGTGAGATGAGAATATCTGGGCTCTACGGCCACCTACGTCAGTGAACTGGTTCAGTTTCTTGCTAGCAATGTGGGGCAGGAACTCCTCTTCCTCAGTCAAAGCACGCTCTTCTTCCTCATAGCTGGAAGGGAAAGAAACACAGAATCAGGGCAATGGACGCAGCCCCAGAATTGGGCATCAGCAAGAACCCCAGGTGCTAAGCCTGCAAAATGGCTCTGTCCAAAACAAATGCACTCACATTTTGTGTGTATGCGCCCCACCCCCGGATGCTCTGTTCTGACAGCTCAGCAAGCCAGTCAATTCCCCCCATCAAATACTGTCACCAGTTGATTTCCTGATGTTTGGCTGCAGTGAAGGAGAATCTAACATCCCAGCGAGGAAGGGTCATAGCTCAGAAGGGCCAGGGTTCAATCCCAGGCACCGCCAGGTAGGGCTGAGAAAGTCAGTGTGGACCATACTGGGCTATATCAGGCAATCTCACTCGCTGGATCATCACCTTGTCCTGGTGAGTGGGCTTGCATGTTCCTATGACCCTTGTGAGCGAAGCCATCGGGAGTCTCGTACTCCCAGCAGGGTCACCCAAGGCGGTAAGGTCAAAAGGAAGGAGCTAGTCAAAGAATGATCCAAGAAATCCTCAATGGCAGAACAGGCGGATGATAACAAGCGGTATGTTACAATGGCTCTGAAGGCAGTTGAAGGCTGCAGCAGATAAGAATCTACCGGTCATCGTGATACTCATGCCATCAGAATAGAGCATGGGTAGGCAAACTAAGGCCCAGGGGCTGGATCCGGCCCAATCACCTTCTCAATCTGGCCAGCGGACGGTCCAGGAATCAGCGCGTTTTTACATGAGTAGAATGTTGTCTTTTTTATTTCAAATGCATCTCTGGGTTATTTGTGGAGCCTGCTTGGTGTTTCTACATGAACAGAATGTGTGCTTTTATTTAAAATGCAACTCTGGGTTATTTGTGGGACATAGGAATTCGTCCATCCCCCCCCCAAAAAATATAGTCCGTCCCCCCACAACGTCTGAGGGACAGTGGACCGGCCCCCTGCTGAAAAAGTTTGCTGACCCCTGGAAGAGAGCCCTACTGCAAAGACTTTGTGTTGGTCAGCATGCACTGATCTACACACATAAAACAAATTCACGCACAGGCGTCTTCCAAAAACCCATTTTATGGAAGACAATCTTACTCAGCTACGAGTGATCGCCAAAGAAGAAGATATGAGGCAATGGTCTGGCTCAGAGTAAGACTGCTTCCTGTGTTCCTATTCTGCTTGAAGAACCAATCTGCTGCCTACGGAGCACACCTTGCCTTTAAAAACTGGCCTTTGTTTCTTAATAGTCTCCGTTTCTTTGCTTCGTTTTGTTTCTTTTCTTTAATTGTGTAACTGCAGACCAGCCCTGGTGCTCCAGGATAAAAGCTGAAGAGAAAAATTGTTGAGTGAATCATCCACGTTCACACAAACCTCACCTGGCGTAATTAAAATGTGTCCGTTTTTCTTTTATGTGATTAATTACTACTAAAGCTATTTTCATTCTTTCACAACAACCGTTAATTAACTGCACAGTGTCAACTCAGAAGCAAGAACCAACCATTTTGGTAGGGCTTACTCTCAGGTTAAGCACAGGATGGCAGCTTAATTTATTACTGTCATCAGCCTAATTATCAAACCTGTTAATGATTAGGCTATCTTGCTTGTTATTGTTGCTCCAGCAGTGAAGGCTTTAAAAATATGTGACCATCATTTGACAGCCTTGACACACCTGCAGAATTTTGACACATCAGTAGGGAGGCTCTGAAAGAATGCATTAGTGACTAATCCATTATTTGCACAGCCCAAGTTTACATGAAGGGCAAATAATAGCTGGGATCTGAAGCTGCTCTTCATGAAAGAGGGGGAAATCTGTCACTTCCCTCCCCAACCTGCAGCGACCCCCTCTTGGTGTTTTGTTGCTTAAATTAAAGGATAAGTTGCATTTCCCCCTCATTCTATGCACAGAAGTCCAGGAGTTATATCTTCAGAGGTGGTGATGGGACAGGATTTTCCACCACACCAGAGGGCTAACTGAGCTCAGGGACACAGTGCAGGCCTTAAGGGACTCTCCAGAATCTGCCGCCTGAGGCAGACCCCTTCACTCGGTCTAGTGGTAGGGCTGGCCTTGCCCCCTGCCCCATCTCTCACACAAAGGGCACTCCAACCCCCAGAACCACTTTTGTCAGGAAGCAGGAGGAACGAAAGCCCCATTCTGTGCAACACTGTTCCATCCACAGAGGGGAAGCTAAGAGCCCAGTCTTGGAAACTGCCACAATCCACACAAAATCAGGCTATGATCCCAGTGCATCGATGGGACTTGAAACCTAAACAATCTGCTTCCCATTATCCAACCTAAGAGTGTAAGAACAGCAATCACATGAAAGGTATGGACAATCCAGTCCCCTACCAGTGCTCTCCAGGTATTTTGGACAGTATTGGCTGGGGATGTTGGACTTGTAGTCCAAAACATCTGGAGGGCACCAGATTGGGGAAGGCTGTGGTGCTCTTTCTCCAACCAGCCAGATGCTTTTGGAAAGCTTAAGCAGGACAAGAAAGCAACCGCCCTCCCTTATCATTCATCCCCAACATCTTGTCTTGAGACGCATAACACCTCTCAACACAGCAGCTCTCCCTACCCACCCCAATCCCCCCTCTTATTTACTCTGATGTATTACAGTACACAGGGGGATGCGGGTGGTGCTGTGGGTTAAACCACAGAGCCTAGGACTTGGCGATCATAAGGTCGGTGGTTTGAATCCCTGCAACGGGGTGAGCTCCCATTGCTCAGTCCCTGCTCCTGCCAATCTAGCAGTTTGAAAGCACGTCAAAGTGCAAGTAGATAAATAGGTACCGCTTTGGCGGGAAGCTAAACGGTGTTTCCGTGCGCTGCTCTGGTTCGCCAGAAGCGGCTTAGTCATGCTGGCCACATGACCCGGAAGCTGTATGCCAGCTCCCTTGGCCAATAAAGCGAGATGAGCGCCGCAACCCCAGAGTCGGCCACAACTGGACCTAATGGTCAGGGGTCACTTTACCTTTACCTTATTTCAGTATACAGGGCTGCACCCAGCACTGCTGTCCTGCTCACCCAACACATTTCTTCTTGTGCAACAGGGTTTCCCCCTCCACTCCTTGCCGCTGCAGCCAGAGTTCAAAATTTGCCCCTGACATCTCCACCATCTGGAGATGCATGCCTGGGCACCCTTGGGTCTAGACTGTTTTCATGCACAATACCCCATCCAGTAGAATTTCATCCGTTCTATTTTATCTGCACAATCGGAACGAACTTCAGGAACCAAAAAGTTGTCTTGAAAAATGTGACTTTCCAGCTGCCCGGCCCCAAAATGGCAAATAGACATTCCGTTTTGGCAATTGTAACCCTGGTTTAAGGAGGCATTTGGCTCCTAGCTTATATATCTGAGTTTCTAACACTGCCTGCAGCCCCTCCACAAGCACCCGTCCCCAAATCTGTTCTCCAAACAGTTGGAGGACCCTCTGGAGCCAATTTGAGGAGGGGAAGTGCATAACACCCCCCTCAAGACTCACCCATCTTCCAGGACAGCAGCCTTGTCACTATCCGGCAAGGTCCCATTGAGCTTTTCGGTGCTTGCATCCTCTCCCATATTCTGTAGCTCCATCCTGGTAATCCTATGTCAGGTGTGTGTGTGTCTATGTGTGTGTGAAACTATCTGGGGTAAATCGCCAAGTAGGGCAGCAGCAGCAGCAGCAGCAGAGCACACCTTGATCAGCAGCACACCTGGGGACATGGAGAAGTAAAGAATTCAGCAAGAAATGCACTCTAAGGTTTACAAAGGGCCGCAGGGGTTGGAAGAGGGTGGCTCCTGGAATCAAGATACCTAAATTCTCTTCTTCCCAGCTGCAAAGTAGGTGTGGAGGGAAGAGTTGTGAGGCGCTGCCAGGAAAGGCATTGCCACTGCCTTTTCATGGGGTTTACTGAGTGCCAGAGAACAGGCAGTGATTCCAACCCCTTGCCTAGAGGGGAGTCTGTCCCGACAGGAGGTGGGTGAGGAGGAAGGATGTTACCCAGTTCCCCTCCCTCCCTCCCTCCCTCCCCTTCAGGCGCAAGCTGGCAGGCTGCCCTGTCTGGCATTTCCACACATCCTCTTGCCACCCTGGGAAGGACAGCATGTAGTACCCCAGGCATAAACCCCACAGAAGCTCCCCTCTCCTAATATCACACTGAGGGGAGGCAAATACTGCACTCAGAAGACACTGCAAAAATAAATCACGCTCGCTTCTCATACTCCATTCTGCTTCCAAAAAGCTATGGCTTTTTTTCAGCCGGAACTCACAGGAACTCTGTTCCAGCACCTCTCAGGTGGGCGCCATTGCTATTATAAGAGGACAAGGAAGGCCTTCATGGTGATTCTCTGATTCTATGTGAGTTCCATCACCTCTTTTTCTAGAAAAACAGCACGGGCTGTCACAAAAATTATTGTTGTCATTTACTCTTAGTATTTCAATGCACTAGATTTTAAATGTGTAACAACATTCTAGCTGCCTGTGAAATACATACAATAAATCTGTATTTCACTGGCTTTAAGAGGGTAGGTTTTGCAGCTGCTGCTTTGTGCAAGGACCCGGATGACACAAGGGGCAAAAAGGGATGGGATGGAAAAGAAGGGCAGAGATTTCCCTAATAGTGCAACGCCAGACGTGTGCCTGTGTCGTGAACAAGCCAGATGCCATGCCTGGGAAAAGCAAGGGGCCTTTTTTATGGCACAGAAAGTGCTGAGTCCTAGGATTTGAGGGAGCTGCCGCCATCCTGCAGGCGCTTCCATCCTGAGTGCTGCTATTTTGGGGTGGGATTCGGTTCCATATTGGCAAATTCAGACGCCATGGTTAAAATTTATTGGGAGGTCTTGTGCAACAAACCCACACGCCCCACAAAAAAAGAGATGGGGCTTTTGTGATAAGGAAAGTAAGGGGGAACGCAGTGTGCTCATTAAATAGCTAATGCCCTTTAATCTTCTTTCATGAAGGGTGGCATACAAATTTAGTTAACAACAACAATCAGGATGAACGCTGAATATTAACAGGTCATTTGGAAGTGCCCTCAGTCAGAAGTAATGCAGGAAACAAAACAAAGACCCCCGACTCCTGTAAGACCCATTTAGTTTCAGTGAAGTAATACACTTTCCCATTAAAGGAGCCCCCACCCATTAAGTCCAGACTCTAAAAGTTACACTACTGCACCACTGAGTCTCATGTCCAGCTTTGGGGGGAAAGTTAACCCACAGCACAACGTGGACTGTCATGTCTACTCAGAAGTCTTACTGAATTTGGTGTGGTCAGGACTGCAGCCACAGTCGGTTAGGGCAAAAAAGAGGAAAAGGGAACTAGGAATCCTGTCCAGGGATGGCAGTATTAGTTAGCTGGGAGAAGGGAGCTGCCTGGATCTCTTAAGCCTGGATCTCCTTGGCCTCTTCTGATTTATGGCGCTGCTTGCTTCTCTGATACGCTTCGGATGGCCGAAGTGCAAAAAAGGCCTGGACTTGGCAGCGTCAGCGGCAAGGAGTGGCATTCTGTTTAACTCCTGGAATGAGATCTGCAGGCCCTGTCCAGGCTAGCAGACTTTCTAGACTCGGAATGACCTCATTCCTGGGGAGCTCAAAACATTTAACTCTGGTGGTGGGGATTGTGAACTGACATGGGGTAAGAGAGGACAGGCTGCGTATGTACATCAGACTTTGCTGAAGAGCCCTGCCAGCCTAGGGTTTTTGTCTGTCTGTTTGCTTGTTTGTTTTGAGGCATTGATGCAGCAATAGTGCATAAATGGTGAATTTATCCTGGGCTGTCCACACAGCCATTCTGCTTATTTATTTCCCAACCTTCATCCCCAAAGCAGCCTAGCAGTTCTGTGATGCTCAAAGCAATGATTCTTCAACATCAACTTCGTTGGACTGGTCATGTTGTTCGGATACCTGATTATCGTCTTCCAAAGCAACTCCTCTATTCCGAACTTAAAAATGGAAAGAGTTGTGCTGGTGGTCAACAAAAGAGCTTTAAAGACTGTCTCAAGGCAAATTTTAAAAAAAACACTTTATACTAAACACTGACAACTGGGAAACACTGGCCTGCAAGCGCTCCAGTTGGAGAACAGCCTTTACCAAAGGTGTCATGGGCTTTGAAGACACTCAAACTCAGGACGCAAGGAAGAAACGTGCTAAGAGGAAGGCAGGCTTGGCAAACCCACACCATGATCAACCCCCACCCGGAAACCAATGTCCCCACTGTGGAAGGATGTGTGGATCCAGAATTGGCCTCCACAGTCACCTACGGACTCATTGTTAAAACCGTGTTTATGGAAGACAATCTTACTCGGCTACGAGTGATCGCCGAAGAAGAAGAAGAAGAAAGCTTTCTCTACGTCACCACATTCATCGTTACCTGGAGAGGCACTTTTGCTCTATAGCACAACAAAAGTGAGATCGCACACATGCACACACACAATCCAAAACATTTGTGGTGTGAAATGTTACAAGATTTCAGCAGGAAGCTATGGGACATGCAGAGATTGGGAATGAAGCTGTATGTCTGATCTTGACACCTCAGAAGGCAGAAACAGTATTGAAAGAGGGATCATTTATACACACCATCGTAAGCGCAGGTCATCGTGAATGCACAATACAACAGGGCATCTGGAAGGGCCCTGAGGCTGCCAACAGGGATGGGAGATAAATCAGTTCCATTCACATTTTAATGGAAGCAGGCCAAATTCACACATCCCAAACCAATATGGGAATTGATATGCGGGTCTAAATTTGCACTTCTAAGAATTTTGTGGTGCAGTTCCCTAACAAACAAACAAAAACTGCACACAAGAATAAATGTATTAGGGAAAAGCGCATGCAAAAATGCATAGGGTGGTGGAAATAACATACAAAAATGTGTTATATTAGGGGATACAGTTTTCAAATAAGTAAATGTACGGTGGGCAAAACTGCACACAAAACCTATTAAGGAAAACATTAATTAATGTGAAGCCTCCCCCCCCCCCCCGAAAAAAAATCACCGACTTACTGCGGAAACAGGGCCAAGCAAAACTTAACATTAGAAAAATGTGAAACTGAGGGAACTAGAAAAGGACATGTTCATCCATCCCTAGCTGCTGGCCTTTCAGTTGGCTACTGAAGCTGTGTCTTATAATAATAATTATTATTATTATTATTATTTATTATTTATACCCCGCCCTTCCCAGTTCAGAAAACCGGGCTCAGGGCGGCTAACAACAAATTTAAAACACTTAATTGATGCAACAAAAAAAAGCACAAAATACAGTATAAAACGTGAATAACAATAAATTTAGAATTCAAAAATCAATTTAGGGGGGAAATCCATCCAATAAACATTAGATGATCACCAGGGCCAGCTGGCTGAATTAGTCCTATTTGGGCCAGTGAGGAGACCAGGGGAGAATTAGCTGTGGGGTCCTAGAGCGGGTAATCTTCATAAAAAGGGGAGGGGGAGGGAATAAAAGGGGAATAAAAGATCAGGCTAAATTCAAATTGAAAGCCAGGTGGAATAGCTTTGTCTTACAGGCCTGACGGAAGGAGGTTAAACCCTGCAGGGCCCTGGTCTCATGGGACAGAGCATTCCACCAGGTCGGAGCCATCACTGAGAAGGCCCTGGCCCTGGTGAAGGATAATCTGACTTCCTTAGGGCCCAGGACCTCTAAACTATGATTATTCATGGACCTTAAGGTCCTCTGCAGGGCAGACCAGGAGAGGCGGTCCTGTAAATACGGGGGCTCTAAGCCTTTTAACAGCCTTTCCCAGGAAATAACCATCACCACCACACAATAACGGCTAACATCCTAACCACTCTGCACCTGGGAGTAAGTAAGGCCCACTGGACTTGGCAGGACTTGCTTTTGAGTAGACATAGTGGAAAATGTTTTCCATTCGTTCATTCCTTTAGATCAAGCCGCTATGAAAGGCACCAGAGCAGGTGGAGGGGTTGGTCTTTATCCCGGTCAGCTGGCAAAGCCATATCTGAGGCCACTGTCTCAGGCAGTGCAAAAGGGCAGGCGAGGCCAGGCATGCTTCCCCGCTCTTAGGCTTCCCCCCATTTCCCCCAAACCAACCACACCCTACAGAATATTGCAGTAATGCTGACAAGTCACACCACTCCCTCATATTGGCACCGGTTCCCCGATGCTGGTGGTACGGGGGCGAGACACAAGATGGGTGCATGTTTTGGCAGAACAGATGGGGATCAAAGGCAGTGTCATCCCAAAGCGAAGCCGTTAGGGCCTTGGCGCCACCTCCCACCTTCGCAAATTCACCTTGAGGCCGCCCCCGCCCCGCTGGTGGGAATGTTGCCCTGGTGGGAATGTGGCACCCTAGGCTGGAAAAAGCTCCTTGCCCCTGCGAGAAAATACAATCACCTTTCTGCACAGCCGGAGTCTCCGGAACCAAGAAAGGGAAGGGTTAACTCTGTTGCCCGCACCTGGGAAAGTGCTCTGGAGGCTGGGTGGGGCAGAAGCGGCAATGGAGATGTCTGGCTGCTGCCTTGATCTCCAACCGCATCCTTAGCTCAACGCTATGTTCCCACAGAAAGATGCAGAACACCTGGATTTTTACCCTGGCTCAGGTAAGGGAATGGGGCCACTAGGATAGAGGAAGGTGGCCGGAAGCCAAGTTAGGTGCTGAGTACCCACAGGCCTTTAAACGCAGGGAAATTAGAAAGCCATAACTTCTAGAGTCCTGGGGGAGAAAATTGATTCAGTCCACATTTGAAGGTGAATCTTATCAAATCTGCACTTTCTGAAACCGTCCGAGGACTGGAATGCAACTACCCACGGAAACAACCTGAATTTTGCAATGCAGCTCTTTGGCTAAGTAATGCGCGCAGAAATATATTGGTTTAAAAGAGCTCATAAAAATAAATGTATTAGTGGAAATAACGCACAAAAGGCATTGCATGAGGAGAAATTGCTTGTAAAAATGTACTTATTAGTCAAAGCTGCGCACAAACATGTTGAGTAGGAAAAATCTGCACGCAAATACTGAAGGATTTAGAAATGTGGAGAACTGGATTTATGATTGGAAATAGTGTATGAGAAACTGGGAGAACCCTAAGGCACAGTTCCTTCCATCCCCAGTCCTGGGTTATTTCCCCTCCAAAACAAAGGGCTGTTGCCCCTTTTTCCTGGCATGTCATATTATTATTATTATTATTATTATTATTATTATTACTACTACTACTACAGTGGTACCTCGGGTTAAGTTAAGAACTTAATTTGTTCCGGAGGTCCGTTCTTAACCTGAAACTGTTCTTAACCTGAAGCACCACTTTAGCTAATGGGGCTTGCTGCTGCCAACACTGCATGATTTCTGTTCTCATCCTGAAGCAAAGTTCTTAACCCGAGGTACTATTTCTGGGTTAGCGGAGTCTGTAACCTGAAGCGTATGTAACCCAAGGTACCACTGTACACCTCCACATAAGCCCGCATTTCCATTCGACATTTGAAGCCTCTTGGCAGGCTAAAAAACCTGTCCAGAAATCTGATGCAAGTAGGGTTGCCACCTTTGGTCGGGCAAAATACAGTGGTACCTCGGGTTAAGTACTTAATTTGTTCTGGAGGTCCGTTCTTAACCTGAAGCACTATTTCTGGGTTAGCAGAGTCTGTAACCTGAAGTGTCTGTAACCCGAGGTACCACTTTATTATTATTATTATTATTATTATTATTATTATTACCACCATTTGCATGCTCTTCCATTTTGGCTGCTCTTCCAGAAACACACCTGGATGGGCGTTATCCTCCCCAGGGTGTGTAACCAGAAGCCGCAGTCTGGGGGAAAGGTGAGCTGGCCTGCTGCTGTGGCTGGCCTGGGAAGCAGCACCCAGCCCACAGGAAGCCTGTTCCCAGGGCACTCCTCAAGTACAATGGCTGGGAAGAAGCTTGAACTGCTGGCTGCCCTCACTTCCCCAGCAGTTATGCTTCTACTGAAGCCCTGGCCCTGCAACAGCGCCTCCTTTCCACAAGGAGAGGCTGTCACAGGATCACGCAGGCCTGGGAACTTCTGCAGTTGTCACATTCCCGATGCCATAACCCCACGGCATGGGATCCCCATGCAAAGTCCTGAAGGTCTGTGCTGGAACGCACGGCCACGTCACACTGCCGTGCCTGAATATTTGCTTTGCGTGTTTGCACAACCTTGCCGGGCAGGTCTATTAACTTCACGCCTCTCCAGTCCAAGCAACCTGCACTGGAGATGGTGATCAAAGCCAGGAAGGGGTGGGAAAGGAACATTTCCTGCGTTTGAGGCCCTTAGCCAGGTGCCACTGGTGTCCCCCGGAACCAGAAGTCACAAGGGCACGGCCAACAGACTTGCAGTGATGTGGCCAAGTTATCTTGGTTTTCTCCGCCTCCTCCTCCCTTGCAATGATGCTGTGGACACTGCAGTTTTACAAAGGCTTTAAAAAAAAGGTAAAAGACCCCTGACAGTTAAGTCCAGTCACAAACGACTCTAGGGTTGCGGCGCTCATCTTGCTTTATTGGCCGAGGGAGCCGACGTTTGTCTGCAGACAGTTTTTCCGGGTCATGTGGCCAGCATGACCAAGCCGCTTCTGGCGAAACCAGAGCAGTGCACAGAAACGCAGTTTACCTTCCTGCTGGAGCGGTACCTATTTATCTACTTGCACTTTTTGGCGTGCTTTCGAACTTCTAGGTTGGCAGGAGCTGGGACCGAGCAACGGGAGCTCACACCGTCGTGAGGATTCGAACCGCCGACCTTCCAATCAGCAAGCCCTAGTCTATGTGGTTTAACCCACAGCGCCACCCGCGTCCCTACAAAGGCTCAGCACCTCACTAAACTCAAAAGTGCCTCACCTTTGCTCACCTGGGTTCTTGCTGTCACAACTGCTTCTCTACCTGTCCCTGTTCTCTCCCTATCCTCTTTCCTTTGCAAAGAAACAGTGGATACCAAAACCCTGAAACTTTATTAATACGGTACTCAGCACTTAAGTGTCTTGTCTTAGTTCAGTAGGGGGTCTCTGCTGTCACCATTTCTAGTGTGGCTTCACGTCACAGCATGGAATAAAATGAAGAAATATAAAGTAGACTAGGGTCTGGGAGACCAGGGTTAAAATCACCACTCAGCCATGAAGCTCACCGCCTGACTGTGGGCCTGTTACTATCCCTCAACCTAAGGAATCATGAATGCTGCCTTGAGTTCCTTGGAGGCAAAATGGCATGGGTGGAAGCATCATCCTGAAAAAACAAATACAGTGGTACCTCGGGTTACGTACTTAATTCGTTCCAGAGGTCCATTCTTAACCTGAAACTGTTCTTAACCTGAGGTACCACTTTAGCTAATGGGGCCTCCCGCTGCCGCCGCACGATTTCTGTTCTCATCCTGAAGCAAAGTTCTTAACCCGAGGTACTATTTCTGGGTTAGCGGAGTCTGTAACCTGAAGCGTATGTAACCCGAGGCACCACTGTAATAGCAAAATAAAAAAGTATCTCTCCAGTATGCCTGTCCCAGATTTTGAATTAGGGAAAAGGAGCAGGTCTGGAATCATGATTTTTTAAAAAACCTACCTAAAAATTAAAAAAAATATATTGAACACAACCAGGATATTCAGGCATACCAAGATTGGACTTTTACATGAGGGTCCTGGTCAAATCCAGTGTGGGGCTGTTTGCTGAGACAAGCTTGCCTGGGTGGGGCTGTGGAGGCAGTGTGCAATCCATGCTCCCAGAGTACATATAGTCTCCACACACCGAGTTTTGCACACACACACAAGATCCTACACCTCAGCTAACCTATGCAGTTCAGCTCAGGAGGGGAGGTTATTCCCCCCCCCAACTCAATAAATGATCAATTTGATAACTGGAATAGAGGGGATCTGCACCCCTTCAAGGCATTAGGTTTCACCCCACCCCATCATGTATCTACTTTTAAAGAAATGGTTTTTGTCACCACTGCCAAAATCGGCAGTGACGTGGCGAGTGAGAAAAAGTCTGCCAACTGTGGGGTTAGCCACCTCGAGGCAAGATGTAGTTTGTTGCTGCTGATAGCATTGCAAGACACCACTGCACCCTATGAACTATCTCCTACGTGTTTTGAATTGTCCCCTTCCCCACCAAAAAGCAAACATGAGAACTAGAAACTTGCGTTGCTTTAAAGCGGAAGACAACACTGTCAAAATCCAGCTCCCTGTTTCAAAAGCCAGATTTTAACTGACATGCTGCATTCTTGTTTGCAAATACATTCTGCATCCAGGCATAGTACTGTATAGGTGAACTGTCAGGTGTGCTGAATGTGAGCCCACAGCATCAGGAGGAGAAACAGAGCAGCTGTGCAGAAATGCATCCAGATTCCCAGGAATAGAGACAGAAGTGTGAGGCAACCTTTGCGTTGAACATGCAGTCAATGGAAGAATCAAGGCACTTAAGCTTTTGGCATATAGATGGAAAAATAACACATTTCATTTTTTAAGCATGTTAGGTAAAGGTACCCCTGCCCGACAGGGCCAGTCGTGACCGACTCTAGGGTTGCGCGCTCATCTCGCTCAAGAGGCCGGGAGCCGGCGCTGTCCGAAGACAATTCCGGGTCACGTGGCCAGCGTGACGAAGCTGCATCTGGCGAGCCAGCACCAGCGCAGCACACGGAAACGCCGTCTACCTTCCCGCTATAAAGCGGTCCCTATTTATCTACTTGCACTTAGGGGTGCTTTCGAACTGCTAGGTTGGCAGGAGCTGGGACCAAACGACGGGAGCTCACCCCGCCGCGGGGATTCGAACCGCCGACCTCACGATCAGAAAGTCCTAGGCACTGAGGTTTTACCCACAGCGGCACCCGCGTCCCTTTTAAGCATGTTACAGAACACTTAATTGATGCCTGCTTTATCTAAAGTAGAAGAAGAAGAAGAAGAGTTTGGATTTGATATCCCGCCTTTCACTCCCTTTAAGGAGTCTCAAAGCGGCTAACATTCTCCTTTCCCTTCCTCCCCCACAACAAACACTCTGTGAGGTGAGTGAGGCTGAGAGACTTCAGAGAAGTGTGACTGGCCCAAGGTCACCCAGCAGTTGCATGTGGAGGAGCGGAGACTCGAACCCGGTTCCCCAGATTACGAGACTACCGCTCTTAACCACTACACCACACTGGTAAACAAAACCAGAAAAGTCCTACTCTTTCCAATGCCAAAAATAGGATAATTTTGTGTGCGTGTTGCACAAAAACTAATGCACAAAAACAAGCAAGGTGAGCCCTGTGTTTAAGCCACTCAACCTGACTCCCCCTTTCACTACGAGGAATGGTCCAGGCCTTTCAAAACAAGGACAGCAAAGTATTTCCTAAGATCTTTCTATTTGGAGTTACTAACCAACATTTGCATTTTGCTAAAAACTACATACGGTAGGTTCTTTTGGGGTGACATTTAGAGAAGCTTTTAAATCACTTGCAGCCTAATGAGGAAAAGTTATTGACAGTCTTTGTCAGAAGGCGCCGAGGGACCACCTTTGAAATAAAAAAGTATTGCTCAACTCACACCAGAAGCTAAAGGGGGGAAAAAGAAAAAAGGAACACACAGCTTAAGTTATGCAATCTTATGAACACTTGCTTCCTAGTAAGCCACACTGTGTTTGAGGGGGCTTACTTCCAGGAAAAGCGTGCACAGATTTGCAGCCTTAAAGCTTTTATTTAGTAGGTTAATCTACCCAGGAATGTGTGCAGCCCAACTCCAAAACTGTGTCATATTGAAATCAACAACACAAACCAAAAACCCCGGCCAGAGAGGCAAGTGGGCATCAGCCTTAAGGGAACAGGAGCCGATTTACACCAAGTCACCCCAGGGGCCTGCTAGCATCCAAACTCCTCTCTGGACGGACCCTCCCATGGTACGGGGTGGGTGGACCGGGGACATCAAGTCTGGGACAGGGACCCATGTGGCTGCGAAGGAATAACTGGGACCAGCCGCTCCTTTGCTGGAACAAGGTGTCCTCCCATCCCCCGTCGAATAGCATGAAGTGATTTTCATTTAAATTTCTGCTAAAAAGGAAGGAATTATAGTGAATTTGAATTCTGGTGCTGGAGGAGACTCTTGAGAGTCCCATGGACTGCAAGAAGATCAAACCTCTCCATTCTGAAGGAAATCAGCCCTGAGGGCTCACTGGAAGGACAGATCCTGAAGCTGAGGCTCCAACACTTTGGCCACCTCATGAGAAGAGAAGACTCCCTGGAAAAGACCCTGATGTTGGGAAAGATGGAGGGCACAAGGAGAAGGGGACGACAGAGGACGAGATGGTTGGACAGTGTTCTCGAAGCTACCAGCATGAGTTTGACCAAACTGCAGGAGGCAGTGGAAGACAGGAGTGCCTGGCGTGCTCTGGTCCAGGGGGTCACAAAGAGTCGGACACAACTAAACAAGAAAACGGAAGGAAGGAAGCTCTGTTTCAAGAGCAGTTTCAATTAAAGTTCTGGCAGGTGGGTGGGACAACCCACTTGTCAATCACCTGACATCATGATGGCATCAGTTACCGTAATTGATATGAGGCTGTCCTGTCCTCCCTTATCAAAGTTGGCCCAGATAACGATCCGGCCCCTGAGCCAAAAAGTTTCCTCACCCCTGGAGTAACAAAACAAAACAGATTCCCAGAAACCTGAAGTCTGCCTGCCAGCAGATACAATGACCGTCACTAGAATTAAGTTGTTCGCTCCTCAGTTATGGTTGTTTTACTGGGTTTGCATACTGTTATTTGATTGTATTCAATGCTTTTTTTAAAAAAATAAATAAATGTTCCAGGACTCACCATGAAGTTGATACTGTAAGTGCCAGACTTTTAACGTTGGGGGTGCTGGTACAGTGGTACCTCAGGTTAAGAACTTAATTTGTTCTGGAGGTCTGTTCTTAACCTGAAACTGTTCTTAACCTGAAGCACCACTTTAGCTAATGGGGCCTCCCACTGCCGCTGCACAATTTCTGTTCTCATCCTGAAGCAAAGTTCTTAACCCGAGGTACTATTTCTGGGTTAGCGGAGTCTGTAACCTGAAGCGTATGTAACCTGAAGCGTATGTAACCCGAGGTACCACTGTACTGCGAACCCTTGAGTACCCCCAGGAAAAACCTGATGGTCTTGTATTGTTGTGAAACTGTATTAATTGTTAGTTACCTCAGTAACTTAGACCAGCCTGCCCCCAACCTGCTGCCCTCGAAGGGCTGATGGGCAGTGCGGTCAAAACACCTAGAGGCAACTAATGAATATAATGAGCCAACAGGCAAGCAAAAAATAATAATAATAATTTTTTTTTCAGATGCAGATTTGCGTAACACAGTTCTGCATCCGGAACATGGATTTCCTTGGTGTGGAACTTAGGGGATGTTATTAGTATTAGTATTAATCCAAAGATCACAAGGCGGTTCACAACATAAAAATACAAAAGTACTGTACATAATAGTAACAAGAACAAGAGCAAAAACAAACCCCCAACCACCACCCCCAACACATTTAAAAGGCCATAGAATGTTTCATCAGCCAAAGGCCTGACTGAAGAGGAACTTTTTTGCAGGGCATAAAGATATGTAAGGAAGGTGCCAGGCAAGCCTCCCTGGGGAGAGCATGCCATAAGTGGGGAGCCACCACAGAAAAGGCCCATTCTCATGTTGCCACCCTATGGACTACTCGTAGAGCAGGCAAGTTTTGTGTACAGTCATACGGTGGGTTACAGATGCTTCAGGTGGCGTTTTTTCAGGTTATGGACCCGCCGAAACCCGGAAGTACCGGAACGGGTTACTTCCGGGTTTTGGGAGACGTGCATGCGCAGAAGCGCGAATCACAACCCACGCGTGCGCAGACGTGCTGCTGAGGCTTGTGAAAGTGCATCCCGCACGGATCACATTCGCAACCCGAGCGTCCACTGTATTAATGTACATAGTCCAATTAATACACACACGACATGACACATACAGCCATCCTCTCCCCCCCCCTCACCCCAGATCAACACATGGCAAAGCACCATGGGGTGGGAGGAGGGGTAATGGAGGAGGAAGCCAAGAGCTGTCTGTGGCAACAGCAAAGTGAAGTTCAAGAGGGGAGGACATGTTTAAAAAGCACCACTGCCAAACCAAGCACAAGCCCTGAAACATGCGCAAATTTCACACCCTCCCACATCCATATGCTATCTTATGCACAGAGCACTCAACAACGGGCAGTAGCTGTCTGGAGCCCAATACCAACATCCATGCCAGCCCTGCTGCTGCCTGAACCAGTTCCCACATGCCTTGTTTCCCAGCCAAGCCCTTCACAAAGGAAGCCGCAGCTATTCTGGTCACCATCCGGGTGGGGGTGTTGGGAAACGGCGAAATTGCTTCCAGCTGCCTCTGGCCCCCTTCTTCCTTCCGTTTCCCCCATGCAATTGTGGGCACATGCGCTCGGCCAGAAGGACTTGCGCCACTCAGGGCCGAACCCGGGAGAAGACGACATGCGCTCTCCTTCTCTGAAGCAGCGGGAAACAGGAGACATTAAGACCAGCTGTGTGGAAAAGCTCCCCTTCCATTGCCACTCTCCCTAGTAGGGACTGCAGGCCCAGTTCTCTGTCCCAGGAGATGACACGCAAAGCCTTCGTGCCTAGAGATAAAAACAGGGTGATCTGTGTGGGCTCCAAGCCTGGGGAAAGATTGCAAATAGGAAAAGGGCACGGACTTGTGGGCACTGATACAGGAGCAATCCTCCCAGGATTCAGGGGTGGGGGAGATGGGACTGAGACACACGGAGTTTGGTCCCTTTCCAGGTGGTTCCAAAATGATCCTGGCTGGCTCAGGAGGCAGGGAATGGTATCCATGGCCGCTAAGGACCAACGGCCCTGCAAGGCTGTTTTCCATTGAGCCCAGGCTGCAACTTGCAGGAATTGGGAAAGAATGCTACTCTGAGGCACATCACAGCTGTTCTACCCATTGCATGCTCATCGTTTGACGACAGCACCAGCGCCGTGTAGGCGAAAAAGGGCTGCCAAAGATCTGACACCAGAGTTACAATGCCCACATCGCCTCATGCCCATCCCTTTTCAGTGGAGTCTGCTCCGTCACAGCACTCAGGTGCCAGCCAAGGGCTGGTTCACACATGCACACTCAGGGCTGCAAGATCTAGGGCTGTCTTGCACCGAGCGCCATCACACTGGAAACCACAGGCAGAACTCTTAGCTTCCCCACACATCCTTTCAGACACAAGGATGTCTCCGATGGGAGTCAGTTCACACGTTCAGTAGCCAGTCACCAAGGGTGGAGATGTGTGCAGATATATTACAGGTGCATGTGTGAACCAGCAGTTCCTCCGGGCAATACTTGAACTGCGGTGGTTCCCATGTCAGAATGAGAAAAGGGGTTGATAAGCATCCAGGTTTAAAAATAAATATCATCCTAAATCAGAGACACAGGATGATCAGATGGAAGCAGGGAAAGAGAAGGAAGTCTGCGGCAGCCCAAAATATTTGGTACTTGCTGCAGAAAATATGAAATGTAATTAATTTAAAAAACCGACATTTTGCTGCCTTTTCATCCTACCCAGAAGTCTGCCATTTTAGCCTGCCTAAGAGACTGGGTAAATGTCACCCTCTACCCATAATTATCCTCTGAAAAGCTGCAGAAACAACCCCTTTTACTGATCATATGACAAAATGCTTGAAGGATATTAAGGGTTAATTAATCCATGCCTAGTACAGCAATCCTAATATTTAGGAGGCCGAACACCTGCCCTCTCAATCTTCATTCAACTTGGTAGCTTAGAGCAAGCAAAAAAAGGAGGAGTGGACTGGGTGGATCCAAGGAATGTTTCATTGGAGTAATGGGAGCCGTCACCCACTGGCAAATATCCTCTTTTTGGGGCAAGGTATTCAAAGCGGTAAGGGTTAGGGTGGCGCTGTGGGTCAAACCACAGAGCCTAGGACTTGCCAATCAGAAGGTCGGCGGTTCAAATCCCCGCAACGGGGCGAGCTCCCGTTGCTCGGTCCCTGCTCCTGCCAACCTAGCAGTTCAAAAGCACGTCAAAGTGCAAGTAGATAAATAGGTACTGCTCTGGTGGGAAGGTAAACGGCGTTTCCGTGTGCTGCTCTGGTTCACCAGAAGCGGCTTAGCCATGCTGGCCACATTACCCGGAAGCTGTACGCCGGCTCCCTTGGCCAATAAAGCGAGATGAGTGCCACAACCCCAGAGTTGGTCATGACTGGACCTAATGGTCAGGGGTCCCTTTACCATTACCTTATTCAAAGCAGTGGTTGCAGCCCAGCTTCAGGTATGCTCAGACCCATTTCAGGCTGGTTTCGCTGAAAATACATTGTTCATTCTGCTTGATGGCATTTGCAGAGAGAGATGGGGAAGTGTGACCACGAGATCCTTCTAGAAAGTGGGTGTTGTGGGTGCTACACTGCGGTCCCACTCCTACCTTCAAAGCCCTTTTCAGAAAACAATTATGGGGGAGGAGGAGAGGAGGCAAGGTGTTCTGCACCTTGGGAACCGCCCTATGGCACCCCAAAGGCTCCGTCTCGTCCCCCATGCTATTTAACATCTGCCCGAAGCCACTGGGACCCGTCATCAGATTTGGGATGAGGTGCCATCAGTAGGCAGTTGGCACCCAGCTCCACCCCTCTGTTCCATCTGAATGGGAAGTGGTTCAGTGCTTGGAGGAGGTGACCACATGGATTTGGGATGTGCTGCAAGTTCCTGTGTCCAAGAATTAAGGAAATGGCACCTCCCCCTGGAAATAGCAGGTCTAAACTACAGAGCCTAGGGCTTGCCAATCGGAAGGTCGGTGGTTCGAATCCCCGCGACGGGGTGAGCTCCCATTGCTCGGTCCCTGCTCCTGCCAACCTAGCAGTTTGAAAGCACGTCAAAGTGCAAGTAGATAAATAGGTACCGCTCCAGCGGGAAGGTAAACGGCGTTTCCGTGCGCTGCTCTGGTTCGCCAGAAGCGGCTTAGTCATGCTGGCCACATGACCCAGAAGCTGTACACCGGCTCCCTCGGCCAATAAAGCGAGATGAGCGCCACAACCCCAGAGTCGTCCGCGACTGGACCTAAGGGTCAGGGGTACCTTTACCTTTACCTAGCTTGGAGGTACTCCTGGATCCAATGTTGTCCCTGGAGACATGGGTGCCCTCAGGTGTGCATATTACCAGCTCCAGTGCGTTCACCTGATGCAACCCCTTTTGGACAGAGATGACTTGGCCATGGTGCTCCATGCTTTGCTACCTTCCAGGTTGGATTACTGCAATGCGCTCTACGTGGGGCTGCCCTTGGAGATGCCTTGAAAGTGTCAAGAGGTTTAGAATGAAGCCAGATGAGTGGCTGGGGTCCGGTTTACTCGAATAACCCCTGTTGCGAAACAGCTGCATGCAGCTTGTCAGTACATTCCCAAGCCCAACTCAAAGTGCTGGACATTAGTGTCTTAAACCCTGAACAACACAGACCCCAAACCCCTCTCATCCACCCACCTCCGCTTTGGAGGGTGGTGGCTTGAGAGAGAGAATTCTTTGTGGTAAAGGTAAAGAGACCCCTGACCATTAGGTCCAGTCGTGACCGACTCTGGGGTTGCGGCGCTCATCTCGCTTTATTGGCCGAGGGAGCCGGCGTACAGCTTCCGGGTCATGTGGCCAGCATGACTAAGCCGCTTCTGGTGAACCAGAGCAGCACACGGAAACGCCTCTTACCTTCCCGCCGGAGCAGTACCTATTTATCTACTTGTACTTCGTGCTTTCAAACTGCTAGGTTGGCAGGAGCTGGGACCGAGCAACGGGCGCTCACCCCGTAACGGGGATTCAAACCACGACCTTCGTGACTGACTCTGGGATTGTGGTGCTCATCTCGCTTTATTAGCCAAGGGAGCCGGCGTACAGCTTCCGGGTCATGTGGCCAGCATGACTAAGCCGCTTCTGGCGAACCAGAGCAGCGCACGGAAATGCCATTTACCTTCCCGCCTGAGTGGTACCTATTTATCTACTTGCACTTTGACGTGCTCTCGAACTGCTAGGTTGGCAGGAGCAGGGACCGAGTAGCGCCCCCTAAACTGTGAGATTCACTTCTCACAGAGATGCACGTGTCACTTTCGTGGTATAGCAGGCATGTTCAAAGTCTGTTTTGGAGGCCTAATCCGGCCCGCTGGTCGATTTAATCCAGCCCCTATGGCAGTATATGCCCTTGGGTAAAATTGTAAAAAAAAGCTCAACATGCATGTTCACTTCATCAAACATGGCCCTCTTTGAAAAAAGTTTGGGCACCCCTGTGGTATGGTATTCGACATTTATTGAAGATGCATCTCTTTGCCTTGGCCTTTCACAAATTAGTTTTATTTTTTAGGCCCCATCCTATTCTTCAGATGCAAATTGTTTCAACTGTTTACTAATCTGTTGCAAATTGATTTTAATATTGTATTATTATACAGTGGTACCTCAGGTTAAGTATTTAATTCGTTCCGGAGGTCTGTTCTTAACCTGAAACTGTTCTTAACCTGAAGCACCACTTTAGCTAATGGGGCCTCCTGCTGCTGCCTCGCTGCCAGAGCACGATTTCTGTTCTTATCCTGATGCAAAGTTCTTAACCTGTAGCACTATTTCTGGATTAGTGGAGTGTATAACCTGAAGCGTATGTAACCTGAGGTACCACTGCATTGTCGAAACTCATTTCTGAGACCTCATAGTGGAGGGCGGATAAGAAATCCGATCTGTAAATAAATAAGACACCCGTTGAACAGGTGAAAGGCTTCCCCAGATCCTTTGGAATTGCTCTTCTCAGCTTCCACAACAAGATCCCACCCTCCATTGAGGGAGATCCCAAACAGCTCAGGGCCACTTCATGAGGACTAGCTACCCTTACAGCAAAATCCTAACAAAGCAGGACTACTCAGAAGCAAAAACGCCCTAAAAAGTGTTGGATTGCAGTTTAGGATCTTAACATGGGGCCACACTAAGAAAGTAATGATTACGGGGCATGATCCAGCAAAAAAATTAGCCACTTTTGCATTGCAACGGGACTTTATTAATGTTGGTTGATTATACCCCAATTTTTTAGCCTTTCAGAGCCATACATAAAGCAGGAATTCTAATCCATTTTGCAGGAGGATGTACAACCAGGAGTTTGCAATTGAGGACAATAAGTGCGATGTTGTGGTTTTAAAACCGCATTGACGTTTGTTTTTTTACACTCAAGAGAAGTGAATAATAAACAGATATATGTGCTGCTGCCCAGGAACAGTCGTTCTTGCCCGCTGACCCCCACACTACTCCTAGTCCCCTCCATGCCCCTTTCTTCAAACTGTGCAGGATTTGAATCCAGGACACCTGGCTTTTTAACACACACAAATGGCTACTCTGCGTTACTTTTTTCTGCTGCTGCTGCCGCCTCCTTTCTGCTTGGATTATTATTACCCCCCCCTTTTAAACTCTGATGAGATCCGATCGCAGGCCCGGAGACACCTCCCGGGGCCCCGTCCGCCTGCATCGCCTTTGGGAGCCCACGTGGCAACGGCAGCGCCTCTGGGCACCACAAGAAGCCCCTTTCACACGGGTCTGGAGCGACACGCGAGCAGAGCCTGACGAGCTGGTCTCCCCTCCTCCTTGCAAGCCGCCGCTTCCCTGCAGAGGCCTCCAAAAGGGGGGGGGTCCTCTCGGTTTAACCCCTGCGCTGCCAGCCAAGCCCACCGACGAGGACCCGGCCTGCCCACGATGCGCGCCGCCACCCACCACGATTCGCCTCCTCCCAACTAACCCCTTTCTGGCTACATCTTGATCCTCGCCCGCCGACCCACCCAAAACTTGGGAGTTTTGTTCCAAGGGCGATTTCCTTCCCTCCCGTCGCAACTCCGGCAATGCTCGACGGATCGGGCTCTTGCGCCCATCGGGGCCTCTCCAAAGAGGCGCCACTGGATCGGGAGATCGGAGGCGGGGAACGGGGCGAGGGTCTCGGCCTGGCCCGCTTTCCTCGCAGCATGCTGGCGTCCCGCTCGGCGCGTCTGATGCAACAGTCTGCTGGAGTTGCAGAAGGGCGAGACGCGCGCCGGGCTCCCCGGCGGCCCTTTCCCGCTCTCCAGACCCAAGACTTCCCCGCCAACGCGCTGTTTCCGCACTCACCGCCGGTGGATCTCGAGCACGAGCCCAAGTTGCGCGGGATCCGCAGCCCCAGCGGCGCAACGTCGGCAGCAGAAGCGCGCAGTTCGGCAGCGGGGCTCTGCTCGCGGCGCGCTGGACGCCCAGGGAGGCGCACTCGCACATAGACGCACACCCTGGCGGGCGCCGCTCAGCCAATCACACCGGCGCAAGTTCAGGCTCGCGGGTGGGGGGAAAGTTTGCAAAACTGTTCAGAGAAGACGGGTCAACCCTCCAAAGCCCGCGCGCACCGGGCTGGGAGCAGGTGGATCCCAGAACCAGGTTGCTGGGGGTTTTCCCTTTCTTCTCCTTCTAGTCCGCAGTGGCTTTGCGTTGCTCGCTCCTCAGCGACGCCAGCTCGGAAAATCCACGTGTGCGGTTCAGTCCGTTGTTTTCTTTTTGAAAAGCGTCGTTCACACGTGGGCTCTGCAGCTGGGCCAGGTTGGCGCCCGAATGGAGAAGCAGAAGGACGGCGCTTGAGAACGGCTCAGACGCGCGTGGCTGGTGGTGATGTGGAGGACTTAGCTGCGAAGTTTGAGATGGGCAAGTCGCCACCTGACGTTGCACAGGTGGTGGGCATGCACGTGTGAACCAGCATGTGGTGGTTTCTCTTTCATCGCGTGCGAAGTTCATGGGAGAAAGCTGCGCTCGGTGTGGTTTCAAATGGAAGGGAGTCCACGTGTTAAGATTCCTGCATTGCTAGATGATCCTCAGAGATCCCTTCCAGCACTATGGTTCTGTGGTTTTATGATTCTATTCGCTGCATACATGCAACATGCGTTAGGAAGAGGTCGTTGGGAAAAGGTTTCACAGGCACATGGAGTAGCAGGCATGGTCAAATAATGTGTGCGCACAACAGCATACTCACAAGTGATTAAAAAGACAAAACAGGAAGTTGTTGCTCAAAAAACTGAAACCTCAGAAGACAAAAAAAAACTACAAAGGTGCTGGTGGGATTTAAGTATTCAAATAAGATACAAAAATATCTAAAATATGTATAAAACAGTGTACAAGGACCTAATGCGCAGGCTTATTATGAATAGCAAGTGGGAACTGCAACAAAATGCTGCAGTTCAGACCTCCACGCAACCACTCCATTCTGTTCACTCTTCCTAATTTTCCTCTTGCACAACACTCCGCCAGCACTCCATGGCCACTAAGCACGCTCAGTGTTCATGTGGCTGTTTTGAAGATCTACCAGTTAGGGCCCACCTCACAGCATTTGCCTCCTTTTAATTTCTGCAAAGGGACGCGGGTGGCACTGTAGGTTAAACCACAGAGCCTAGGACTTGCTGATCAGAAGGTTGGCGGTTCGAATCCCCGCGACGGGGTGAGCGCCCGTTGCTTGGTCCCTGCTCCTGCCAACCTAGTAGTTTGAAAGCACGTCAAACTGCAAGTAGATAAATAGGTACCGCCCCGGCGGGAAGGTAAATGGCGTTTCCGTGCGCTGCTCTGGTTCGCCAGAAGCGGCTTCGTCATGCTGGCCACATGACCCAGAAGCTGTACCCCGGATCCCTCGGCCAATAAAGCGAGATGAGCGCTACAACCCCAGAGTCGGTCACGACTGGACCTAATGGTCAGGGGTCCCTTTACCCTTACTAATTTCTGCAAACCTTGAGTTTTCCCCAGCCTGCTGCTGGTTCGTTCTTCTGACACATAGGTGGCGGCATTTTGGCTACATAATCAACAGCACTTGCCACCTGAACATCAGATATAGAGGAAATGATTGTAGCACAAAGTCACAAGATGTCTGTATGGCGGAAAAACCTTCTTACTTTGATCCCTGCCAAATAACTGATCTGGAATTTATCTGCTGAATTCGGTGAAGCTGAATGATGGCTGTGAGTGAACCTCCACATTTTATGTTAGTCCACCATACTTCATGATTTACAAAAAAGCCCAAATTCATTAACAATTGTGCTAACAAGCCTCGTTTCTCAGTGTAGATAATGGTATTGACCTTCCATTTCAAGGTAGCCAATATCTAACATTCAAGAACTCCTATAAACAGCAGCCCAAAATGTAAGGCTTCTGTGTGGAGTATTTGTTGTGGGAAAGTTTCTCACACAGCTGTGAATGTCAGCGGACAAAGTTCTTCGAGATAGCAAGGTTTTTTGTGCGTTACTGAAGGGACGGTACGGTGATCTTCAGTTTGTGAAAAGTTTTTATACTACGGACTGTGGGTTCTTCTGAACTATTTGTGTCTTTTTTATTTTATTTATTTGAAATGGTTTTTCAATCCTGCTCCTCAGGAAAACAGCAACAACTCGCTACAGAGCAGCTTACAAATCAGTAAAGAGAGAGAAAACAGACCCTGCCCTCAGACTTACGATCACAACGACATTACCCAAAAGGAAAATGGATTGGCGAGGAGGAGGAAATAAGTAAATTCGGATTCAAGCTTTTAGTAATGTGTTGTTCTACTGGCCAGCTGGGTGGAGATAAAGTTGCTGGTCTCCTTGTTGCGTCTGTTAAGTTGCCCTTCTCTTCCCTCCTCCTCTGATGGAGCCTGATATGGTGGCTGTTGCCGAGTGACAGCTGATCGAGGGGGCATCCTATATATATTATTTGCATATCTCAGTCAATAAAACCTATAAATGGAACACAACGGGAATCTTATCTAGGAACATGCTTATGTTCCACCTCCTCCATACAACCCTGCCTAGCAACTGTACTCCTCAAATGGGACATGGCTGAGTATACTGTGCTCCAGAAACTGGGCTTTTAGTGTTGCAGCTGCAGCCCTCTGGAATAGAGCATCAGAAGGTACCCACTGCCATGATGCCTCCTGATGACATTTTTGTTTAATAAGGCTTCCCGTGAGGCATCACCCAGTCATTTGTTAAATATTAATCGTACATTTGTTGGAACAGTTTTAGTGCTTTTAGAGATTGTAGAAAGGCTTTCAGTTTCTTTAGGAATTTGCATTCTTTGCATTTTATTTTTATTGTGTTGTACACCACTTGGGAGGCCCCAAGCTACGGAGCAGTTTATAAATTTGTAAAATAAATACAATTAAAAATGGCTCTGTCTCAGGAGAGGACCAGCTTCCCCATATATTCTCTCACTGGGCCCTAATATAAGCAAACGTTCCAAATGACCCAGTCCAAAAATATTACATCAAACTTGGATGAGTTCCCAAAGGCATTCTCAATAGATAACTTTTCTGGAGCTAAATCTGGAAACAGGACCTCTCTCTCTCCCTATAAACATTTCTGGAGAATCTCCATAGTCGTCTGGATTTGTGGGAGGCACAGATATAGAGAACAGCTGTATGATTGGAGGCATTCATATCAACTGCCATGGTGCATTAATCGCCCCTTACATATTAGAGTGAGTCCATGTTGGTGACTCCCAGCCTGCTAGAACAAAAGACCTCTAAGCAGTATACATGTCTAAAATGTCCATTCAAAATACCAGTTAAAAGCAAATGTTAAAAACAAGTTACATAAAAATGTGTTTGGATACACGTACACACCAGTCATATTTATGTGATCTCTATCTAGCTAACTAAATTGGCAGCAGTGACACTTTTTGGAAAAACAGGGCTGCAGTTTTTGCCTTATTGATTTCAGTGCCAACTAAACTCTTCTTTGTTCCAGCAAGGCTATCCAGCCGTGAAATTTTGTTAAGCGGGTTTAGCAGGCATAAGTGTTTTACCTACTAAAATCATGTGTCAAAATAAAATGCCTGGGTAGGCTCATTGGAACAAAAAAAAGGGTTTTAAACAGGCACTGAAAATAATATGGCAAAGGAGCCTGCTCGATAGCAATGGGCAGGGAGTTCCGATGTGTAAGTGCTGCCAGTTTAGAGAGAGAGAGTAAATGCATGGCAATTTACAGAGCATAAGGAAAGGATTGGGCCCTGTCCTGAGTTTACAATCTAACTTTAGACTGGAGTAGCAATGTGAGGCAAGAAGGAAGACACATTAGGAAGGGAAAAGACAGTCAAAACTAGGATAATGAACATGAGCAAAGACAGTTACATATCCGATTTTGTTTCAGTGAGACACTAAGGGGTTAAGCCAAATGGAGGAGGATATTTTTGAGCTGAGCATTTAGCAGGGGAGGGAGGAGCAGGGAGAGAGAAAGAGAGGTAGCTCCTTATGGATATTCTGGGAGCGGTTTATTTACTTACTATATTTATATAAAGCTGTCCAATGGCATTGTTCTCCAGAGTTATAGCATAAAGTGATCAATTGCAATTAAAAACACAACAAACTGAAATAACAACCTGGGGCACCAAACAGATGGGAAAAAAAAAAACAGGTAAGAAAGATATAGCCCATGAACAGCAATTACTAAATGAAAAGGTATATTTACGTCATAGGTTTGAAGTTTTATTTATTGCTGTTCAGTTCTAAAAATCACCGACAAGGCTGTATCAGTTCAGAATTCGGGGTGTGTTTGTGCACACACGTGCGCCTGTGCACAGACAAAACGGCCTTGCCTGTTTGCTCCTAACCAGTGTGCCCTCAGCCTCATCATCCCTATAAGGAGGCAGTGTTGTGGAGTGGTTAGACAGTGTTGGAGTAATTATTATTATTATTATTATTTATTTATTTATACCCTGCCCATCTGGCTGGGATTCCCCAGCCACTCTGGGCGGCTTCCAACAAAATATTAAAATACTGTAATGCATCAAACATTAAAAGCTTCCCTAAACAGGGCTGCCTTCAGATGTCTTCTAAAAGTCTGGTAGTTGTTGTTCTCTTTGACATCTGGTGGGAGGGCGTTCCACAGGGCGGGCGCCACTACCGAGAAGGCCCTCTGTCTGGTTCCCTGTAACTTGGCTTCTTGCAGTGAGGGAACTGCCAGAACGCCCTCGGCGCTGGACCTCAGTGTACGGGCAGAACGATGGGGGGTGGAGACGCTCCTTCAGGACCTGGGAGACCGGGTTCAAGTCCTCACTCAGGCATGAAGTTCATTGGTCGATCCTGAGCCGGTCTCTCAGCCCAGCCTACCTCGCAGGGGTGTTGTGAGTGTGAAATGGAGAGGGGGAGAACCTAGCATGCCGCCTTGAGCTCCTTGGACAGAAGAGGGGACGACGACAACAACAACGAAAGCAACACACGGGGGAAACCCATCCCATGGAGCCTCACAGAAGCAGTGGCTGGTTTTCTAAGTTCTTTTCTAAGTTCCTGAAC